ACCAATACTAGTTTGGGGGTTACGGCTCCTTATTGAAATTAGAGTATAATGGGCCCCAAAACCCTACGCTCATTATCAAGGGTATGATGGGCCCCAAAACCCTACTCTCATTATCAAGGCCCCAAATTTTGGACCTTCAACACGCGCAAGACGAGCTGCGAGGTGCTCCAAGATGCACTCCGGAACGTCATGGAAGGATCTTACTCGATGTATGGGAGGGGGGGGCGCTTATCGGGTCTGGGGCTTGGGGTCTAGGGGTTTAGGGTTTAGGGTTTATTCAGACTCAAAATAGGGTTCGTTTGAAGACAGCTAACTGTGATACGCAGGAAGACTTTAAATATTTTTGGGACCCTTATACTTGTGAGCCTTAATGCCTTACGACTCGGAATAGGGTTTGGGGGGTGTACTACGCCTTGAGACTCGCAGTACAAAGGGACTAGATTGGGCTGAAGACTTGTGCTGTGAGCCCGGGACCCTGCATCCTGCGTTTCGATTTCGGCTCGTGGCCGCTTTTCTGGTGGTAAATAATCAGTCTCTGGTATAAGGTACATAGTACATGGTGTCTGCTACACCTCTTTCAGGCTGATGAAGTCATGGACTAAGTTTTGCAAGGCAGTCGCATCATGACGAGCAGGGATCCTTCGAAAAACCAGCCGAAAACTGGTCTGCACTCTTCAGAAAGCAGCCACCCGAGCTTGAACCCCAGAAGGCCAACTCACAAAGCCCAAAACCCTAGGCACTTAAACTCTTACAGTAGAAGCCAGAAAGTTGGAATATCATTATCGTAACCCCTTTAAGGTAAATTATAGGGGGGATCCTACCATGAAACCATATTCCAACTTTCTGGAGTTCCCTTTAAACCCTTAAGACTCGTACACAAAAAGAGCCCTGAGACTCCCAAGACTCCTAGGATACCCAGTAGTACCCTTATTCCCTTTTTGTAGTCCTAGGTTCCTTGTAAAGTTACCCAATACCAAAAAGAGAGGCCTTTTTATTCTTAGGTTACTGGGTATCCTAGAACCCTAAACCCCTAAACCCTAACCCCTATACCCCTAAACCCTAAACCCCGAAACCCTGAACCTCTGAACCCTAGACTCTGAAGCCCTATAAGCCGTGAGACTTTCAACCCTAAGGCTCTTAAGCCCTCGGAGCCTCAGACTTTAGACTCTAAGACCCCGAGCCCGAAACGTAGTAACTAGGGATATATATATATATATATATGCTCAACCTTTTCGTTGACAGACCATGCCCTTGTGATAGTGTACTCTCGTTCGGTGACCAGGTTGAGATATTGTATCTAAACACACCACACATGACGACAATCTGCAAAGCAAATCCTTTACAGTACATATACCCAGTGTACTTTTAACATGCCATGTACTGAGGACGCATGGACCAGACGCGCGACACGTGAGTTATGAGTTTTGTGGTAGCATTGATATAGGATGAGTATGAGTATGAGTAATAATATTGGTATTAGTATAGGTATCAGCAATAGTATTAGTGTTTACGTTCACTGTAAGTATATATATATATATGTAAATACCGACAGTAGTAAGTGTACATTAATGTCAGTGCTCATCTTCGTTTTAGTCTTAGTGTTAGTGCCAGTGTCAATGCCAGTAATATCAGTTAATAATGGCAGAGGTGCTAGTATTGGTATCAAAATTAGAGTTAGTTTCGATATGGTACTATCCTGATAGTTTCGTATATCAGCAGGTTAGTATATCAATACATTGGTGTGTTCGAGAGGCAACATATTTGTATACTTGCACATTCGTAGATGTAATAATTTAGTACAACTGATGCACGAGTAAACTAGTATATTGCTGTATTAATATATTAGTAAATTAACATACCAGTATATTCGTACGTTAGTGTATTAGTATACTAGTATATGCAATATACGTGTATTGTCTAAAGATTTATAAGTATATCAGTATGTTGTCATATTAGTACACTAACCTGCCATGTCGGTATACTTGCATATTACAGTAGTCGTATACTAGTATAGTAGCATACTAGTATAATAGCATACTAGTATAGTATATTCACACATTAACAAGTAGTGTCTTGTTACATTGGTATATGAGTATATGCTTGTCCTAAAACATCAGTACATGAATGCATTGATACATATCGGCATTTTAAGATAATGGTATGTGTTCTGGTGTGCATTAGCATACGCACGTGTCTTTTGTAATGGTATTAGTCTTCACATCAATATGAATATGACTATCGGTATTCGTAGGAATATTAATGTTAATATTCGTACTAGGATTATCCATAGTCGCATTAGCCTTAGTATAAGTGTTAATAATGGTATTAATACTGGCATTATCTTGAATATTCAACAAGTTATCAATGTCAGTAGTAGTAGTAGTATTGGTGACAGCATTACTCTTAACAGCATAAGAGTATACGCAGTAGCATCCGTAGGAATATCAATACTTATGTAAATCTTAGTGTTGGTATAAACAGTGTGATTGGTATTAGTAATAGTGCTAGTGCTAGTGCTAATATTAAAATGAGGCTATGTATTCGCATTGTATGAACGATTGTCTAATATTAGTATTACTCCTGATTACATGAAAATACAACAGATAAATACATGCATGAGCTAATGTATTTGTGCTTTAATATAGTGGTATGTATATTTATGTACATTGGTATATGCAGGTGTGTATGAGTATTGGTATTAAAATACACTACTACCAATATGGGCATAATTATTGATATGCGTAGGAGTATGAAGATCAGTATTAATCATTATTAGTACTTGTATGGTGCCTATTCGTATTGGCTTAAAAGAGTGTAAATATTAGTGTTAATGCTGGTATTAGCTTGGGCAGTCAGCAAATGATCAATGTCAGTATTAGTATTGGTAATCGTATTCGTAGGAGTACCACTTTTGCACTGACAATCGTCTAGACAGACCTTGCCTTTGCAAGTGAGTCGTAGTGCATGGTCTGTCATCCGATGGGTCACAATCAGCCCATTGAAAATCAATTCCAGAAGTTCCAAAATTTCCGAAATTTCCAAAATTTCCAAAATTCTCTCCCCTAACTTTCCGGATTTCCAAAATTTCCAAAATTTCCAAAATTTCAGAAATTTCCGAAATTTCCAAAATTTCCCAAACGACCCGACCTAGTCGACAGTAGTTTTCCAAAACATAAGGGCTGACTTTTTTGAAATTTTGGAAATTTTGGAAATCCGGAAAGTTAGGGGAGAGAATTTTGGAAGTTTTGGAAATTTTGGAATTGAGTTTTTGAAAACTGAGTGCCCCCTCCCCCCGATCACAGACCATGCGCTACGACTGAGTTGAAAGGGCATGGTCTGTCAACGGGGGGGGGGTGACCATATATATATATATATATATATATATATAATTAGGGTAATTATACTTATAGCCAAACTTATAACCCCAATTAAGGCACACATAACCTTACCTAGTGGGGTCCCATGATCCCCCAAGTAGACCCCATCCCTCTTACTTACTAAGTTCCATGATCCTCGAAGTAGGAGCCGTGAGTCAGGATCCAGCCTCATTTCTGGAACCGCCTTTGAGCTCTACACTGGCCAGCAGAGCCTGATTTCTGCCGAGGTGCCAAGGTTGAGATCAGGATAGAGACTGGAGACATCGATACACCATCATCTACTTGGAGGATCATGGGACTTGGTAAGTAAGGTTATAAGTACCTTAATTGGGGTTATAAGTATAGTTACCCTAACTATAACCCTAGTTACTAAGTCCCATGATCCTTTAAGTAGGGTTTTGAGGTTTCGGGCTTTAGCTGAGAGCTCCACATAGGAAGGTTAATTAGGGTTCACAGCCTACCATGATATAGATAAACCCTGAGAGCACCTGCTGCTTGCATAAACCCTTCTAGGACCCTTCTATTTGCAGCAACCCCTTCCGCAATATTGTCCAGCACTGCACCTTTAGGGGTAACTGGGCCCGAGGGGCAAGTGGGCTTCAGCATGCTTAGACTTGCGCATAGGAACAGTTTCATAAGCCATACTCACATTACATAGTCAAGGCAGCTTTTTGCTGACTGGTGTTTGACAGATTCTCGGTGTGTTTTGTTTTCGTGAAAGCATATACTTTTCACAGAACAGCAGCCTTTGCGTACCTGGTTCAGGACCTTTGCTCCATGCCACTCTTCATCTGGTACGACTACTTTTCCTGCCCGCAGTCTTTTCATGGGGAAACTTGGCTGCAGAGGCTTAGGCTTGTTTTGGGGTTTGTCCGTTAGCTTGGTTCATGGGAACAGTCCCCAAAAACGGCCTCCGTCTGAGGCTCCAGGCGCACTGTGCAAATCAAGAATTGTCGCTACCCACGAGAGCTAGAGTCACTATCAGGCACATTGTGGCCCCCTTTCGGATCCGCATGAAGCAGCGTTTTCTGGTTTCCTACAGGAGCTCGAATCATGGGCATATTGCAGGCCTCTGTTGGGATCTGTAAGCATAGCGTTCATGGTGTGCCAACTGTGTATAGGCACGACGGCAGGTTTTTCGGTCGCGGATTCTTGAGGGCTTCCATGATGGATTGCCTTGTTTTTCCCAGAGTTTACGCTGTTGATTCAGGTGCCTTCAGGCTGGGCTTTGTGTGGATTTTGTCGTTCTTACAACGTCATGCTTGGCATGAGGGCTATGTGCCGACCAAAACAATCATCTGGCGTCATGCGTGCCGGGGGGGGCGCTGAATCCTGAAACCAACTCAGAAAGACGCCCTGTGTCGTGCAAGGAGTCCCCATTTCCTGAACCCCAAAGCCTAAAACACCCAAAGCCCTGAAGACCTGAAGGCCCAATGCCGGGAAAGCCCCCGGAGCCCTGAAACCCCCAAGGCAATCTGGGAGTTTCCGAAAATAGGGGACCCTAATATAATACCTTAAATAGTAGGATCCTTATTATATGGACCCCTAAACAAGGTACCCCAATTTTCGGAAACTCCTATCTGAGCAAATGAACCCATGAGCCCTGAGGAGCAGTCTCGCCTCATGGCTATCGACTCCATTCCAGCTTACGTGGAACGCTGTCGCGTCTTGCTCGCCTAGGCGTTTTCAGGCCTAGGGTCTTAGCTTTAGGTCTTCAGGAGCTGTAGGGTTTTTAGAACATAGGGCTTTCTGCCTTATGCTTGCGTTTTTGGATTTGTGTTTGACCACATATATGTCCCCTGTTGTTGACAGCCCTCCCTGATTTGTCAAGATTGTGTTTGTAAGCGCCGCATCTGGTGGTGTGGTGTAGTTGCCGATCAAAGCAGTTAGCCCTGCCCTCGGCGAGAAAGTTCCCCAAAAGGCTTTGTGAATGTGATCGTGGAGCCCCTAGTAACTAGCGAAGATCCAGATTGGGGGGGAGGGGGGGGGGTCATGTAAGATTCAGTGTCGTTTCTGAGGGACCTTTAGAAAAATGATCATGATTTTTTTTCAGCCTACAGCCCTACCTAAGGGTTCTATACACCTGCTGCAACTCCCATTTGACATGGGGGGTCCATGCGCTCCGGTTCAAGGCTTATAATCAAAGGAAAAAAGGAGGGACCCTTAATGGGGACCCCTACCCTATAATGGGCTATATAATGGGTATATAATGGCTACATTAAGGGTATATACCTAGGGGTCCGTATTAAAGGGTCCCTCCTTTTACCCTTGGATATAAGGGTTCAGAGGAGCTTAGAGCTTGTTGTTTTTGGGCGGCTTAAGGTTTGACTGCGTGGGGGGTTTAGGGTGTGAAGTCGGCTGGGCTTGGGTGTTCAAGGATTAAGCAACGTCAACCCCGAACTCGGAACCCCAGAAGCGATTACTATAGTCTCCGTGGGGTTTTATTTGCGTTCATATAAAACCCATGAGACCATTAGCAATATCGCATTTATTATGGTTCGAAGGGGGTATAGATTAAACTCAAATGGACTTGAAAGGTCACCTCTGAAAGCTCCGTTTCATTCTCCCGCCCTTGCGCTTCCTGCTTTCTGTTTGCGCCTTCCCGAAACCCTAAACCCTAAAAGGGCCCAAGCCGTGCGAAGACGGACGCAGACCCAAAAGCTGCTGCTGAGCTTGCAGAGCTTAGCCTCGATTCCGAAAAAAACCCTCGACCCCAGTGCTTTGCGTATAGTACAGGTGCCTCTAAAGCACATAGACAGTCTAAGCCCGGGGCCCATGCTACTCTCTTTTTTCCGAGGCTTCTTCGTCGCCTTGTGCCCACCCATTCGCCACAAGACCACCGATACGGCCCCTCGGAGCAGGAGATTGTAGTCTCGGGCTGGGGCGCTGTGTGGATTCAGGGCTTAGGATGTGTTTTCATTTGGGGATATTGTGCTTGGAGGTTGAGGGTTACTGTTTTAGGGTTTGGGGGTTGAGGGTTGTCGGAAATCTGGGTTTTGGCCATTTTCTCAGCGCTCCCAATAGTTGAAAGAGAGGCGGCCTCCCTCTGATCATGACATGGCTCCCAATTAGAGACCAGTGTGAGGGGATTTGTGTTAGATATTTCCATGGCTGCGTTTGGCTTATGTGCTTTTTGCGGGCCCTGCCTAAGACGAAGTCTGGTGCCTGGGGCAGTGTTTTATTCAGTTAGCTTGACAACTAGCATTGACATTGGTGGCCTTCTTAAGACAGCTGTGCCACAATGTACCTTCATTTACCTTGAGGCATCGTTCCAGCTTCATTGTTCTAAGTCTCCTGATCCTCTAAGTATGGCAAACCGTTGTTTCACCCAGTCAGATGGCAGTGGGCCCTGACCCAGGCAAGCGAAAGAAAGCATCCTTCCACAGTTTGTACATCCCCAGACACCGTGATCCGGAAAAGCCTGGAACTGAACCCATGAACTCAATCCCTTCAGCAAGAATGCTTGCCGATACATCAGTGCGTGTACACAGACAGACCCCTGCACACTGCGGCCCAAGGTGCTGAACAAGCAGACATGGTCGAAGAGAGGTTGGTGTCGGTTCCTGGATGAAGATACGGTTAAATCATACCAGAATAAACAATCTACCTTAATCTAGTAATATATCATAATACCATAATCTGCCTTAATCTAGTACTATACCATAATACCATAATCTACCTTTATCTAATAATATACCATAATGTGCCAGATCATACATTGAGGAATTAGGGGAGTTCCGAGTGGGTCTTCGGGAGCTTCTCACACTGGCAGCGAGGCATTGGGTCCTGGACGGAATCAGACGGATTGCAGAGAAGTGTCCTTGATTTTTTCGAAAACCTGCAAAGTCATAAATCATTTAAACATATGTATATATATACATACATACAACCCTCTACATTCTGGCTCTCGTATCATCAAGGGGTTGATACAACTTAAGAGCGAGTCTTTCCGGAAGGCCTTTGTCATGACAGCTCTGTGTGTGTGTGTGTGCGTTGCTTGGAAATTGATGGAGCAGTTGACAGTGATCCGGCGAAGGCTTTTCACCTGCATAGTGTTACGTATGCATAAATCAATGTGAATATATATATATATATATATATATATATATATTAGTTGTTTATGTACATGTACATATACATATATACATGTGATGGCCATGACGGTTTGGCACTTGCGTATCTGCATACGTGTGCATGCGGTTGAGTAGACATACGCCTACTCATAGTCATACATATGATTCTGTGAATTTTTTATGTATATATATATATATATGTATGTATACATACATGTGTATGTATACACATATATGTGTGTATATATGTATATGTATATATGTGGCGGTGGTCACCTCTTCATGTACGTCTGCATTTCAGAGTTCATGCACAAGATAGACAACCTCGGGCTTTTGCTCCGTAGGGTTGCACAGGATTCTGTGGTGCTGATACTTGGAGGGTCATGGGACTTTTTAAGTAGGGTTATAAGTACCTTAATTGGGGCTATAAGTATAGTTACCCTAATTACAACCCTAAGTTACTAAGTCCCATTATCTTTTAAGTAGGGTGAGGGCTTCGGGTTGCTGTCAGGTTTACTAATCGGCTGAAAACACCGAGAAAGGCTTGAAACTGAACCAGCGTCCGTTTTGGGTTTGGGAGTTTCGGTTTAGGAAGGCTTTAGGGATTAGCAGTGTAACGTTGGGGGTGGAGGGTTCGCAACTCCAGCCAGAAACTGCAAACTGGGAGTTTCCGAAATAGGGGACACTAATATAGCACCTCAAGCATTAGGATCCTTATTATCAAGACCCAAAAAGAAGGTACCCTTAATTTTCGGAAACCGCAAAGCGTTGAAAGCAGGTTGGAGAGGGCTGCGCGAGAGCTCAGTGGCCTCACCGACACGAAGAACATCGAGATTCAGGGCCCGCAGGGCTGGTCTGGGGGTTAGGGGTTTAGGTTCAGGGTTTAGGGGTAGTAGTTCTAGGGATTTAGGGTTGCAGGCTTTTGGCGTTTAGGGTTTAGGGTTTAGGGTTGAGGGTTTAGTTTAGGCCTTAGGGCTTAGGGTTTAGCTGATGGTTGGTAGGCCTTGTATGTTCGGGCCCGGGGTCAGTCAGCAAGAGGCGACTACGCCACCAATATAGCGGCCTCAAGAAATACCAATACCCAAGACCGCTCCTTAGGTGTACCTAACCTAATCATACCAAACCCAACACCGAAAGCCTGCTCAATCATTAACCCTGTGCTTCCAAGGACCTCATAGTTAGGGCCCTAGACACCTTAAGAACCCAATAATGAGGTCCCTTGAAGCCTAGGTGATACTTACACTGCGCAACCAACTTGGCGATAGATCCCTGTTCTCCGAGAGCCTTCTCAAAGTCAAACCCTAAACCTTATAAGCCCTACACCAAAAACCCCTACAGTAGAAGCCAGAAAGTTGGAATATCATTATCGTAACCCCCTTAAGGTAAATTATAAGGTATCCTACCCTGAAACCATATTCCAACTTTCTGGAGTTCCCTTTAGACCCGAATCCCTGCCCTTTTCCTCCCGAAGGCGCCCGTCAGTTGGCAGTTGCGCCGATCTTCGACTGGGTCTGGGCACCCGTAGGAGAGGGCCACTTTTCCGTCGCGCAGCTCGGGTCGAAGGTGCTAGGGTTGATGATGTAAGCCGGTATATTCCCTATTATGGGTGATGCAGGATTTATATCATCAGCCGGTTGATAATGTAAATCCTGCATTACATATGAGGAATCTGCCGTAATTCCCATAGTTTAGTGTCCTTAAGTTAGTGCAGGATTTATATCATCAACCGGTTGATGATGTAAATCCTGCATTACCCATAATGAGGAATCTGCCGTAATTCCCATAGTTTAGTGTCCTTAAGTTAGTGCAGGATTTATATCATCAACCGGTTGATGATGTAAATCCTGCATTACCCATAATGAGGAATCTGCCGTAATTCCCATAGTTTAGTGTCCTTAAGTTAGTGCAGGATTTATATCATCAACCGGTTGATGATGTAAATCCTGCATTACCCATAATGAGGAATCTGCCGTAATTCCCATAGTTTAGGGTCCTTAAGTTAATGCAGGATTTATATCATCAGCCGTGACACTGCAATATACTGCAACACAAACTATCATAATGCACGATAATCTACTATGATGAGCTGAAGTAGTGGTACTTCTACGACAAGAGACTATGACGTACTATGATGTGCTGTAATGGAATTAACTACTACAAGATAGTCGGATCTGCTACAGCATCTTACAATCTACTACAGGCGCTAGGTTTTGTGGCCGGCCCCCGGAAGCACATACGCCAAGAATTGGAGAGGGATATCCTCTGTAAATCCCTACTCTCCTGTGAGTAGCTCAAGAAGTCTAACTTCGAAGGGCAGATTCTCTTTAGTCGGGTTTCCTAGGTTCGTAGACTTCTAATTGTCGCTCGGATTTGTGGCACCTTTGTATCTGGTCTTCGTTAGGGCTAGGGACGGCAGTGCACCCAGGCGGAACCTTGTAGATGCCTGAGTCTGGGGCTGCTACTGTACATATGTCCTTAGGAGGTAGCATGTTTCCAGGAAGTAGCTGACTGGCAGCATATTATATTCCGTGCACGACGAACATTATAGTGTAGTTACAGTAAGGACTGACAAGGGGACTATTGTTTCTGATGTCTCGATCGGTTTTGAGTCGAGCGTACTGGTCGGTCTCAAGTGCACTTGACATGGGGGTGTGGATACTACAGGGGCCCAAATAATTACCTATACGAGTTTGGGGGTTCGTTCTTATGCTTATAGTACAATTAATATGCTCCAAAACCCTATTCTAACGATTCCGGCCCCTATATTGTACTGTAAGCTCCGGTACTGTGCAGGGTCTGTAGATCCGATCTCTCGCGATGCTGATACTGACTCAAAGAGTACCCCCTGATAGTCCTCACATATCCATATTGTTGCATACCCCCAATACCCTGTACGAATGTCGCGTTTTGAAATACTCACTCGGTCGCGCTGCGGGTAGTTTTTTTTTGCAGGGACGTCGTTCAATTGCCGGCGTTTGAGATTGCTATAAAACAGCCAAGGCAAGACAAAGAGAAGATCGCCTCGGTGGTGAGGAGCCTCTTGACTTCCAGAAGCATGTTGAAGGTTTGGGGGTTTGGGTGAGATCGGTGACTTAGGGTCAGAGAAACAGAATGGCAGGTTCCAGCGAACCTACTAGACTACGAGTTTGCGGCCTAGCAGGATGTTCATGTGGGAGTTTCCGAACATAGGGGACCCTAATATAGCACACTAAATAGGATCCTGATTATAAGGACCCCAAAATGAGGTAACCTAATTTTCGGAAACTCCCATGTGTCTTCCGGGTTTCCTAAGGAGGTTGCCACAAAGGCAGGATGCAGCAACATGATGAAGCGTAATGCCGCAATGACGGCTGACACAACCGAACTAGGCGCGACTAGGGTCTACTTGGGGGATCATGGGACTTAGTAAGTAAGGTTATAAGTACCTTAATTGGGGTTATAAGTATGGTTACCTTAATTACAACCCTAGTTACTAAGTCCCATGATCCTTTAAGTAGGATGATACTCCCCGAAGTAGAGGGTTTGGGGTCGGGGGCTCTGGTTTAAAAGCTGACCCACGAGTCGATCTCGCGTGGCAAACACAAGAACAATGGGGTCCTTATAGCAAGGATCCTACTATTTAGAGTACTATATTAGGGTCCCCTATGTTCGGAAACTCCCATAACAGCCAATCCCTCTTGTGCGTCTCGTGCAAGGCATGGTTTTCCGGAAGCTGCACATCAACCTCTTGACGCTTGGAGCAATGAGCCTGCCAGCGCGACTACACGTGTACTCCATTTTCAGAGACCACCACCAGGAGAGCACCAAGAAAGCCCAGGACGACAACCCATCAGGAGACCCTAGGACAGGAGAGTAGCAGGAAACAGGGGACGAGCCGGACAGCACCAGAAGTAAGAGGAATACTAAGATTGTAGCAAATAGTAGCACTAGTGGTAGTGGTAGTGGTAGTAGTAGGAGAAGAAGAAGTAGTAGTAGTAGTAGTAGTAGTAGTAGGAGAAGTAGTAGAAGAAGAAGTAGTAGTAGTAGTAGTAGTAGTAGTAGTAGTAGTAGTAGTGGTAGTAGTAGTGGTAGTAGTAGTAGTAGTAGTAGTAGCTCAAGATCAGCCAAGGCAGGGGAACTGGCACAGCTACCGCCTGATGCTGAACTTGCACCTTGGCCTCCGGCTTCGCTTCAGGATTTAGGAGCTGCCCCAGCCATTGGGCAAAGTACTGGGGTGCTTGGCACAATTCGCTCGTGGACAGTTTGCTCCGAGACATTCGTCGACATCTTGCCGTGCCTTCGGATATCTGCGCGAGTCCAACTGCAGAAACTGCAAAAATTCAGACGCCCCCGATACCAAGAGTGAAATCGATGACTTGGGACCTTTGCCTTTATCGAAACGGAACCCTACACTACGAAACACTATCCGCTAATGTAGGAGCTTAAATAATTACCAATATTATGGTGGGGGGTCCTTAATATAATTATAGTATAATGGGCCCCAAAACCCTATTCTAATTATTAAGGCCCCTACATTAGGAAGTTTCAGCAGTTGCTTCAGACGCGAAGCTGAGCAGGGCAAGGGCTGCAGCTTGGGAGGTTACTTGAAGGATCATGGGACTTAGTAACTAGGGTTCCTTAAAGGGTTCCTAAAACGGAATCTATAAGGGTTCTATAAGAGAGGTTTTAGGGTTACTTAAAGGATCATGGGACTTAGTAACTAGGGTTATAATTAGGACCACTATACGTAGAACTACTTCGGGGAGTGTCATCCTACTTAAAGGATCATGGGACTTAGTAACTAGGGCTGTAATTAGGCTAACTATGCTTATAACTTATATCTACTTATAACCCCAATTACGGTACTTACAACCTGACTTACTAAGTCCTATGATCCTCCAAGCAGGGTTTATCGGACTAACTAAGGCTTGGCGGTGTGGGGTTTAGGCTTTAGGGTTCAGGCGTTAACTCGGGTGTAAGCGCCAAACCCTATTTGGACCCGTAGAGCCTTTCCCTGCTTGGACGGCCAAATGCAATGCCAGGCAGCGGATCCAGTACCGAAGCTTGGCCATCGTCCCGATAGAGGATGTGATTCCAGGCCTCGATCTCTGAACCCCGAATCCTAACCCCGTCAGTTTCAGTGGCTGGGTCCTGTAGGGATTCAGGGGTGCATGCGTGACGACTGTGGGTCATCCAAGAGAGAAGTACAAGATAGGCATTTAGCCACGCAATTTCGAACTTTAACTGTAGATATGTTTGGGCGTTGTTCTTGTCTCTTGTCAACTTTGTAATCATGCTCTCAGAAAGCTTCCACGCAAGCTTCCTGGAAAGCGAATACTTCACATTCTAAACACTTGTCTGCAGAGCTTTCAAAGTGCGCATGATTGGATAGTGGCAGTGGTATTTGGCAGTACGATGCTAGTAGTGCACTAGTTATATCACATAGCAGTCCAAAGCCTAATCTAGTCACCGCGTTTTATGCTTCTACCGACACATGTTCATGAACCTTGCAAAGACGAAGTAAACTTATAGCCATACTGCTGATGGACAAAATCCTGCATTACCCATAATAAGGAATATACCATAGTTCCCATAGTTTAGAGTCCTTAGGGTCATGCAGGATTTTGTCCATCAACTGTAACCGAGACATCACAAAGGATCCAAGAATCATGGGCATGGCCACCCCTGAACATCGTCATATCACAGAAAAGCACTCGAAGCAGAGCTACACATGGAGCTTCAAGTAGGGTTCCCCTCCCCGAAACCTGAACTTGAGAATTTCAAACCCTTAACTCTGAGCTTCAAGTAGGCTTCCCTGAACCCTAAACCCTAAACTCTGAGCTTCAAGTATGCATGAACTGCGTAGGCTTCAAGTCGGACGCCTCGGACCCTGCAGCCTACGCAACTGCGAAGTTTCTGGGCAGACTGGAAATTCTTTCGGCTTTTGAGTCTATAGGGTTTAGAGGCCCAGGCTCTGGGTATTTATGGGGATTTAGGGTTTGGGCGTTTCGGCTTTTCGGGTGCAAGCTTGTAAGGTTGGGCTATACTTTTGGGGGTGTAGGGGGCTTCTCTCTTGGCTGCCGGGTGGCTTTGCTCGATCATTGAAGGTTTTCAACTCCTGGAGCCGCATGTCCCACGTACCGTCGAAGATGCTTCCAGTCGCTTGTCAAATCTTTGTGGCGTACGCGTGCCTGGTACAGCCTACAGCGTCAAATCGTGTGATCAGCCATGCAACCGTTGCACAGGCTGTGAGCCTGAAAGCTCTGTGCAGAATATAATTACCCACGACTTGCAAACCCGGAGCCCCAAACTAAAACCCGGAGCCCCAAACTAAAAGCCCTCACACTGCAGTCAACCACGCGCCGTGCCGGACATCGCGCAAGAAAACCCTCAAGCACTGCGTTTGAACCAAGATTCGAGGGTTTCGGGTCTACAAGGAGTTTTGAAAATTAGGGCATCTTTTATTCCCTTGGGTGTATACTAGAGTCACCTTATCTTCTAGCACCATTACCAACACTTCCTCAAACCCTAAACCCCTAAACCCATATATGGCCCTAAACCCCTGAACCCTAAACCCGTAAACCTCCGAAAAAAACTCTCAGACTTGGCCTGCCAGGTTCATGTTCCAGAATGGCTTTCAGTCGCTCGATGAGCGCACACCAGAAGGCCGCCTTTGTAAGAGCTTAAAAATCTGTTGCAGTATTCCTTCAGGTTCATGAAGATGTTTGAAGTACGTTACATGCATACATACATACATATATATATACTAGTTATATATACAGATAGCAACCTTTACTTTTACAATGTATCTTTATGTGCAAGTGTCTGTGTACATATATATATATATATATCACACACACCAAAGCATGTTTCGAGTTGCTAAGGCGGCCAAAGAGGAAGTTGTCAAGGGCAGTTGTAGCTTCCGACTCTCTTGGAAACAAAAAGACCGAGGCGTAAAATTGAGCCCGCAATAGTTTCCAATGTTACTGCGAGGGTTCCTTGTTATAAGTGTACTATGGAGCCCGCAATAAGCAATAATTACCAAGATTATTCCTGGGGTTCCTTATTTTAAGAAGTGTGCTATAATTAATCTACCCCAGAACCCTATACTAAGAATTCAAGCCCCTATATGAACGGTTTCGGGCTTGCGGGAGCACAGGCCGACTATAGGCATATCCCAACACAAGGGACCCCTAATCAACCCTAAACCTTAGAAGCTGCCCCCACCCTGTAATCGTGACTATAAGGATTATATTAGGGCCCTATTATATTCCTATTATACCACTATTACAGGGTGGGGGCAGCTTCTAACCTAAACCCTAAACCGGGCCCCAGTTGTGACGGCTTTGGCTTTGGGCTCTTCTGCGAATGGCCCCCTGAAGCAGATTTGGACCTGCCGCTGATTTTTCGACGTCCAAACACACAAATTGGAGGGTTTAGGTTCTGAGATACCAACAGCCGTTCTTATGTTGGCAATACCCCTCTTCGGCTAGAGTAGTGCAGCTGTGCAACAGAAGGAGACCGTGAGCCAGAGTACACCTTATTTCAGAGTACAGTAGCCTTCCTAGACCCTCCATCTACCCTCTATTAGACCCTAAATGCCCCTTATTTGGGACCATATACCCCTGTTTGAGGGTACAAGGAGGGTCCTGGTTAGTCTTTAGGGACCTGGGCCAACAGCTACCCGAGACTCCCAGGCCCCTCACCTCAGTCAAGGAAAGTCCTTAGAAGTACTTCAAGGATCATGGGACTTAGTAAGAGTTTAGGGTAATAAGGGTACTATAGGGTTCTATAATAGGGTTCCTTAAAAGGATCTATAGGGGTTCTACAATGGGGATCATGGGACTTAGTAAGTAAGGTTATAAGTACCTTAATTGGGGTTATAAGTAGTCTAGTTGCCTTACTTATAACCCTAGCTGCAGTACTATAGGGGCCTTAATAATTAACATAGGCTTCCTTTAAGGGGTCCTTTAAAGGGGTCTATAGGGGATCTGTAGTAGGGTTCTATGAAAAAGGGGCCTTAAAAATTACCTACAATATTGAGGTCCCTATATTAGAGATCCTTAGTTCAGGTAAGAGATCCTTAGTTAAAGGATCAGGGGACGTAGTAACCAGGGTTATAATTAGGGTAACTATACTTTTAACTACTTATAACTCCAATAGAGGTACTTATAACCATACTTACTATGTCCCATGATCCTCCAAGTAGTTCAGGGACCCTTAGCTCAGAATTCTTTCCATCCCGAGTCCAGATTAGAGGAAACCATCCAGATACACTGAGAGCTGTCCTTGGTTTTTGGGTGCAGGGGTTAGGGTTTACGACTTCGGGCATTCGGACCCTAAAGCCTTAAAAGTTGAAAGACCTTGCAGAAGCCCCTGCGGAATCCCTAGCCGTCCCCTTTTCGAGTTCTCTTGCTTGGAGGGTCATGGGACGTAGTAAGTAAGGTTATAAGTACCTTAATTGGGGTTATAAGTAGTTATAAGTATAGTTACCCTACTTATAACCCTAATTAGTAAGTCCCGTGATCCTTTAAGTAGCCGTCCCCTTTTCGAGTTCTCTTGTGACCAGGGTGGAGCCCTATTTGCTTTGCGGCGGTGGAGGGCAATGCCATGGTCCTGTCCACTCTGATTGAGATGCTTGGCTTAGGGTTTTCAGTGCTTGTTGGTCTTGGGGTTCAGAATGGTTCAGAGCTAGAGGGCCCTAAACCCTAAACCCTAAACCCTAAACCCTAAACCCTAAACCCTAAACCCTAAACCCTAAGCCGAAACTCTTAAATCCTATAAGCCCTACACCCCTAAAGCTGTGCGTTTAGAGTGCAGTGCCTAGCGGCTTCAGGAGTTAAAGGTTGAAGGTTCAGAGCCCTGGGGGAACTAAGGCAGTCTTGAGCTTTCGGGAATAGGGTTAGGGTTTAGGGTTTCGGGTTTCGGAGCTTTAGGTTTAGGGTTTCGGGTTTCGGGTTTAGGGTTTAGGGTTTAGGGTTTCGGAGCTTTAGGTTTAGGGTTTAGGGTTTAGGGTTTCGGAGCTTTAGGTTTAGGGTTTAGGGTTTCGGGTTTCGGGTTTAGGTTTAGGGTTTAGGGTTTCGGAGCTTTAGGTTTAGGGTTTAGGGTTTAGGGTTTCGGGTTTAGGTTTAGGATTTAGGGTTTCGGAGCTTTGGGACTCGCGGCTTTTCCTTCATCGGAGCTTCAAGGCTTTGGCGGCAGACTCCTCGTGTTCGATCGAAGCTCCTTAAGTCTTAGGGGTACTTAGAAATATTTTTTAGTTTTTCGCTATTATAATCCCTAGGAAACAGCTAAAATTATATTTTTTGCTAGGGTTCTAAGTTCAGTATAGAAGTGCAAAGCCCCCCAGGTCCGGCATCCCCAAATCTCCAAACGAGCATTAAACACGAACGAATCCTAAATCCCAAATCCTAAGGCAAGCGAATTTCCAGATCCTAAACCCTAAACCCTACCAAACCTGTTCTGCGGTAAAGAAAAAGAGTGTTCAAAAAAAAACCTACCAAACCCTCTCCTCAACACCTCCATCGTTTTACCTGCAACTCCTCGGGGCCTCCTCTTGTCCTCGGGCTTCCGGCTTTCATTCGTACGGGATCCTATGCTCAGTAGCTGTGTCGATACACTTGACACTTCTTGGGAGCTTTTTACCCACTATAAAACTGAAAGTGTACACTTTTGGGGGGCTTATGAACTCAGCAACTAAGCATAGAGACCTTTGTAGCCAGAACAGGGTTCTGTACAGGTTCTTCAAAGTGTTTGTCTACTTAGGGGTTACTACAAGGGTCGCTGCGAGATTTCTGGAGCGAAGGACCTTGCTTGATGGATGGCTTGTAAAGAATTCTTGTAGCCCCTGCAAAATTGGACCCTACTTGGAGGATCATGGGACTTAGTAAGTAAGGTTATAAGTACCCTAATTGCGGTTATAAGTATAGTTACCCTCATTATAACCCTAGTTACTAAGTCCCATGATCCTCCAAGTATTCTGGCTATGCAGGCCCGTATATGAGGCCGGAGGCTGGGCTCGCAAGTTCCGAACGTATCCTTCACCCCAAATCGGAACCTAAACCCTAGACCCAAAGCCTGACCTGGACCCTGAAGAACCTTCCTTTTCAAGGTTCTTTATGCTGATGTCCTTGTTGTATAAATCCTTCAAAAGGTAGGTTCTTCAGGGTTAAGTCCTGAGAAGTTGATTTTGTAGGGCTTACAAGTCCTTCAAAAGGTAGGGTGTTTCCGGGTCCAGGGTTTAGGTTTTAGGGGTTTAGGGTTTAGGGGTTTAGGGTTTAGGGTTTTAGCCCCCCCCCCCCCCCAAAGAAAAAGAAAGCCCAGGATGCGGGCTGACCCCAATGATCTGGTGCAGCAGAGTGAGCCTGTGCCCCTGGAATGCGGCTTTAGGGGTTTAGGGTTTTAGGGTTTTAGGGTTTAGGGTTTAGGGTTTTGGGTTTAGGTATTAGGGTTTCGGGTTTTAGGGTTTAGGTAGGGTTTCGGGGTTCAGGGGGTAGGGTTTCGGGGTTTAAGGGTTTCAGGGTTCAAGATTGAGGAAGTTTAGGGTTAGAGTCGGTTCAGGATTCAGGGTTTGGGCCTTCAGGAGGTGTTCTTTGTGCGGTTTGGAGTTTAGAATTTCGGGCCTAGGTTATAGCCTTTAGGGTTTAGGGTGTTGGGCTTGGGTCCTGGGTCTCGGATTTAGGGTTTAGGGTTGTTCACGGAGGTAGACTTTTTTCTACAGCTAGATTCTATCGAGGAAATCTTACACCCTAATGTTCAGAATGCTCGTAGTGTCTTGAGCAGCCTGTATGAATCTGCAACACTCTCAAAGGCCAACTCTCCGGCATGGGACGCAAAGGTAAGGTTTTCCTGAATCCAGCCCTCTACTTAAAGATGTTCTGCCCTTTCCGAGGTTACTCTTGGCTCCCCAGACGCCCCTGCTGCACATTTGCGCAGCTCTCTCTCACAACGAGGCCAGGTAGTCCACCGCAATGGTAGACTTGGCCTCAGCCACGTAAGCCCCTCTTCCAGCAGGCTCTCTGCTCAGCTTGTCGGATGTTAACGTATGCCGCCTCGCAGGATTCCACGACAGAATAAGGAACCCCCCAACTAATGTAGGTAATTATGAGTACCCTTATAGTATCCCTTATAGGACTCTTTTCAAGGAGCCCTAGAATGCCATTACTGTAGGAGCCGCTCCCGAGCCGGTTGAACACCTAAGCCCTCGGTACTTGGAGGATCATGGGACTTAGGAACTAGGGTTATAATTAGGGTAACTATACTTATAACTACTTATGACCCCAATTAAGGTACTTATAACTCTTTGGAGCCCTTCTGCTGGGGCTGAGCCTACTGCGCCTCTTCAACTTGACGTTCTGACCCTCCGACTTGCCGTCCTTCGACAAGACCCTGAACCCTAAACCCTGGTCCCTAAACAAAGACGTCAGAATCCTCAAGACCAAGACATTGAAGCTCTAGACGTCGAGTGTACCGCCGGAAGCCCCCAGCGCAAAATGATGCCAACCTCAGCCGCCGAAACTGTTTTGAAGGGCCTGCAAGCTTGAGCCTATACCGGGGCCTGCAGCCATCAGGCGTTCACGTGACGTGTCTGGGTGTACGGCTTCGGCCGCAACATACATATAAACTCAATATCTCCTCGTCAATGTCTCCATTCATATATACGCTGCACACCATCCTGTAGCTTTGCACCTGAAACTTCTGCTTCAAAATCCTTGGCTCGAAACCTGCCAATAACTCTTGCAACACCCACAGTCACTAGGTTCATTTGTGTGCACCTACCTTTTTCTGTAGATATATATATATATATATGTATACATTATATGCACAAACAAATGTTTGTGCATGTGTCCTGCTAGCTTACAAGTATAAGTGTATGTACATGTGTGCATATATATATATATATATATGTACATATATATATACATACAGATATACACATACCTACACACACACATATATATATATATGTATATATATGTATGTATATACACACACAGATGTCTTGAAGCTCTCAGCCCCACACACACACAAGGCCCTGCAAGTGCTCCTTACAGCACGTGCCGACCTTGGGAGCACCGACGGCTTCGGATCAACGGCTCTACTCTGGGCGGCGGCGGTGAACAACGTGGAGGGGAGCCACGGTTTAAGGGTTTAGGGGTTTAGGGTTTAGGGTTTAGGGTTTAGAGTTTAGGGTTTAGGGTTTAGGGTCTAGGGTTTAGGGTTAGGGTAGTTGTCAAAGTTAGGGTCCCTTTTTGGCTTCTTGGGCACCTCAAGTATTAGGTGACTTTTTTTCATGGGGGCCCAAAAAGGGACCATATTTCTGACAACCACCCATTAATCAACATGAGCCCTCCGGATTTTTTACAATGGGTATATAAAGGCATCTGTGTATGGTGACTTTTGTAAAGGGTTCTTATCGACAACTATTCAGACCCGAATCGGGCCACTTCGGGATGACTTGCCACGGTCTCTTGGCTTCGTCGGGTGAGAAACCAGGGTTGGACAGGAGGATGCTCTTTGTTCGTGAAACATGGATGTGGTGAGACTGAGCAAGATCATCAAGCTCCGGAGTGCAGTAAGCAAGGTAACTATAGTTCTATCTACTTATAACATTTATTAAGGTACTCATAACCCTACCTACTAAGTCCCATGATCGTCCCAAATAGACCCTAATCACTAAACCCTATAGATCTCTTTGAGGAACCCTATAGATCCCTTTAATAAACCCTTTAAGGAACCCTACTAAGTCCCATGATCCTTTAACGAATCCCCGCGGAGCGGCCCAGGATTGAGATCTTGAGCCAAGCCGGCTGCGATTTCAAGTCGCCGAACATGGCTTCTTGGCTTGCTTCATAAACCCGAAACCCCTAGACCCCTAAACCCCTACATGGCTTGGTTCATAAACCCTAAACCCCTAGACCCCTAAACCCCTAAACCCCTGAGCCCTAAACCCGGGGCTTCAGTTCGATGCGAAGGCTTGAGAGGTTGGTGATACGACAGCTCGGACAGCAGGGTCTTGGGTGGAAGGTTTGGATGCTCCTAGCTCGGGCCATAGGGTCTAGGAGTTCGGACGTTCAGCTTGCAAGGCTGTGAAGGTCCGAAACCTGCGAGCCGTTTATAAACGAACTCAGACCTAAACCCGAAAAGTTGTTACATAAGACCCAACGCTAAGCCCTTGGATAGCAAGCCCGCTGTAAACCCTTCAACAAGCAAACTCCTTCCTCAACCCTACAAACATCAGGTATAAGCCACCACCCTTAAGCGTAGATAAGCACTTTCACCTGAAGAAGAAGCTGCTTCAAGCCTGAACCCTCACACAGCCCTACAGCTCTGCAGCCTACGGAGGTGGGCTACTCACCATTCGTGGCCGCCAGCGTCATCGGGTGTATCGAAGCCATGAAGCTGGGCCTCAATGATGTGATACTAGTAGAATATTAACACAATACAACATAAGATAATGTAATATGCCTCTGTTCGGGCTTACATGTGACGTTGGGGTTTGAGGGTTTAGGGGTGTGGGTGTTTAGCGGCTAGTCTTTAAAAGGGCTCAGGAGCCCTTGTGTGATGTAGGCCCTTCATGAATAAATCACCTTTCCTCCTGTAATCTGACTCTTATCCCTACGAACGCGGCACGTGTTTATGAACCAAGGCCTGTTGATGGGCCTTTTGTAAGCCACCCGTTTCTTTACGAGTGCTCTGCGCTGTGCTTTGGGGTTTGACATGGTTGTCTTAAGGGTTCTAATAGGAGATCGGCACAGGCTGTTGGAAGACCAATCTAAATCTCGGGGCTTAGTACATGGAATAGGGTTGGAGTTGTACAGTATCGCAGTGAGTGAGCACCTCAAAGGATGCTGTTGCAAGTACTCAGCCGTTACATATAACGTGTCAGTATTCTCAACGCTGACCACTGACAAAGGTGCCCGAAGAACTGCAAGAATGGTCCTTAATGGCTCCCGAACGCCGCTATAGTACGATTGCCCCAAAGCCAAATTGTAATTAAGTCTTCCGAAACACAAGCATAGCACAGTTGCCCCAACGCCCCTTTGTAATTGAGTCGAACCGTGGTAAGAACCGGTACGAACCCGTGTTAAACTCTGAAACACTTCTCGGCACAGCAGCGCTGAAGACAGCAACTCCTGCGAAAGAATGAGAACCGCATGAGAGATGCCAATTAAACCCGAAACCCTAAGCTCGCCGAATCATTAAAAAGGAGCTCAAAAAAATCCCTGAATCATTTGAGTACATAAAGTGCAAAGCGCATGAGGTTTTGGCTTCGGAGGCATGCGAGCAGTCGGGGGTGTTTCGGGTTCCGGATGCTTCCGGAGCTTTCAGGTTCAGCGCTGAAGCAGCCCGGAATAGATTCCGCTACCCAAAAACCGGTACAAAGCCCATGGCCTAGCACTTCCCTGCAAGACGCAGACGTCCTAATCCCACTCCTCACCTGCAGGGTTCATATCGCGTTTGCACCACGGTTGCGGGTTTGAAGGCGGAGGCTTTGGGGTTTAGGGTTTTGACCTTGGGCCGTTGGAAGTGTGAAAGCAAAGTTTCGCGCCCCAGGACGAAGCTTCTTCCACATGCATCGCCGCAAGAGCTGAACCTGGCGCTGCACAAGACGAGTCTTGCCTGCCTTGGGGTCAAAGAGCTATCGTTGTCGGAATCGTTCTATACGTTATAGTATGTTTCGTTAGATGATATTACTATTATACTAGTGTGTGTTATGTCATGATATACTGTGCATTATTATATTACATGCCCCTAGGTATATACCCTTAATATAGCTATTATATGCCCATTACATAGCCCATTATAGGGACCCAGGGGTCCCCATTAAGGGTCCCAGGTAGTGACTCCCTTTGCTTGCGTCCCCACGAGGATCCTCCACGGCTCTGGCTCCGCTGAGGTGATGCTCATCCTGGTACCTGGGTTTTTATTGAAATCTAAAGTTAAAGGGATCCATAAGGCAGCTTTTTTTAGGGATCCATAAGGCAGTTTTGATTGAAATCTAAAGTAAGAGGGCTTTAGGGTTGTTTAGGGGTTTAGGGGTTTAGGGTTTAGGGATCCATATAAGAAAGGGATCCATAAGGCAGCTTTTTTTTAGGGATCCATAAGGCAGTTGTTTTAGGGATCCATAAGGCAGTTGTTTTAGGAATCCATATAAGGCAGCTTTTTAGGGATCTATAAGGCAGCTTTTTTTAGGGATCCATATAAGGCAGCTTTTTTTAGGGATCCATAAGGCAGCTTTTTAGGGATCCATAAGGCAGCTTTTTAGGGATCTATAAGGCAGCTTTTTTTAGGGATCCATATAAGGCAGCTTTTTAGGGATCCATAAGGCAGCTTTTTAGGGATCCATAAGGCAGCTTTTTAGGAATCCATAAGGCAGTTTTTTAGGGATCCATAAGTCAGTTCTTTATTGTCTGAACAGGCTTTCATGGGACGTCACAACGTTTTTGTCACGTATGGGGCATGTATCCGGGGCCTCGGCCGTTTTGGCCTGTGCCAAAAGCCATGGGTCAATGAAGGAGTCAAGCATACCTACCTAGCGCTGCCAAGTGAACACACTTATTTCCGGTCGAAATCAACTTGGTGGGGATGTGGGAGTTTCCGAAAATAGGGGACTCTAATATGGAAGCCTAAAGTAATAGGATCCTTATTTTAAGGACCCTAAAATAAGGTACCCCTATATTCGGAAACTCCCATGTAAGCTCTGGTTCAAGCCTGTGCTCTGGCAGGTAAACGCCGGAGCAGACGTGAACTGCCAGCTGCACACGCCCTTGATCAGCCCCTTCGGCATCTTGTTCTCCATGCTCAGCATCCGCAACCACTGGAGGCAGTCTACGCTGAGCGCCTCGGCTCGGTCAGTGCTGCGGCTGCTGGTGCTGTTCTTAATCGCAACGGTAGGTCGTGGGTTTCCAGGACTATGCGCTGTTCTCAATGGAGTGTTCAGGATCAAGGAAGGTTGAGTTCCTTCAATCTGGAACACCTCAGACCTCGTTCCTTCTGTGGAAGTCGGAGGTGTTCTGTCGCTTGAAACAGCTCGGCGCATCGAAGCTCTAGAGTGGCGCCCGAATTCACCTGGATGTGGTTCTCTACGACACCGACTCATAGGTTCGGTTTCGGCTGCTTCCGCCGAGGTTACTATGCTTACCACCACTACGGGGCAACCCCGCTCATGCTCCTTGGCCTCTAAATCTCTTCCTTCAGTCTCCTGACAAGAATGCAATAACGAAATTGAAAGCATTGGCCAAAAGCCGCACTCGCTGCCCCGACCGCAATCTTAGACTCCAATTTGCCCCAACATGGAAAAAACACCGGAAAGCTATGAAATGCCGACACCCCTAGACCAGCTTTCTCCAGTACTAGTATTCCTTAGGGCTCCTCATCAGAAGTAAACTATGACACAACCTTCAAACATTCTGTTGTAAATACCAGGCCCGTGAAGTACTTAAGACAACCAGGACGACCTATGGTGCGATGAATCCCTGGCTCTTAGTAGGAAATGGGTTATAGGGTTTAGGAGTTATACGGACAACCATAACAAAGTATTGAGTATTGTAGGGATCCATTCCTGCAGTCCAGGAGACAATGGTCACTCAGGGGTTTAAGGTTTAGGATGGAGGCCGGGCCGCAAAACCTCATGCCCAAAAAATGCAGCAGTACTTCGGTTCTTGAAAGTCAGGTAGAGGTACTGACCTTGGATCGAGTCATCATTTTTGCCTCACTGTACCCTAATCCTTGATTTCTTAGCCTGCCCAGACTTGTCAAATCCCAAGGTGCAGCGTCATCACCGGGTCTTTCGAGGTTGGGGCGGTTAAGCTGCCAAGCTCTGTTTTATGCCTCCTCAAACGCAGTGCTCTACCCGAGTCTTTGAATGGAGTTCACTCACCTCTTGGAACATCGATCTTGAACAGGGAGACAAACAGCTCCACCAATTGCCATACTTTAGACGTCTACCTGGTTTGTGACATGCCAGGTGCTTGAAACGGAAGCCGAGTCTCTTCGCAGCTCTGTCTAAAGGTTTAGGGCACTGGCCCTGTACCACGAAATCAAGTGCCTCTAGGCCCTCGACCCTGAGTCTCCCAAATCCGAGCGTGCAATCCGTGCCAGGCGACTGCAGTTCTCCTGTCGGCAGGAGCATGTACGGAGTTTCGGAATGCACGCGGATGCACCTCAGGCTGCAGCGAGTGGCTTCGTTTCATGTCAGGCTTTAGGTGGCATCGGCGAGCTTGGCTGCAGAAAATGAAGAAGCCTACGACTTGGAGACTCCAGTCGGTTCCGAAGAAGCCAGGGTTCCAACTCGAAGCCTTCAGACGAACTACTTTAGAGTTCAACTGGCCATGATATCACTGTGGCAAAATGTAAACCCTTATTCTACCACTATGCTAGGCATCGCCCTCTGCCCGCAGACAGGGCGGGAGACGGGGCATGAGCTGTTGTTTTGAAGAAATGGGAGCGTGCTGCACTCCTGCCGTTGGTCGAGCGAAACAGTTCCGCCGAACCAAATATGAGACTTTTGGCAAAGTCGCATTTCGGGTTGTGGACGAAACGGGTGTCGCTTTGGCTAACTTGTTCAAGCTCTCCCGGCCGCAATTCTCGACTTTTCGCAATACTCTTCGCTGTAATGTTTTAGCAGATACACCAAACCCTCTATTCCAAATATTACGGCGACTACATTCAGCAGCCTCACCTCAGTCAGGTACCGTGCTCGACTTGGCTAGGGAATCATGCGCCCCAGAGCAGTCTCTCGGCTTGAATCCCCAACAAGACTTCCGGATTTTAAGAGTCAAGGCTGTTGCGACCTAAACCACACTACTCAACGCCTAAATCCTTGTATGTTGGGCTCAACTTACGTCGGGATGGGCGTGCATTCGGACCCAAAGAGGCACCCAAACACAAATTATTGAAGCCTGCACCCTTGCACATGTAGTTGTGCCGACAGAAGAGGACTACTGAAGCCTACCTGTATGTACTCGTTGCGGCGATACTGCCTGTCAGAGGTTACGGTCAGGTGCTTTGTTGGGCCTCCTACTGCAGCAGTATAGTCTTAGGCAGCTCTGTTATGAGGGTTCAGAATGTAGGGTTTCAGTTACTTAGTTTGTCGTTTTGTGGTCGGAGGCCTTGAGGGTTTTGGCTTCTGAAACTCGCAATGAGCGGCCACTTGTAGGGTGGTGAGTAAGGTACCTGTTTTTCCGTCATAGTAGGAGTAATGGTGCTTGGTCTAAACATTCAAGACTCTGCCAAACTGGAACCTGCCTGCCTACTTTGACTTTAGCTGCTTTCTGGGGCTTCTCGTCTGACCGACTAGCGGAAGGCAACCCCCGCCCCGCCCCCAAGCCCAACCCCCCAGCCACACAAAGGTTTGCTCGCCAACTTCAAGGCCCTACCTAATCTCCCAAAGCTAGTGGCGATCTGGGTTTAGACGGTAAACCCTAGTCCCTCAAAAGCTCTACACCTAGCGGGGACCCTAAACCCTCAAACCTAAACTCCTACACCTAGCCGGGCTTTGAGCTTAGTTTTTGAGCAATTCAGAGGTGGCGCCTCCATGTCCATCGATGGAAGCTTTTTGAGCTTTCAAACTGCGTGATTATTTATAATACATAGGGTTTCAAGCGTTTTGGTGTTCTGGGGTTTAGGGTCTGATTTAGGATATACCCCGAAACCTTCTTCTGATTCTCAAGGCCTGTACATCAGATGGATGAACCCAGACCCCCGGGAGGATCTAGAAAGTAGATCCCCCAATGTGGGGCCCTACACTACTACAGGTACTTTATAGGAACCCCCATAAGGGGATCTACTTTTTTGGATCCTCCCGGGCGTCTGGGAAACTACTTGTCGCCTTCCACCTTCCGAGGATTTTGTCTGCGATCGCATCTGATGGACAAGACCGAGAACGTCTATTGAACTGCCTCCCTTTTCAACTGGGAGTGATCTCCGAAGCATTTTAGATCTCTTTGCCATGGGATACCCACACCCGGCGTGCCCCCTTTTTGAAGGGGAGCGTACGGTTTCATGGGGCAGCTCTGAGAGCAGGGGAAAGCTTGATCTTAGACAGTGTTCCTTCACAACTGCAAGTTGGACCTAAACCCTAAACCCGAAATCGGCGATCCCAAGCCCTAGAAGCACTTGGTGCTCTTTTCCACAGCCTTTATAAGGAAAGTGGAGAACCAGACTACCCTGACGTGAAAAGAGCACCAGGCGAAAGTACGACTGCCGAGCATGCGAAAAACTGACCGCTGACGTCCATGCGGTTTCTTTCGGTTATCGTCTCCAAAAAGTGGTCCTTGGGCTCCTTCAACACGCTGGAGCGAGGATCGGAGAACAACATGAATTATAGTATCCTTAAGGGAGGGGGTTCCAAGGGGGGTACATGGCCTAGTGATCCCTAACTCTCCCTAGTACTCCCTAAGGTTCCCCTAAGGATTCCTTGTACCCTCCCCCCTTGAACCACCATCCCTTAAGGATCCTATAAATGAAGGTGATACACCTTATCGGCGATTCCTTGTTTTGCGGCCGCGGCTTCCCGGCTAGAGAGTATTGAGGACACCTGCCTGGCCGCACACTTCCTCGGGGTTTCGTGTATACCTAGGAAAATATGTCTGATGCACGCCAATCCGCTACAAGACTCTGCTAGCTTTCCGAAAAGTAGGCCAAAGACCCCCGCGAGCTTAACATAGGGGCCTTAGATACTATGTTGTTTTGGGTAGGGGGGGGGGGGTTCCTCATTGAGGGGTCCTTTAAAGGGATCTATAGGGGATCTATAGTAGCATTCTATGATATAGGGGCCTCATAATAATTACGAATCCTATTTTCAGGGTTCCTTATTAGTTGTGAAAATAGTCTTACGGGTCCCGAAACCTTATTCTAATTATTCAGGTCCCTATAGTAACAACCTGTAAAGCTCGGCAATTCCCTGAACTCGATATACATGAGAGCTAGTGAACAGGACAGGAAATCAGAATACCATGTACATTCCTAGGGTTTTGTGTGCCATACTTTATTACTTGTTGTTGACCTCGTCCTTAAAGGAACCATGATGCAAGACAAGTCTGCATGTTTTCTCCCTGGTACTTCACAGCCCAGATTCTATGCCGGTACCAAAGTGAGGTCTTGTCAATGGGGTACCTGTGCGAGACTGCAGTTCCCGGTCCTTGTTCTCCGGTGAGGGTTTTGGATCTAGGAGTTCAGGAACTTTCCAGCTTGGGTATGAACATGTGGCTGCAAGTTCGGGTCGGCTACAGCGGTTGCGCTCCCCAGTGTGAGGCAATTACTCCGTAGCCAGACAACTAAGCAAGTGATAAGTCGTGACATGGTTGTATGACCTCCAGATTACATTTCATCATGATTGTAATGTTGCTATATCCGGGTGATATTCGTTCATGATCACTACCAGACTCAACTCGGAACACTGCCTTAGGCCCTGCATTGATGAACCTCAGCTCATGCTTGCCGGCGCCACCGCCTTTATCATGCAGTTTCCCCCTAATGGTGGGAATGGCGTAGGCTGGCGATTCAACCATATGCCTGGCCAGAGTAGTGTAGAGATATTGTCAGTTTAGGATGTAGGGCTGAGGGCTGAGGGTCTAATTTCAACACCCTAAACCCTAAACCAGTCAGCGCTTAAACCACTAAACCGCTAAACCTGCGACCCCTGAATCCTAATCCACTCAACCCCTAAATCCTACTCCCCTAAACACCTAAACCTAAACCCCTAATCTGAGAATTTGGGGCCAGGAGTACTACTAGAAGGATTACTACAAGGACTACAAAACCTAGTTCCTTGTCCTTTTGGCGCCGCTGTTTCGTTGGTGGTGGGTTCTGATCCATAGCATTGGTGAAACTTCGTAAACGGTCTGGCTTGCATCGCTGGCGTTTGTGCGACATAGAGTCGCAGCGGACGCTCAAGGCGTCCTATTTTTTGGAACGCACTGCACTGCCTGAATCTCGGAATGCCTGCCCGGAGATCCGAAGATGCCCTGCAGATCTAGTGAGTTTAGGGTTTAGGGCTGAGTGTCACTTGAGCCCGAAGCAGCTGCAAGACTTCTAGAGTGTCAAGAAAGAAGCAGCAGAAACTCAAAGCTCCATAGGCCAAGTATCACATTGGCTGGGTGGCTTATTGGGCAGTGGGATCTTGGGTGTGGAAAATGTTTCGAGGAATTGGCATGCGGAGGGAGCGTCCTACATAGCTCTGTGCCCTTGACGAGTGCCGCCCATCTTGTGGCAATGCCATCTTCTTGAACAGAGCCTTGGAGCAATTTGCTCCTTCGAGGATATGGTCTTCATTTTAACTTACATCTGACACTCTGCTGCCAGAGGTTCTTTCATTGCTGTCTTGATTTTCGCTTACATCTGACATTCCGTTGCCAGATGTTCTTGCAGCTTCGATCCTGCACAGTGGTCCCAGCACACGGCAGAGCAGGATACAAGCATGATACCCCTGGCGAGACATCTCACAGAAGGAATGGGAACTTAATTGCTTGCGGGTTCTGCTGTGCACCCAGGCGCCAGGCGCAATGTTCCCTTTCTCTCTTGGCATGTTGGCATATATCGTAGGGATGAAGGAAGATGGATAGCTGTCGTATCCATATGACACCGAGGTCCCAGACAGCAGCACCTGAGTTCCCAAGACATTTGAAGTACAATCAAGAAATCGGGTCCACCTCTGTTACGTCGCAACAAGATTTAATTGACTTTTGCACGAGATTGGGGAGTTGCGGGTTTAATACCGAACCTCACGGCAGGCTCACCTGTAGAATTTTCAGGGCCAAAATATGTGCCAGATCAGCAAACGCGAAGTCCAAGCGCCCCAATATGAGGATCCTTTACAACGTGTACTACTTGGCTACCTGGTATGGACCCCCAAAGAATACGTCCTACTGGTAGTTCGGACTTGAAAACTGGGCCTTGTTCAAGCACTCGCCGCATTGCCAAGCCAAAGCCAAGAGATGCTCTTTTTTCTTGACAGGAGCATCGCCAGAATGGAAAAAATGCGAGGGCGTGCTTTCGTTGACTTTGGTTGGTCAGCTGCTCTTCCGGATTTCGCCTGCAACTCAGGCCGTAGGGGGTTGCGATATTTTCTTGATTGTCGGGTCTGGATGCGAGAAACCTGCTGTTCCTTACCATTGCCGGTAAGCAGTATGCATGTTGCAACTACTCTTGTGCACTCAGCTAAGCAGTTCGAAGTGTCAATCGCAATGCCAAATCTAGGGCCGTGCCATCGCAGTATAGGTGTGGTGTTTTTTGCATCCGGCGACTCGGGGGGTCGTTCAAAAGGCCAGCTGCCCGAAACCAGAAACCCTAAACCCTAAACCCGAATCCATTCGAACCCAAACCCCTCAACAGTCGGAGTTCTGAGCTCGCAAGCCAAAGTCTACAAGTAGTCAGGATGGCGGATTAGATGGTTTGTCGAATGTGCCAGCGGGCTATAGGAAACGCACAGCAAACGTTGAGCCTGCCAACGGTTCAGTCTTTCTCACTGGGCTGTAGGTGGGCGAAGTACCGAAGAATTGTGCAGGCAAGCTTGCCGATTGCGACCTGATGCTGAGAAGAGCTGACGGGCTTGTATGCCCACGGAATCTAGGCTTCTGGAAGAGGCCGTGTTATTGGCGATGCAACCGCCATGATTGATGTTCCATGCGTTCATGTGGATCCAAAAGGTACCCGGATCACGGCATAAGCTCTCAAACGGATTGAGCTCAACTTAATGAATCAACGAATTACGTTCTTTTCCCGTGGGCATCAATATCAAACCCCAACCGAAGCTTGAAGCTCCCGATGGCGGCGGTGATTGCGAATAAACCCTCATGCGGTCCACATGACATTCACATCCTACACTGGAAAACGTAAAGACCTGTATAAACTTGTCTTCACCCAAGAAGCCCGAAGCCAGGCGAAGCCAGAGCGTAGCATGTCATCACGAGTTTAGGGTGTAGGGTTGTCTTTCAGTTTGTAAGGACTCACGGTTGACATTCTGTTGCATGGGTGTTGTCGTTTAATACTCCGATCCGACAGGTTTGGAGATTCAGTGCTTTTGGGCATGGGAGTCCAGTTTATAGCTTTACAAGTATACTTTAAAGTGAATGTCGGCGTGTTTACTGCGAAAGCGTTGTTTGAATTGTGCTAGTACCAGACCACTACTTCTCGTTGCAAGTTGCTGCTTTGTTTTGCTACAATGTACCCGAAAACCTTATTCTAGTTATCAAGGCCGGCATAAAACTATAGATACGCCCCTGCCGCCTGGATTCGAACTGAAAGCACAAAACCTTGCCGCTCCAACACCATGAATACGGAGCACACGCCGAGCGCGGGAACAAAATTTGTAGCTCGACGTAGGCATTTGCAGTTCTACCTGTGAGGAGCAATCCTGAACCCTAAACCCTAAACCCTAAACCGTGGTTTCAATGGGGTTCAGGGGCAAGCCTTCGCTCCCCAAGCACCCTGAGGTACCTGAGTCCGAAACTTACAGGTTTTGGCGTCCCAAAGCGCTGAAGCATCCTAGTATCTCAGAGCCCTGACCCCTTTTAACTTAAACACTATTTATCGGGGTTTCTCAGATGGAAGATGCGGAACTCTAGCCCCAAATTCGGAATACCAAAGGCCCCACCTTCAACTCTGAGTACTTGCTGTCTTGTAACCAAGGGTAGAAGGAGGGACCCTTAATAAGGACCCCTAGGCATATACCCTTAATATAGCTAGTATCTACCCATGAAATAGCGCATTATAGGGACCCAGGGGTCCCCATTAAGGGTCCCTCCTGTTCCCCTTTGATTGTAGCCGCTGTTTCCGAGGCCTGCGGTCTGCCAATGGCAAAGATGCCACATATAGGGGATTGAATACGTAAGCATCCTTTCTTCGCTTAGGGGCTTTGATAATTAGAATAGGGTTCCTTCAAAGGGCTCGTTAAAGGAGTCTATAAGAAAATTGTAAACGCAACCATACTAGTGTATATTTGTAAGAGAATTGTACCTTCCTACCTGTTAAAAAAAAGCGGCCATTATCTAATAGTCCCATGGGCTCTTCAAGAAGTCGACACAGCTCTGGAGTTTTGTCTGTGTTGTGAATCGAGTTTGCCTCGACCCGGATCAAAAGAAAGGTGGCTCTTGCTGGCTGAGCTCCCCAGTCAGTAGGGTAGGGATCGGGACAAAGAGCAAAACAACAAGCCTTGATACTCCATTTATGGCTATACCTTATGCACCATAATGTACTACCAAGACTTGGACCAAGACTCCGTTAAAACGTAAGCACCAGTTCTTATCAGGGACACTGGAGTTGGGGGTTAAGGGTCGGACCCAGCATACCCAGCACTTCACCAACAGGAAAGTGTCACGCTCGCAGGGGCAATGCTTATGGCAAAGTTTAAAGGGATTTCAGTGTTGCTCACCTGTTCAATTGCAGGCCTGGTTCCCGGGTTTCACGATGTGGGCTAGGAGGATTCCCGAGGTTAGCTACAGCCCTATTGGCCGCAGGAGCAGGCACACCTTGACTTAGTCCGCGACTCAGACAAACGCTCTTGCTTTGATTTTGAGAAATTGATCGAAGAAACCGCCGCATTTTGATTCCAGGATTCATACAGTGCATGCTTGAGCACAGGGATCAACAAGGAGAGTTTATTCCAAGCTGCGCGGGCTTATTCAGGAGAGCAGCAAAAGCTTGGGTGCGGGTTTGCTTTCATTCATGCCGCTTAAGTTTATGCTCTTTCGCAGCTCCCCGCGTATCTGTGCAGTTGCTTACAGCAACACTCCCTCGTGAGTGGCAGAAGCACTTGTGGATGCAAAGCCGCAGATATTCTGCCCAGGCCGTTAAGACGCTGGAGGCGGACATCCAGGAGCGTCATCCACATGTGAGCATGTTTGCGTGCGCGCCCTGATGATGCTAGGAGGGTCTTGCCTATGCAGAGAACGTGGACCTGGCTGGCCGCCGCTGATGCGTGGCCTTCCGCTAGGTTGTAGGCTTTAGGAGGCGTTATGCCATTTTAGGGCTGAGGGCACTCAGAAAATAGTTGTTGTTGTCTGGCTATTTCGGATTAGTTCATGGCGCAGCATGGCTTGAGCCTGGAACCCTACTGTAAACGCCTTAAACATCGCTTGTTCGATCATCTTGCAGGTCTGCAGGACGTCCAACAAGATTAATTAGACGAGTGCTGAAGTACTAGGATGCCCAGTAGTACCCTTATTCCCTTTTTGTAGTCCTAGGTTCCTTATAAAGTTACCCAATACCAAAAAGAGAGGCCTTTTTATTCTTAGGTTACTGGGTATCCTAGAGTAAGGTCCTTGAGCCGCCGACCCGAAAAGATCGTCGTGGCACCTGAGTACTTCAAGGATCATGGGACTTAGTAACTAGGGGTTATAATTAGGGTAACTATACTTATAACCCCAATTAAGGTACTTATAACCTCAATTTGCCAAGTCCCATGATCCTCCAAGTAGGCAAGCAAACCCCAAAATGTTGAACTCTGCCAGGGGAATGAACAACGCGGGAGAGCTCAGGTAGATCCCTGACTCGGAACCTCCCTAGAGCCCTAGAGCACCCTACAAAACTCCATTTTTTTGGGGGGAAACTCCACACTCAACATAGCGTTTGGAGTTGCACCGCCCGAAGTCGAAATCCCACCCTAAACCCTAAACCCTAAAACGAAGAACAACACATGCCGATCTCTCGCCCCCGTTTAGTTGTCGATGTCATTAAGCCCGGATCGCTTACAACAGACTGTCGATGCGGCAAAAAGGATACAGAATGGGCTCAGGGCGTGGTGGTATCTCTATAACACCAAATCGGCCTATGTAGAGGTATCCCATGCCTGTAAGCCTTGTTGGCAACGGCAACAGGCGGGTATACATACCATTACGTAGGGTGTTTGTCATACACACTTACAAAACGTATTTACAGAGTTTTTAGGGCCCAACAAACAGCTAGGTTTTCGTGGTTCAAGGTGGGGGGGGGGCGCTATACGGTTGGAGGCTAGGGTACGCTCGAGCATCCTGCAATGAAGTTCCTTGCCTTCTTCAAAGTACTACGGGTTCAGGGGATAAGATAAGGGGCCTGAGCACATTTTCATGGCATGCTACCGTGTAACTTTAGGCCCCCAAACCCTTGAAGGCTTGACACCTACTTAAAGGATCATGGGACTTAGTAACTAGGGTGATAATTAGGGGGTAACTATACTTATAACCCCAATTAAGGTACTTATAACCTTACTTGCTACGTTCCATGATCCTCCAAGTAGCTTACAGCAGCAGCCGTACATCCCCAAGCTGCAGACCGAAAGCTTTTCAATTGGCAGGTTAGGTTCTCCAGCAAGGAAGGTCCATAGACTACATACACAGCTTCTGTCTTTAGTTCCTGTGTAGAGAAGTCGGCGAGTTGGTTCTGCGGCTTCTGGCTGCCTTGTGCAAGCTTCGATATATAAACATGTCAGGCAAGCTCAGCTTTATGGAGCCAATCTGCCCCTGGTCCCCAGCCGAAGCGTCAATCGCTAGCCTGAGGTTTCCACAACCTTGCCCTCCAAAAATCTGTAGCTGCCAAGGCCTGTTAACTCTATGAAAGCACCTAACTAGCAAGACCCGTCAAAAGTCAAGGAGCCTAAGCGCACGGCGCACGCTGCTCGGGCTCCGCAGGTTCTGGCCCAGGACTACCCAAAAGGACCCGAACCCTGCAACGCCTCTTGGACCTGTACCCCAAAGCCTAAGCTGTGAAGTTGTGAGACGGTTCACGATCACTTGGGCTCAAGATGCGCCTGGCGCGAATTTAGCATAGGCGAACAGCCTCCCAGCGGAGAAGCCTCGCCTAGGTTGAAGCGCTCAAGCCCTGATGAGGGTGAGCATAAGGCTTACTACACCTACTACACGGGTTGCTCTGGTTGAGGATGAAAATAAAGATGTCTATGAGGAGATGTGCCATGCAGTTGTTATTAACGGCTTAGGGTTTAGGGCCGTTTCTGCCTCGCCAAGCTCCAAAGAGTCCAGCAAGTCGGAGACTCATAAGAGTCAAGAGACCAACAAGTGCCCCCTTGTAGTCCCTATGTAGCAATTGTACCGTAGTAGACCCAATTCTAATTATTAAGGCCCCTACATTGGACGATCCTGACTTGACAGTTTCATCCTCCAGAAGCTGTTTGAGGCTGTTAGCTCAAGGACTGTGCACGCTAATTAACTGCCCCTGCTGGCCACCGTCGCAAAAAACCTACCGAATCTATTTACCATGACGGCAAGGATTGCATGGTTGACTCTTGGGGTGGTGTTTTCGTAAGTCGAGCGCTCCATCTCGAACCTGATCCTCAGACTCCAAATCCAAGACTGAGGAAGTTGTGTTGGTGCTTTTGCAAGCGTTTGCTTCAGCCGTGTTCGTGCAGCGTTCAAGGGCTGGCCCCAAGGCCCTGTAGTTTCTGTTTCGTCCTGCGGCAGATAATTATAAAAGCCTTAGTACTTAGAATACGATTTTGGGGCCCATTGTACTACAAATATAATAAGGAACCCCCAAAGTAGTATTGCTAATTATTTCTATAGTAATCAGTCTCCAAGCCGTGACATGGTTTGACCCCAGCAGCTTCACCTTGTTCTGGAACCTTTTGCTCGAAACCTCCAACTTCGACTCCTACGCACAGCTTCGTATTGGCAGCAGGGGCGCAGGCCTTGCACGTCCCGGGGGTGGGGTCGCCTTCTTGTGCGGAGATCGCGCAGAACTGAAACTCGAAGTCCTGCCGATAGCTTCGGGACCGACATGCCAGATAAGACCCAGAGTAGGCCCTTATTCCCTTTTTAGGGTTCAGGTTCCCTTATAAGCCCCTTTAAACCAAAAAGGGCATCCTTTTCATGCCTGGGTTACTCTTGGGTCTAGCCAGATAAGACTTAAGTGTTGAGCCTTGTAGGGGCACTGGAAGAAGTTTAGTCTAGTCAGCGCATGGATGCTTCGTTCAGTGCAGTTGGTGTTGCTTCACATTGCCCCAGGTCCCGAACGTTACATCTCTCACTGTCTCGATAGGTTCGGGTCTTGAGTTTTCGGGCTTCTCACAAACTGTAGGTTCAGAAACCTTGGTCATAGCCCCAAGCCTGGTTTGCTGCGAAACTTCAGCCGTCTGAACCCTTAAAGCTTCTTATCTTATAAACCTTACTTGAGTCTTTAGGGTTCTTACTTCGATCTATCTATATCAACCCTCGAACGTTTCATCCACTCAACATTCACAACCCTCATGCGCTAAATCCTAAAACCCTAACCCCAAAGCCACTAAACCTTGAACCCTGAACCCCCAAACCTCCAATTAACACCCTTAAACCCCAAACTCTCCACCCGGGCACCCCTAAACCATTAAGCCCTAAACCTTAAACCCCAAAGCCCCTAAAACCCTGAAACCCGAAACCCTCCGCCCGGGTTTCCGGCCTGTTTTTCAAGGGGCTCTCTTCTCCAATAGCCAGGCCCAAACAAAGTTCAAACTTTTTAAGCTAGACCAAATATGTGAAGCCACAAAGTTTAAAGTTCTCCAATAGGCTAAGTAAGGGGGACCTACCCAGGGCTTGGTCCCGTGGTCCCACGCGCGTCTCAGCGAGCCAAGAAGCCAAGAGAGACCCCAAGAAAGAGAGCCGCAGATAGAAGCCTCAATGATTTTAGTGGTTTAGGGGTTTAGGGGTTCAGGGTTTAGAGTTCCAATGATAAGAAATCCCACTCCTTCCGCAAGAGTCAAAGACAGAACTGTGGCTGGGATATGCATCGTACTCAATATATAGAGTGTGTTGACTCCCAAACCCGGTTATCCTTAACCCCAAGTAACCTACCCTTTTAAGGACTTATATAAAGAAATCATATCAGGGAACCCTACAAGGCAGGTTCCTTAGGGGACTTAGTAAGTAAGGTTATAAGTACCTCAATTGGGGTTATAAGTAGTTGTAAGTACAGTTACCCTAGTTGTAACCCTAGTTACCAAGTCCCATGATCCTTTAAGTAGAATAGGGCAGATGAAAGGTTTGCTCAAGAAGCCTTGTACTGACGGTTTAAGGGAAGAGGGGACCGAGCGAGTAGCTGCAGGGACTGGAGGAAATTTGAAGAAAGGGTATGATGAGTCATACATGCCATTTACTGAAAATCAGCGCTGCTTCTTGTCGGCAATATGGGTACCTGAATCACTATGAACAGCATGCATCTGCGTTCCCCGTTATTTGTATGGTAAAGTATTCCCCAAAGCTTTCTGACTACTCATTGCAGCGCTGCGCTTCGAAACCCGAAACAATTGAGCTGCCACTTATTAAAGTTTTGTTCATATATATATATATATATATATATTAAAGCATATGTATGTATGTATGTATGTATATATGTATGTATGTATGTATGTATGTATGTATTGTAGGCGGTAAGAGGAACAGTCTCCAACACCAATCATTTCAACCTCGTGTTCAGTGTCGAGGCCGGAATAGTTAGTAATATTATCCCTGCAGAAAGGGACGCTGTGGGGCCCCTGTTTTTCCACATACAAGGTTTTGCGATCCAGAACTTCCTTCGAGTTCCTTCTAACAGCTATACCAGAATATGTCCCCAGACCCTATTCTAATCATTAAGGCTCCTACAATATCCGAAAGGCCTCCTAAACCCTAAACCCTTTTTTCCCCTAAACCTTACTTATTGTGTAAAGCTCCTCCTTATTCGCTTCTTGGCGCTCCTGTCCCCTGCACACCCCACATCCGACGGCCAAACGTCGACGGCGAGCCGCATCTTCCCAGAAGCTCCGAAACGCCCCTGGGCCAAACAGAACCCTACTATAGATCCCCTACAGACCCCTTTAAGAGGACCCCTTGAAGGAACCCTATGGTAACTACTAAGGCCCCAAAAGTACTGCAACTGAGGATCTCTCCCCTACTTCAAGGATCGTGGGACTTAGTAACTAGGGTTCCTTAAAGGGTTCCTAAAACGGGATCTATAAGGGTTCTATAAGAGGGGTTTTAGGGTTACTTGAAGGATCACGGCACTTAGTAACTAGGGATATAATCACAATTAAGGTAGGGATAACCTGACTTACTATGTCCCATGATCCTCCAAGTAAGGCTTCCCGAAAGGGTACTTTACAGGGTTCGAAACTTGGGTCCCCATTTAAGGGTTTCTATAATAGGGTTCTACAATAAGTGTCCAGTTTCGGACGTAATCCTTTGAGTCAAGGTTCCTGTAAGGGTTCTATAGCTGTTGGGGTGGTGAAAAAACCGGACATAAGGGCTCTTTATAGTTAGAGTCGGATTCTGACATTTTTAACCGAATATTATGACTCTCTCTCAATTAAGTTGAGTGCTGGCTCCACCTGCATAAAGGCCAGGTACAAGCCAATGTTCCACCCGCCCATGACAGTGTAAACCTTCCACGCGACAAGCCCTAAGGCCCGCTATCCGGCTTTGTTGCAGGGCACAACGCGTCTTTTGCTAGAGACATGAATATGTAAATACTCATACATATACACAAACTTGCATGTAGGTATATATGTATATAGTGGTATAATGAAATATACACATACAAAGGCATAAATATACATACACCAAAACCATATCCGGTTCCACCTTCAAGCCCTATCACCCCAAACAGCGCTCCACTCTTCAAGGTGCAGCTTCCTCTGGATCCAGCGACATCTCGGCTCTTGGGCGGGTAAAAAAATGGGGCTTCAAGAAGTACCAATACTATGATGGGGGTCTCCTTATTATAGTTGTACTATAGTTAATATACCCCCCAAGCCCTATTCATTCTAGTTGTTAAGGCCCTTGTATTACAGGAGTACTGTTTCAGATTCGTTGAACCTTGGCGTCACATGGACTGTACACATAGGCTCCATTGTAGTTCCTTTTTGGGACTACCTTACGGGATCCTACATATAAACCACAAAAAGGAACTGCAATGAAACCTCTAGGTAGGGGCCTGAATCAAAAGCATTAATATCCCTTCAAAACCCTCGTCTGACGCTAGCACACTATACCCCGACCCGAAACGATTGCCTAAGGTGTCCTGGTATATGCGCTTCTTTCACGACATTGCATGAAGATCTTAGAGGTGGGCCTTTGCTACTGTATTAGGGCCTGAGTGATGCGGAGTAGTATCCCCTTGTTGTCATTGTACAAGTAGGGCGCAGTGTACTTCCTATCATTACGCTGATGCTGAGGCCTAAACCCTAAACCCTAAACCCTAAACCCTTCAGCACGATCTTGGGTTTCAGACGTCTCAGAGTGTAGGGGTTTCCGCGTCTGATTTTCGTAGTAAAGCCCGCATCTCGTGACATCCTGAACATCCTAAACTCGCTTATCTTTCCTCAGCCCATGAACACCACAACCCCAAAAAATCCAAATCCCCAAAACCCCCTGTGCCTGAACCCCGAAAACGTACAAACTCTGCCTTAATAAGACGAATGCTAAGATTACTACTAGTACGAATGCGAATACTAGTATTCGCATTAATATATACGAGTGCTAGTATTCATACTATGGTTCCGTAGCATTTATATTGATGGAAGATCTTCCCGACCGAGGCTCCAGGCCATGCCCACCATGCCAGCTTCGCAGCTCCTTGTACGAAGATTTTCACGGGGGAGGTTTCCGAAAATTAAGGGGTACGTCACCTTGGGGGTCCTTGTAATAGGGATCCTAGACTATTTAGGGTACTATATTAGGGTCCCCCCATTTTCGGAAACTCCCATATGAATCATAGCATCCGTATGAGTATCAGCATTAGTATTATTTATATTGGTATTTGTATTACAAAGGGACTTCGAGAACCCGCTCCAGTGCTGACAGGGTGACTGTAGGCCCTAGGGCCCCGGCCCGTCGCTGTAGAGTCCGCCATACATGCCGACGGTTCTTGGCTGCTTGCTCCACACTGTAGGGGCTTGAGGCTATAGGTGCCTGAATAGATAGAACAAAAATTCGGGGGGGGGGGGGGGGTATATGATGCTATGACTATGGCTAGTCATGACTGTAGGAATAGATAGAACAAGATTTGGGGTATATGACGCTATGACTATGACTATAGGCATTAGCAGACTACACATGCTACTACTACTACTACTACTACTACTACTACTACTACTACTACTACTACTACTACTACTACTACTACTTGCCAAGGATTCAACCCTCCAGAGCAAGTGGTTTTGCGACTAAGGAGAGGGCCCTCCAGTGCTCCAATATCTAGGAATATGGGAGTTTCCGAAAATTAGGGGTACCTTATTTAGGGGTCCTTATAAGAAGGATCCTACTATTTAGGGTAGTATAATAGGTTCCCCTATTTTCGGAAACTCCCATATTGGGGCCTCAATAATTACCTGTACTATCTTGGAGGTTCCTTATTATGGTTATAGTGTAATGGGCCCCCAAACCCTATTTTAATAGTAAGGCCCCTATATTATATAGATTCCTAGCAACAGCAAGACTTAGCAAGATTGGAAATTAGTATGAAACGCAACAGCCAGACGAAACTCAAAGCAATAACATCAAGGTTGAGACTGAATGCATTCATGCAGTCAGTCATTGAACACTAGAAGTGATGTAAGCCTTGATCTCAATGCCGAACACAAACGATGCGTAAATCACGTGTTCCGCAACCATCGTCAGGTTTTAAAGTCTCTCCCTTTGCGAACTGAGCTTTACCTGATGTGGGCATAGATCTTCTTTTGTTGAGAATGCCTACTCAATCAAGCTGAAGCCAGGACCAATCTGCTTTAACCGCCTTCATTCCTAGCACCGGGAACAGTCCCGATATAGTTAACTATATACCTCCATACATCCCGCGACCCTGGTGTAGTGTTTCGGGGCTAGGGCCCCTTCTGTACAGCTGAACTCAGACACTCCTCAGGTGGGCGACAGCGCAACGGGCAAGAGGGCTCCTTCTGTACAGCTGCCCGGAAGCCAAGATTTGAGTTCTAATGTAGGAGACTGATTAAGACACCCTGTGCCTTTATCCCCAAAATAGTAGGATTCACATAAGGAACCCTACTAGAGGGGCAAGGTTCCTTAATCAGGTTCCTACATTACGCTCTTGACGACCGGACCCAGGGCTGCTTGTGGAGGCAACAGCCTTGGGACTTAGTAACTGGTGATTTTAGAGACTTATAAGTACCATAACCCCACTTAGGGCCCTTATAGGGTACTTATAAGTCTACTTACTACCTACTTACTAAGAGGTATCTGCTCCCAGTTCTTGGACGTAGGTGTCCCTAATCTTCGAACTCTGCGCGGCTGAACCCCACAATGTAGGCACGGATGTAGGTGAGATACTGCACTATTGTACTGCTGTAAACCTCCGTTGCGAAATCGCCTTTGGTGCAGTGCCGTATCATAATCCTTGGAATACGTATTCGATTGTAAGGTGCAAGGGGGATGTGATTCCGGGTTCGAACTTTCTGGCTGTGTTGCCGAATCACCTACTCTTGAGGTACCGGTGTTAAACGACGATGGGCGCCGATAAGCGGGTTTCTACCCGCTGCCTCAGAATTTGTTGTTCCTCCTTTGTGGGGTTGCCGGAAAAGTTTGAATCGCAGGACTTATTGAACTTGAGATATCTCAGCTCTCTTACAGCCCCATATGTATCGCTATAGCATATTACTTAAAAAAAACTCTAATCTCATTTTTGAGGCCCCTATGCGTCGTTCTGCGTCCTCGTAGAACTGCATCCAGTGTTAGCAGCCTTAGCATCCCGAAACGTTCAACCAATGCCCCAGAAGCTCGTGCAATCACCATCCTACGTAGTCGTAGCCCTCAAAGAGTCCCGATTAGTGTTCCCAGGTTTGTTCTTGCTACTACCGACACGGACGTCTGCTGCACCCCTCACAGAGGCCAATGCTGCTTGGCTGCAGTCTGTTTCATTCTCTGGGATTTGTTCAATTTTGCTGGCGATGAAGGGAGGAGGCTGTCTCCAGGATTGTCGAAACCCTAAGCCCAAACCCAAACCCTGGATATTTCCTCATGAGCAGGCCGTTTGATGCGGAACTGGAAACGGCCAGCTCGCTTGTAGGCGCGGGAGGCCATCCCAGACAGGATGATATGGAAGCATTTCCTTTCCCGATTATATTTGCCGGAATTCCTAGTCATTATGTTACGCCTGAGTAGTTAGGACCCAGGCAAAGGACATGCCGAAGAAAGTTCCAGGTCCTATCTTCGATCTTGGAACATGCGATTGCATGTCAGCCTAAGGGTCCAAGTGCCCACAATCATGTATTAGGTATCGATGTGTGATGATTTATAGTTTCCCTTGTTGTGTCATAGAGCCCTAATTATAATAAATGTTGGGGACTACTGAGCTCGACACCTAGTATGCTCTCCCGAATGCTGCTAGTGTGGACATAGGGGCACAAAGATCATCCCCCAGTCTTTTCGGTGTTGATCACCAACCTTGCAAACTCCCTGAATTCCGACATGAAAACAAAGCAGACCCGGAACAGGTCGTCGTATGCTGTGGTGGCCAAGACGGCTTAAGCTTAGGATTCACCACAGGCTAAAGGAGAAGTTAGAGGAGGTTGTTGCCTAAAACTGTGGTTTGTTTGCCAGCATACTGGCGTGAAAGGTTATTTTGCTAATGTTGTCCACGGGAACGCTTTACACGTAGCATTACACGTAGCACGCATATAGGTTAGCCTCAACGACAACCAGTAAGTACTCCTCTAGACCTTTCGTGTGATCTGTCGCCGTGATCATACTCCAGGCACTATGAAGTGCCAACCTATTTTTTGCCAAGCTTGCTGCTCGAAGATCCCTCGAGTAGCCCTTCCGAATGCCGCCTCAACTCCAAGGCAAAGTGGAACGTCAACCTAGAGGACAGATCTGGACTATGCCCTTGACAATTACGGGTTTAGAATAATGAGGTTGGATGTTGGGACATTGTTTATTTTCCTTATTTGGGTTTATAAGGGACCCTATATATAAACATTTTTTCAGGGTGTTTAAAGGCCAACCCAGATAATGAGGTAGGAGTTCAAGAACCTTTTTCAGGAGCAAGACTAATCCACCTTGGGCGAACATTCAAGTATTCGCCCCACGAAGCCACTGCAGTTGCGAGCATACGGCCGCGGTGCCACGAAGCCTTTGTTCTTAAAGGATCATGGGACTTAGTAACTAGGGTTATAATTAGGGTAACTATGCTTATAACTATTTATAACCCCAATTAAGGAACTTATAACCTGACTTACTAAGTCCCATGATCCTCCAAGTAAGTGTAGTAGAGATTAGGGTTCCCATAATAGGGTTCATATTAAGGAATCCCTACTCCACGAATCTTAAACCCCCCTTTCTGGCCTCCCATCATAATAGCATCCTTCATCATGACCGATGCAGCAAGAAGCGAAGGCAGCAGCGCAACGTCTGAAACGAAGCGTCCGGAAGCTGCTTCGCATAGACTTACCTTTGGTTAGTAGGGAAAGGAAGAATGGCAGTAATAGTAGTTATAATTGTACCCCATTCCTCCATTCCCTACTAGCCAAAGGTAAGTAGAACAGGGCCCAAAGCACCATGATCTTTCTGAAGTTCGACAGTATTCCTGCTGCGGGCAACATCAAGGCCCAAACGGTAGCAACCGGCCAGGAGCGCCATGCGCCGGAGAGCTATCGAGGTGCACCACAGCTTCTTGTCCTTGCGGACGTTTCCTCCTTGACCGGGTTCGCGAAGCTGTGGTAATTACACGAGTATAGCCCCTCCCCATGTTGCACCTGTCTTGACTACATATTCTAGTTTTTCTCCTTGGGGTTGAGGGTTCAGGCTTCAGGCTCCATGATTCAGGATCGGTCTGGAGTTGGAGTTGGTGGCGTCTTTGTGATGTTGCTGTTGGATGTACTTGAGGCCAATAGTTAATGTTAAGAAGGCTCAAATCGATGTCTTGCTCTTACCTACTGTCTCGTTTCGTCGCAAGTTGCATTCTCGGCTTGAGCTGGAGACCTGAGTACATGATTGTGCCATGGCTCTGCGTTGTTTGCTTTTTAACACGCAGGGGCGGAGGGGGCGGGCGGGGCGGGCCCGTATAAGCAACCCTAGAGAGATTTCTTCAGGCCCTTGTTTGCCAGAGCTCCGCAAGAGCATGTGCTTACCTTTGGTTAGTAGGGAATAGAGGAGTGGGGTACAATTATATAACTACTAGTTACTATTACTACCATGCTTCCATTCCCTACTAACCAAAGGTAAGTTTGCAGGTGAGTGGAGAAATCACACTTACTTCCCGTCTCCCGGCGACTGGCGCTCCCTATCCATCTACCAGCCTGCCGGCTGCATCTGGGGACCCAAAAAGCACATAAGCATAAGCATGTCATAGTGATATCCCCTACCTTTTTGGGCTTCATTATAAGGGTGTTTTTTATGGGATATCCCTATCCTAATGTTTGCTTATGTGCTTTTTGGGGGGCCCTATAAACATCAGGCTCAGAGTGGTTAGGGCTCAGGGGATCCGGGCATGCAATGATCGGACCTGACTACAGTAGAAGCCAAAAAGTTGGAAACCCAATAGCCTCAATCCTCAAGAGTAATGTATAAGGAATCTATTTGGCCTTAATCCGGTTTCCAACTTTATGGGGTTTATTGTAATGAAACCCGAAGCAGAGCGGCTTACGAAGCTTTGATTCAGTTTTAAGCGTGCTTTGTTCCGAAACCTTTGATGCTTCTTTAAAGCTGGAGTGCGGCAGAAGACCCCATAAGCCAATTCCACTGAAGCCCCAGTATATGCCTACTATAACTTACCCCAGGACCCTATTTCCGCATGGTCCCTGGGTAAATCGACACAACAACCAAAACCCTAGAGACCTCAAATGGGTGGTTGCCAAAAATAGGGTCCCTTTTTGGGTCCTTACTACAATACGGCACCTTAAAATTTGTGGACCATAATTTTGGCAACCACCCAAATCCCCGGTTCGGGTTCGCTTCTGGGATCCAGGATTCCAAAGATGGGAGATCGGTCGGGTTCCGGGGTAGTGGCTTTAATATAGGGGGTTTCATTAAACAATCATTACCAAGACTATTTTGGGGGTTCCTTATTGTATCCAGTGTAAGGGCCCCAAGACCCTATTCTAATTATTAAGGCCCTTGTGTTAGGTTTGGGAGTTAGGCTCAGGGGCGAGCTTCGGTTCTTCGAGTGTTGGGGTTCAGGCGCAAAGGTTCGTAGGGTGGTTCGTCTAATTGTCGAGGCATGAAAATGCTAGTGGGACGCAGGGTTTAGTGACCTTTGGTTCTCCCAAGAGTGAGTTTGGTGCTAGTTTCCTGGAGCTTCCGTTCTACGGGCCCACGCCTTTTCTTACTATTGATATTGGAGGAGCTAAGGAGCCAGGGATGATGAAAATCCCTATTAAATAAGGAGCTAAAGAGCCATGGAAGCCCCAAAACAGCCTTTCTAGGTGGCAATTTGGGAAGCTTTTTCATTTCCCTTATGGTTCCTTTCGAGGTACCTATTCATAAATACTTTTCAGAGCCCCGAAACTACAACCCAGCTTTTCTTTATTGGAGGAGCTTAGGAGCCAGGGATGATGATAATCTGATAATCCCTAATATATAAGGAGCTAAAGAGCCATGGAACCCCCAAAACCACTCCCGAAACTACGAACCCTAAACCCTAAACCTTAAACCCTAAACCCTAAAGCCCAAAACCTAAACCCTAAACCCTAAACCCTAAACTTGACTGCAACCCTAAACCCAGCTTTTCTCTTGTGCCAAGCGGCCTTTTTGGGTTTCTTTGCATCGGGCCGTTGGCTGCAAAGGCGCCTTTGTTTCGGCGTTCAAGAGTTCAACACCCTAAGCAAGACCCCAAACCTACAGTAGAAGCCAGAAAGTTGGAATATCATTATCGTAACCCCTTTAAGGTAAATTATAGGGGATCCTACCATGAAACCATATTCCAACTTTCTGGAGTTCCCTTTAAGCCCAAAGCCCCAAAAGCCGTAGACCCTAAGTCCGATGTCCTTGAAGCCCTGCTGCGGTTGTCGTCATTTGCTTATGGCCTTGGCACTGTCCCACAGCGGAGCGTTGAACCTATACAGCAGAAGCCCAGTTGCTGCACGCTGTCCTCAAGCTCGCAAGCTTGAATCGTTGTTCATGCTAGCGCTCCCGCCGGAAGTGAGCATCCTATCTTCCAGTGCTGCCCGTCACTCTTTACGAGCACCTGGTCAGTTCCGAACCTGATGCCTCCGAGGTTGATTACAGATCGCTTCGCCGATGGCGAGCCTCGCAACAATGACCTTTACGGAGGAGGCTCTCAGATATCATCTTAGCCGTAGTACCTATGTCGTTTTATCGGGTGTCCGTGTTTCGCAAGCTTTATGAACGAAAGAGTGTCAAACGGTTCATGTTCCTACAGTCCAAAGCCAAAGCACATGGCAAGGTGTTGACCTTTGCAACAGCGCGACAGTCGTTCTCAAGCGGCATTCTGAGTAATTATCTCCAAACCTGCTCAGCAGGCTTCGACGTTCGAGACATGACGCAGCTCGGGCATGTAAGGGGTTGGGGTGGGCGGTGGCGAGGCTTAGGAGCTGGATTTTGACGGCATGCTTGGAGCGCGTTCTGTTCAGGAGGTATTTTCCGAGTTTAAACTCTTGGCGTCTAGGGTTGAGAATGATTGCGGGGTTTAGGAGCCTGGAATCTTGAGAAGCCCCTGCAGGAACATGTCAGGACGAGAATCTGGCCCCCAGTGTCCGAAGAATAGGATGGTTTAGGGTTTACGCAGGGTCTCCGTGGTAATTTCTTTTTGGGTTGACCAGCTTCGAAAGGTTAGGATCCTGCAATACGAAGACAAGGTACACAAAACAGAATACTACTACAATGGAGACTCCTGAGGGAAAAAGTTAAGGCTAATTAGGATGCCCGGCACTACCCTTATTCCCTTCTTGTAGTCCCAGGTTCCTTATAAAGCTACCCAATAACAAAAAGGGAGCCCTTTTTATTCCTAGATTACTGGGCAGCCTAGGAGGAGACAAACGTTGTCATAGTTGGGTGACATTTTACATTTTTATGGGTACGTAAACCCCATAAGGAAAAATCATTTTTTTTAATCCTATCCCCAACCATGAACTAGACAACTTAATAGCTAGGGTTATAATTAGGGTAACTATACTTATAACCTTAACTAAGGTACTTATAACCTGTAGAAGGAGACAAGAGCTTCGGTTCGGCTTCCTGCTGGACCCTCTCGCTCTGCCCAAAGGGCGCCAATAATTCAGCACCGAAGGGTTCGAGAAGGGTTCACTGAGGGTTTCCCTATAGGGTTGTATAGGGTTTTCGGGGTGCAACTTACATGGTTAGGATTGTTGGTTTGGCAGGTTAGGATTTGGGAATGTTTTTGATTGTGAGGTGCTTGAACCAGGTTGCACTTCGTCGGGATACTTAAAGGATCATGGGACTTAGTAACTAGGGTTATGATGAGGGTAACTATACTTATAGCTACGTATAAGCCCAATTAAGCTACTTATACCCTGACTTACTCAGTCCCATGATCCTCCAAGTAATGAATGGCATGAGGACTCAGGAGTGCGTTGCAAGGCAAGGAGCTCCGGGTCAGATGTTTGATATAGAAGCGGGATACTTAGCAAGAACGGTGCGTAGACACAACAAACACCCCCAAAACCCTACTTGGAGGATCATGGGACTTAGTAAGTAAGGCTATAAATACCTTAATTGGGGTCATAAGTTTCGTTACCCTAATTATAGCCCTAGTTACTAAGTCCCATGGCCCATGATCCTTTAAGTACTCTGGTTCTTCAGGGCCCTGGATTAGGCTTTGCAGATCAGGCTGCATGCAAGACCCCAATCCCTAAACTCCCTAACTGAGGCCCCTGTATAGCTCTTATCGCAAGCCTTCAAAGGAATCTTATAGAGACCCTTTCAAGGGACCTCTTGTAGTAACCCTTTCAGAAACCCTACGCTCACGTTTATGAACCCCCACTTGGAGGATCATGGGACTTAGTACGTGAGTGAGGGCACAAGTACTTTAATTGGGGTTATAAGTCGTTATAAGTATCGTTACCCTAATTATAACCCGAGTTACTAAGTGTCATGATCCTTCAAGTAACCCTAAAACCCCTCTCATGGAGCCCTTATAGATCCCTTTTAAGGAACCCTTTAAGGAACCCTAGTTGCTATCCCGTGATCCTTTTTTCGCAAGGCCCCCAACCTCCCCAACCCCTACTATCACTTATAGTAGCCCTTTAAAGTACCCTTAAGTCCCATTCCCCCATCACGAAATCCCTAAACCCTAAACCCTAAAACCCTAAACCCTAAAAACCTAAACCCTAAAGCCCTAAAACCTTAAAACCTTAAAACCCTAAAACCATCACGAGCTCTTGAGTCGCACGAAGGTATAGGCACGGCGGGGACTTCTTGGGCCTGCGCCTTGCCATGAAATGGGGGAGTTTCCGAAAATACAGGGAACTCCACGGTTTAGGGTTTAGGGCTTAGGGTTTAGGGTTTAGGGGTTAGGGTTTAGGGTTTAGGGAGTTTCCGAAAATACAGGGAACTCCAGGGTTTAGGGTTTAGGGTTTAGGGTTTAGGGTTTGGGGTTTAGGGGTTAGGGTTTAGGGTTTAGGGTTTCCGAAAATTCAGGGAACTCCAGACAGGGGTTAGGGTTTAGGGTTTAGGGTTTAGGGTTTGGGGTTTAGGGGTTAGGGTTTAGGGTTTAGGGTTTCCGAAAATTCAGGGAACTCCAGACAGGGGTTAGGGTTTAGGGTTTAGGGTTTAGGGTTTGGGGTTTAGGGTTTAGAAGGGAACTCCAATAAGGATCCTACTATTTAGGGTACTATACTAGGGTCACTTAGAGGGAACTCCAGAAAGTTGGAATATGGTTTCAGGGTAGGATACCTTATAATTTGCCTTAAAGGGGTTACGATAATGATATTCCAACCTTCTGGCCTTTACTGTAAGGGGTACCTGATTTTGGGGGCCTCATCATACGGACCCCACTATTGAGGGTACTATATTCGGGTCCCTTAGTTTCGGAAACTCCCAAATCAGAGTTTTACGGTTTGGGGTTTAAGGTTTGAAGAGTTTAGGATTCTGGGGCCATGGAATCAGACTTATAGAACCTAAGTGAGTCTAACTCAAGCAAGATCCATAAGTTGTTGAAGGAGCTTGAAGTTCTCCAGCCTCTACTTGGAGGATCGTGGGACTTAGTAAGTAAGGTTATAGGGTTCCTTTTAATAAGGGTACTATAGGGTTCTATAATAGGGTTCCTTAAAGGGATCTACAGGGGTTTTATAATGGGGATCATGGGACTGAGTAAGTCAGAGTATAAGTAGCTTAATTGGGCTTATAAGTAGCTATAAGTATAGTTACCCTAGTTACTAAGTCCCATGGTCCTTTAAGTAGGGTCTTCAATCATGGGTGATAGTGCCCCTTCCAGTCCCTTGAGATTGACAGCCAAATCTTTGTGGCAGAGTAAGTAACCTTTGTCCTTGTTGGGGTATTATAGTCCCTATATATGACCTTAAGGATATCATGTAGTTCCCTAGGATACTGGACAAGTAGGAAAATCTAGCCAGGAACCCTATTCTATGATTGGGCCAACCTGGTCTGACACATGGAATCCATACAACTGAGGGGTCAGCGCGTTTTGGAATTAAGGGCCTTAGCCTTCGGACCCTGTTGGTCTCGGAAGCCTTATCCCAACAACCCTGCCGAAGCCATTCCTGTAGCCGGAAAGACCTACCTTTGTAGGGTTCCTTACTATGGTTTCTATATGTGGTTCCTTACGAAGGTAGGTCTTTTCGGGTACAGGTTGACTTGACAGAGGCCAGGAGCCATTGTGGACGAGCATTGGACTTCACGAGCCACAACAATAAACAGCAACAGTCGGTACTCGAGACTCGCGTCTTGTTGCAACAGCATCAACGCCCAGGAGCCCGGCAAATCTTGCTGCACGGCTGATACCCGGCATCAGACTCACATTGACCCCAAGTCTCAGACTCCGACCCCTGGTCTTGAAAGCCCAGCGAATGGAGCATGGCAACATGTCGGTTGACGTAGAGGTTGGATTGGTCAGTGGGAGGACAACCACAGTGCGAGCAGCCGTGGATGAGACGGTGGGAACATTGAAACGACGAGCAGAGATTGCACTGGGAGTCCGGACGGGGTCGCTGCTGGACTCATCTGGATGCATCGTGTATGGATGCACGCCGATCAAGAAGGCCAGGGTGCAGAATGGTGACCAACTGACGTTGTTGCGCACAGGCGGCGTTCAAGTTCAGGCCATTGTCGCCGCCTTTGCTGCCATTCTTGGCGATGGGTCTGTTGTGACCTGGGGTGATCCTGCGTTCGGTGGCGACTGCGGCTCCGTGCAGGATCAACTGAAGACTGTGCAACAGATTCAAGCAGCTGGCGCGGCTTTTGCTGCTATTCTGGATGATGCATCTGTTGTGACCTGGGGTAGTGCTGAAGATGGTGGTGACAGCAGCGCTGTGCAGGATCAGCTAAAGAAGGTTCGGCAGATCCAAGCCTCTCGCAGTGTTTTTGCTGCCATTATCGACGATGGATCGGTTGTGACCTGGGGTCGTGCTGAAGATGGTGGTGACAGTAGTTCCGTGCAGGGTCAGTTTAACAATGTGCGCCAGATCCAATCCTCTGGCCACGCTTTCTTGGCGATGGATCGGTTGTCACCTGGGGTGATGCTGCCTGGGGTGGCGACAGCAGTTCTGTGCAAGCACATCTGAAGAATGTGCAGCAGATCCAAGCCACGGACGGTGCCTTTGCTGCCATTCTGGAGGATGGATCTGTTGTCACCTGGGGTCACGAACAGTGCGGTGGCGACAGCAGTGCTGTTCAGGAGCAGCTCAACGACGTGCTGCAGATTCAATCTTCTGGTGGCGCTTTTTCTGCCATTCTTAGTGATGGATCGGTTGTCACCTGGGGTGATGCCAACGCAGGTGGCGACAGCAGTTCTGTACGGGAGCATTTGGTGAACGTGCAACAGGTCCAAGGCACGGACGATGCCTTTGCTGCCATTCTTGGCGATGGATCGGTTGTCACCTGGGGCGATGCTGCCTTGGGTGGTGACAGCAGTTCTGTGCAAGCACATCTGAAGAATGTGCAGCAGATCCAAGCCACGGAGGGTGCCTTTGCTGCCATTCTGGAGGATGGATCCGTGGTGACCTGGGGTACTGCTGAGTACGGTGGTGACAGTAGTTCCGTGCAGAATCAGCTCAAAGATGTGCGACAGATTCAATCTTGTGCCGCCGCCTTTGCTGCTATACTCAACGCTGGCTCCATTGTCACCTGGGGTAATGCAGAGTGCGGTGGTGACAGTAGTTCTGTTCTGGATCAGCTCCGGAACGACAGCTGATATGTAGCAACTCTCCCGCAAATCCTCGCGGGTGCTCACAAGCATCTTGAAGACACGGACAGCATGTGCGCGCGTCCGGGGGGTAGCTTGCAAAACGTTTTCAACTGCCGGATGGTGATTTACGCTACTATATGGGAGTTTCCGAAAATTGGGGACCCTAGTTTAGGACCCTAAATTAGTAGGATCCTTATTATAAGGACCCTAGAGTAAGGTACCCCTAATTTTCAAAAAACTCCCATGTCACAAAAATGTTTGGCCTGATTCATGGGGCCCAGGGCCGAGTGGGCCAAGACCTCGATTTTCCCATTGTGAGCTCCAACAATACTGCTGAGCTGCAAGCTCTCTTAGAAGCCCTCGTGTTTCTTGCTCACCGCAAAATCTTACGGCATTGCCTAGCTTAGTTAATATTTACTATGACTTTCTGCATGGCTTTGCTATCCCAGCCAAACAACAGAAACTTACACAAATTCGATCCCTGCTGGACCACCTGGCAATTTCCTTGCTCAGAATTAACGGTCATTCTGGACACGACGGCAAGTTATAAGGCCGATACCTTCGCCAAAAATGGCGTTGGCCGTCGTTCCGTGACTGTGTGTCACCCCCAAGCTCCCCAACTCGCAAAACCTCACACCTCGCAAAACCCCACACCTATACAGGGAACCCTATTCTGGAACACTATAGCAGCCATAGTAGTCCCCTTGAAAAGGAACTACAGTACGCTCAAAGGACATCCCGCTTGCCATGAATTCGGATTGGGTTCGGCCTTCTAGAGATGAAAGTAGCAGTCGAAATAATTACCTAGTATACCATTTTGGGGTTTCCTTATTATAGTCATAGTATACTGGACCCCAAAACCCCATTCTAATTATTGAGGCCCCTATAATTACGAGGGCTCATTGGCTCATGGGATTGGGATGTTGCTTTCCCATTTCGCGCGTTCGGTAGCTCGAGGAGCCAAGGACATGAGGGGCTATTTTGTGTGTGTTCGGGTTTTGTCCTTGCCCTAAACCTCAAACCATTAGCCTTCAACCGTAGCTTGTCACTCAATCCCCGAAGCGCCCGCCATTAAAGCTGCAGCCAAGAGCCCTCTCATTTGTCTGAGTTGCTTTGCCACTGGGCTGCGCGTGTTCGTGCTGCTACAAGCATCCCCTGGAGCTTCCCTAAACCCCCAATCCCTACTTCAAGGATCATGGGACTTAGTAGCTAAGGTAGCATTAAAGGTAGCTATACTTATAACCACTTATAACTCCAATTCAGGTACCTGTAACCTTACTTACGAAGTCCCATGATCCTGTAAGTAAACCCTGACTCTGGGCATGTCGAGACAGCCCCAGCAAGATACCGCATTGTCCGCCAACACCCTGAAGGCAAAAAGTTCAAACCCTAAACCACGGTAAGCCTGTCGACCCGAGCCATTTGGGCTGCTAGTAGGGTTTCGGCTTTACAATGTCTGAAGCAATAGTACGAGAATGCCTGGATTCTTGTTCTAGAATTTAGTTTAAGTTACCGAAATATAGGGATCTCTAGTAAAAAAAAGATACGGTCTCCTTATCATGGCAAGTCAAATGAGCCGCGGTTTTTTTCTGCGGAAGATCTATCGCTACTTAACGTGGAAATAATTCCTGTTGGATATCCTGAAATGGGCCTGGGACTGTGGGCGCGGAAGGATGCGGAAGGGCTTGCGGAAGCGATGTGGCTGCGGAAGGTCCCGCGGAAGGTCTGAAGATGAACAAGCTAAACTTGCAAGATACCATAATCCCTTCCCCCTCTACTAAACACCCTACTGCCATTTGCTGCACTGCTGCCAATTGCTGCATGCACTACTGCCAATTGCTGCAATATTGCCAATTACTGCACTACTGGTCATCACTGCACTACTGCCAAGTACTGCACTACTTCGAAGTAGTGCAGGTAATGACCAGTAGTGCAGTAATTGGCAGTAGTGCAGTATTGAGTAGTAGTGCGGTAATTGGCAGTAGTGCACTCATGGGCAGTAGTGCAGCAATGACCAGTACTGCACTACTGGTCATCACTGCACTATTGCCAATTGATGCACCACTGCCAATTGCTGCACGACTGCCAATTACTGGACTACTGCCAATTGCTGCACTACTTCCAATTACTGCACAACTGCCAATAGGCGTGTCTTGGAAAACAAATGACGGCGCCTGGAGTTTTTCCAAAACTTGGTATGCGGGTCACCGCAGTTTGAGCCGCCATCCTTCCATAGCCTAACGGGTGGGCGGAGGCTTTGTATAGTCAGCCCGGAAAAGGCCCCTGGTTCAATCCCCGGCGGCGTCTTTTGGGCCCTTTCCCCACCCGGAATCGAGACTTTGGGTGACCAAAAGCTCTGGGCACCCTGCGTCGAGAGTACCGCCAATTGCTGCACTACTGCCAATTGCTGCATAACTGCCAAATACTGCACTACTGGTCATCACTGCACTGCTACTGCACTACTGGGCATTGCTGCACTACTGCCAATTGGTGCACTACTGCCAATTACCACACTACTGCCAGTTGCTGCACTACTGCCAATTACCGCACTACTAGTCAATACTGCACTACTGCCAATTACTGCACTACTGGTCATCACTGCACTACTGCCAATTTACTGCATTTGCTGCACTGCTACCAATTACTGCATTGCTGGTCATTACTGTCATCACTGCACTCCTGCCAAGTACTGCACTACTGGTCATTGCTGCACTACTGCTGTACTACCAATCAAGGCCGCCTCCTTGCCCATTAGGCTGCAGCAGGCTTGTCCTATTCTGCTTTGATTCGTAATTTTCATCAAGGTTTTTGAGGCTTTTCAAGGCTTCCCTCTCTTTCTGGATCGACTAACTCATGGCCCAATTGCTGTTTGCATGGCCTGCTCCATGTTGATGGCAGACAAGTAATTATTGGACTTGTCTATTTATCTGTGATATTCGTTCTGAAACTGGCTCATACTGGCGATCTTGAATGATACTGGCTGATTCTGGCGACTACTACTGCTTCGACTACTACTGCTTCTACCACCACCACCACGACGACGACTGCTACTTTCTATTGACGGTTTATTCAATTTCCACCGCCGTTCGAGGCCGAGCACGAGGTGAGAGGGCCCGTGGGGAGCTAACGGGGGGGGGAAGCGGTGTGGCCGGCTTCCTGTACGTACCCCCCTTACCGTCCGGGCGGCGGTTGAAATCACTTCTGCTTACAAGTTCCATGCTACTGCTACTCTACTACTACTACTACCTGCTGCTGCTGCTGCCGCTGCTTTTACGACGACTGCTGCTACCACTTCTACTGCTACTGCTACTAGTACTAGTACCAGAATAAGTACTAGAACCAGTTCTAGCATGAGTGCCAATGTTGGTGTAAGACAAAACGGGTCTCGCAAAGACTACAACACGACCCGCGGAAGGAAAGACAGTGTAATGTAGCGAAAACGAGCGCGGAAGGGTTCTGCGGAAGCAAGTGGTTCGAAGAGCCGTGGGGAAGCACCCTTTCGCACGGCGGAAGGGATGCGGAAGGGCTTTGCGGAAGGGGGATTAATTTCCTCTAGCTTGTGGTTTGTAAAAAACCAAAGCTCAAATTAATTAAATCCTTTTTATAAACCCTAAACCCTAAACCCCTAAACCCCGAAACCCCGAAACCCCTAAACCTAATCCCTTTTACAAGAACCCCGACTGCTCAGGACTCAGAAGCTCCCTTACATCAAGGGCATGGGCTGCCAAGGTATTTGGATCTCACCCATCTTCCAGAGCCCTGGAGCCATTCACTATAGTCTCCTTGGGCTTTTGTATCCTGGTTCCTATACAAGCCAAGAGAAAGATCAAAAGTACTACTTTTGTTATGGTTCTAAGGGGGGTATAGATTCATCTCACGGCTTTAAGGATACTCCAAGGGTTCTGCGATGGGGTGTCGGTAAGTGCTTTATAGGGGCTTATGGAATGATTGGTAATGGTATTCCGAACTGTCCCTTAGAGGTCTTTCTTACAATATACTGCTCAAACTCAAACCTCGTTCGATTGTTACAGCCCCTACACTATGGGCTGCTCTTGGAGAAATGGAATGCAGGGCGAAGACTTTACCGTTTACTGTTCATAGCAGTAGCAGTCTCAAATGCGATTGCTTAGAGTTTAGTTCCCCGGTTTGGGGGTAGGGTGCTTTCTCTAGGCTGTCCTTAGGAAGTCTTTTCACTGTTTCTTGTGATATACAGCCAAAGGGCTATTAAACACACAACTTGTGTTTCGGGTGGCAGTAGCAGCTGCTTCAATAAAGACGAGTGCAGATAGCAGATGAGATGTACCAGAGTCAGCCATCTTTTCTGCCTGGTTCACAGAGGTCACAGGTTGATAGCCAGCAGTACGATGATGATGTTGAATATGGTAGTATTGATCGTGACGACGAAGCTGAAGCTGATGGTAATCATCATGATATTAATATAATGATGGCCATGGAAAGCTGAAGCACCGCAAAGCTTCGTCCGAAGGAATGGGTTTAATTCGTACCACCAGTACTCGCAGACAGACTTCACGCTCCTGGACCAGCGACTCGGCAAGGTGTCGATTCACTTCAGGCTTCGGTGTGAGAGATTACAATTCCTAAACGCAGAACCTGAACCAAGAGGCCAATTATGTGTGTCTGCAATGCATCAGGACCAGGGTTTGTTGACCTTCAATACCAGTTGGCACACACAGACACTCTTGTGGCGCTTGCTTGTGCAATGTACATCCCGGGCAAGATTGAGATCCTGGTAGGTCAGACCTACATCCAATTAGCCGAAGCTCCTGAGGAAAGAAGTGCTAGAACGAGGCTTGGAACCGCTTTACAAGACTTGTGGTCCCTTGATGCTACGAACTTCCTGGTACGAAGTTCTTTTCACTCTTCCTTCACCTGCAGCCCTAAACTTTCTCATAAATCCCTGGAAAAGCATTGCCTGAGTCGCCGTAAGAAGGCATGGTGTATTTCTCGTATATCTATGTGTATGTGTATATATATATATATATGTATATATATATATATATATATATCACACATACGTACATACATGCATACATATGTACATACATATACACATGTATCAGCATGTACGCCTGTATCATGACTGTCAGTTCTCAGCAGCACGGCAAACGAAGACGCTAAGGCGCTTGGGAACGCTGGATGAGCTGCGACAGCTGGCAGATTCAGCACACCGGCTTGGGATGTATGTTGCTTGGCCGACGAGAGTTCGAACTTGTCGGGCTGAGGGCGCCGACCTTACTGGGTGTAGAGTGTACAGTTGAACACAGGCTCCGGATATGCAGATGGTTGAACCTTCCACGGTCTTCTGCAGTCCGCGCCAAAACTCGACGCGTTGCGTTGCCAGCTTTGACTCCGGCTTCAGACCTCGCCCGGTCAACGTTAGTAAGGATGTTTTTGAGAGGGATCAGAGGCTTGCAGGATTGAGGACCGGGGACTCTGTGTTCTTCAGCGAAGGTGTTCGGGAGTGCAGACGTTGAAAGATTCATGTTTGGGTGCATGGTTGAGGCTGGGGATGCTCCACTTGCAGTCTGCTTCATTCCGAATTGAAACAGGTTTGCTCAGCCTTGCCCCACTGCAAAAACGAGGATAAGCGCCGACCCGTGACAAGCTTGCGGGCGTTCCAATTTGCGGAGTTTCTGTGGCCTTATCATGCAATTGCAAATCTTGCCACGCTAACTCGAGGTCGGAATACTTATTACACGTAGCATCATTTTCCAAGGTTCCTACCAAAACAAATTAAACTTTATAGTAGCGGGCACCCCACCCTAGTCTGAGCCTAAAGCTAACAAAACCCCGTAAGAATATCCCAAACGCCGTACATCAGACATCTGCAAACCCCAACCTCTACAAGCCTCCAAAGCCACAAAGTGGAAGCCCAGAGCGCCGAAACCCTGAAACCTAAGCGCGAAGCCTCAAACCCTGAATGCCCCTGAACCCCAAAACGCTACATTCCCTTAACTGAGGTGATTGTAGACGTGGTGATGAACCACATGGGCAATGAGTTCTTCTTCGAAGGTCATCAAGGCGAATCGGCGCCCTTCCGAATCCACGAGGACCTGGCCCTCAGTAGTATAGGGGCCTTAGGGTTCCTTTCAGGGGTCCTTTAAAGGGGTTTATAGGGGATCTATGGTAGGATTCTATGATATAGGGGCCTGCAGCATACTTGGGGGATCATGGGACTTAGTAAGTCAGGTTATAAGTACCTTAATGGGGGGTACAGTTACCCTCATTATAACCCCCCTAGTTACTAAGTCCCATGATCCTTTAAGTAGGGGCCTTAATAATTCCTTATACTATTTTGGGGGTTCCTGGAACTCGTTAGAATTTTCGTATAATGGGCCTCAAAACCCTATTCTAATCATCAAGGCCGTCTGCAAAATCTGGAACTAAGAATCTATGAGGAGCTTTGCAACTAGGGTTTAGGGTTTAGGGGGACTAGAACTAATCTGATTGGCTCCGTTAGGGTTGGTTAAGGTTTAGGTTCGGCTTGTTGCAAGTTGGGAGCCAGGAGTCAAGAGCTGGGTCGTGTGCAGAAGTAAGGGTTTGAAGCTCCAAGCCTAACCGGGCTCTTACCATTGTTGTGATTCATTAGGGTTTAGGGTTTAGGGGTACCACTGTTGTGATTGGTACTTAAGGATCATGGGACTTAGTCAGGTATTGCTAAGTCCCATGACCCTTTACGTCCTTTACGTACTACTGCAAGTACTGTTGCTTTTCGTATTACTACTATACTGTTGCTTTTTCTATTGCTATGACGTCCCTGGTTCGCAGTAGCAAATGAGGAATAGGTTATGGGGACGACTATAAGGGTTCTTTTTCCATTGTAGTTCCTCTTTCAGGCTAACCAGTTTCACATGATGAATCGTTGGGATCCAAAATACGCATGGAGACGACTGATGAACCCAGACCGTAGCCACACCAAGCCTGCCAGTTTATGTAAGGAAAGCATTGTAAGGAGCCCTTTATTCGGTGCTAGGGACAACCGAAAACCCGAAAGACTGTAAGATTGATGCATTGGAACTCCAGGAGGCTTCGGAGACTTGGTCCGAGATTTGGAGTGGGTTTGCCGTACTGGGATGGGTGTATATAGGTGTAGTATAAGGGTCTGAATATCAAGTGGCAGTCTTCCGTTTTCTCTCCCAAAGGCACCCCGAACCCTGTTTGTTCACCAAGCTCCCTTCTGCAGGAGGGATCTCGCCGTGAGTACCACCTGCGGCCCCGAAGGCATCTTGCTTGGCAGGAGTGTTTGGTAGGGTGTTGTACCTGAGCGCTCCGCGAATACGAGATTTTAAAGAGATGCAAAGAGACATATTACAAAAAATCATGATAATCATACTAGTAATACTAATAGTTTTTGGCATAGATACATCCCAAAAATCACGCAGCGAATTCAAAATTGTGACAGCAACCTGCATCCCAGCGCCTATTGAGCGTTGATCAGATGGTGTCCATCGCGAAGACAAAATGCCGTGAAACGTGGGCTGACCTCACAACTCTTTGATGCCAAAGGCACCAGCTCCGGCCTGGGCGGTTCGGTGGTACGGTAGCTACTTCTAGGATCATGGGACTTAGTAATCAGGGTAATCATTGGGGTAGTCTTAACCCCAATGAAGGTACTTATAACCATACTTACTAAGTCCCATGATCCTCCAAGTAGACTCCTCAAGCGCCCAGCATAACACTGCCTGATCGGCGTGAGCTGACATGCGCGCCGAAGTCAGCTTGGTGCTCCCTTCAAGTCCGATAATATCAAACAGTATCATCTTACCTTTGGTGAGTAGGGAATGGAGGAATGGGTTACAATTATAGCTACGATTACTACCATTCTTCCATTCCCTACTATCCAAAGGTAAGTCATAAGAGGTTTGTGTAGAGTTTGGCAGCTGTCGGCCGCCTGCCTTCGGTGCAGGGGTTTGGCACGACCTGACGACAGACCCACCTGCCCTCAAAAAACAGCCCCCCCCTGCTCCTAAAGCTTACTACAAGGGGCCTGAATGATTACCAACACTATTTTTGTTGGGGGGAAGGTTCCTCATTATAATTATTGTATCATGGGCCCCGAAACCCTATTCTAATTATTAAGGGCCCCTCATATTAATCGCATGTTGGCTGAGAACTGAAGCTGCATCCCTAAACCCACAAAACGGTAGTTTCCGAAAATTAGGGGTACCTTATTTCGGGGGTCCTTTACATAAGGATCCTAGTACTTCGGGTACTATAGGAGGGTCCCCTATTTTCGGAAACTCCCATTTCAGACCCCAGAAAGAGCACGGGATCGAGGAGTTAATCACCGGTGTTCGTGAGAATGGGGTGAATAGAGCGGCCTTCTGACCTTGAAGGAAGTGAACCCGATTATAGAACCCCTGTAGTTCCCTTGAAAAGAACCCTATAGTTCCCTTTAAGTGAAGAAGACCCCCTGTTGCAGAACCCCCTAGAGTTCCCTTTAAAAGGAACCCTAGTTCCTTCAGCCCCTTACGTTCCCTTGGAAGGATTTTCATAAACGCCCTTTCCAAAGCTCAAAACCTAACGCCGCCGTAGACCCTACACGCCAAAACCCAGGGCTCGATGACACACTATACCAATACCGTTCCGGCTGGAACCCCCGAACTTAAATGTATGCTTAAATTGCCCGAAAAATCACCCAAACCACCCAAAAAAATCCCATAAATAAAACACCAAAATCTACCAAATCCCCTAAACCCCATAATCCACAAAAATCCCCTGAAGCTTAAATGCCACCCAAAAACCCCTATAAGCCCCAACTGCCTCCAACCCCCCCCCCCCCCCGAAGTTTTCGCCCTGCCAGGTCCAACTCGGATCTGCACTGGACGCCGGCCGGTCGACAGCCGCCTCTGAGATCGAAAAGTCCAAGGACTCCAATATCGCCTAAAAAGTAATGTTCCTTAAATCATCTTAAGGATCCCATTATAATCATTATAATTTCGGGTATATTCCTTAATTAAGGGATATTGGAGTCTGTGGGAAGATCCCTCCAGCAAAATCTACAGGCTTTGGGGTTTAGGGGGGTTCCTTTCAATTATCTACTGGGGTTTGGGGTTTGAGGGTTCCTTGAAGCAGGATCTACTGGGTTTAGGGTTTTAGGAGCTCCTTTACGGGATCTACTGGGTTTAGGGTTCAGGGGTTCTATAGGGGTTGAAGGGATCTTTTTCAGATTTCTCGAAGGTTGGGCATCGATTTGGGCTGGTTCTTCAGCTTCCCCTATTGTTGAATATAGGGGAAGTAATGTTGGGGACTGCTGAAATCAAGACATAGACTACGATGTCCACTAGTACCCTTATTCCCCTTTTGTAGTCCTAGGTTCCTTATAAAGTTACCCAATACCAAAAATGGAGCCCTTTCTATTCCTAGGTTACTGGGCATCCTAGTAGAATGGATCTGCAAGTGGAACTTCAAGATTTGGAGGGGTGCTGCAGACGGAAAGGCGGCACTTCCCTGCTGGCTCTTCGGGCTCGGGCTTCCGGTCTACTGTTGATGGACAAAATCCTGCAATACCCGTTATAAGGAATATACCATAATAGTTCCCATAGTTGAGGAGTCCTCAGGGTCATGCAGGATTTTGTCCATCAGCAGTATGGCTGAGGGTACTTCGGGATTCTACAAGGTGCATGCAAGTCAGAACAAGTCAGCCTTCCAAAGACCACCACGAGCCCCACATAGCTCGCATTCAAGCAATCTGAACCCAGCTGCTCTTGTTCCCGAGCAATACCAGCTGTCTTCTAGCTATTGGCCTTCCACTGCACACAGAACTCTGCAGCTAGGCTGATAGGTTCTGTGTCGTTAGCTTCTGTCAGACGACTGCGGTGTATTTCGGGAGTTATTCATTCTGAGGCACTGGGTCGTACACGTCGATCATGCTCCTTTCCTCGGCATAAGCCAAGGCGAAGCCGTCAGCATACTGGGGCTGCGAGTACACGAAGGCGGTGAACATGTACCAGTAATACCTCGGCGATTGTTGGAGACTTCAGCAGGTGAGGCTTCTAAAGCAAGATTGCCATCCGTACCGGTGCGTGCTGCAGTGTGACAGCTAGCACGAGACCTGATTGTCCCATGCTACCTAGGGCCTACCAATTTAACACTAATTTCCGATACGTCTGGCCATTGCCTATACGAGTTGCGGCACCATGCCACCAACAGTGTGACACGGAGCTTTCCGCATGTGAGTCAATCATTTCAATGGCGGCATGTCGGCCACGACAATGAATACAAGGTAATATGGGGGCCTTAATAATTAGAATCGGGTTTTGGGGCATATAATGCTGCAACTATAATGAGGCGCCCGAGGAATGATATATTATGCCTAGAATGCCAATACCCTTAGTCGCTTTAGCGTTCTGGATTTGGGGGGGTCTAGAGTTGCATGTTCAGGGAGTTCCTAAACCCTGAACCCCTAAACCCCTAAACCCCAAAACCCTAAACCCTAAACCCCTAAGCCCTAAACCCCGAAGCATGTGCACCCTGCAGGCCTTCAGGAAAACCGAAGTCCCATTGACCCGCACATCCCATTTTGTGAGCACTTTAAGGGTCTTGGGACTTAGTAACTAGGGTTGTAATTAAGGTAACTATACTGATAACCCCAATTAAGGTACTTATAACCTTACTTACTAAGTCCCATGATCCTCCAAGCACCGAGCCGTCAACATGCTCTGGTCCTGGAAAAAAAACCGGGGTTGGGCCTTGGAAAGTTGCGGGGGGGGGATATGGCAAGACTGGGGATCAGGGGTCCTTAAAAAAGGTCTATGTAAGAGGGGATTGCCCTGGTGCCCAAACCCTACTAAGACTTAGGAACCCTAGGGTTCCTTAAAGGGTTCCTTAAAAGGGATCTATAAGGGCTCTACAAGAGGGGGTTTTAGGGTTCCTTAAAGGATCATGGGACTTGGTAACTGGGGTTAATATTAGGGTAACTGTACTTGTAAGTACTGAGAATTTAATGGCTTAAAGCCTGTACTGGGACGACCAGGGGAGATGCCACTCGTTTTCGAAGAGGTGCGAGTACACAATTCCGCCCTTCATGGTGGCCGGCCCGTCAATGAAGCGGTCGGTGCCATACCTTCATTGCCCCACTTGTCGGGTATCATGGGGAACGAAAGGTTAACCTTTTCGGTTATATAGGGTTTATATAGGGACTATACTACCCAAAAACAAGTTAAAGGTTACCTACTCTACTACTAGGCTGCGGCAGTCCAGAAAAGGACACTAGTCACGGCTTCGCAAAAACAGTTGGACTCAGGGCTTCGGATTGTCAATATCACGCACACTGCGGCCAAATGCAACAAGGTTTTCGGCATGGGCCGTAGCTATCTATGTGCGGTCCACACTTGCGCATTCCTGCTTCGACTTGGAGTCTACTTGGAGGATCATGGGACTTAGTCAGTAAGGTTATAAGTACCTTATTTGGGGTTGTCAGTATAGTTACCCTAATTATAACCCTGGTTACTAAGCCCCATGATCCTTTAAGTACTCACACAGCAGCATCCGGTCCATCTGGTCCAAGAGGACGGACACTACGGCTTGGGGGACATATTTTAATACTAGAATGAGGAACCCCAAAATACCATAAGTATTTATTAAGGCCCCTTTTGTGTTCGGGGCCCTGATCTGCAAATACCGGAAGAAGGCCTGTAACGAGGAGTTTTAAGTCCCAACCCAACGTCACGAGCGCTGACACTTCGAGCCGTCCCGAAGATCGGGCGTTTTTTGTGGCAAGCGAGACCTACTTACTATACCATATCATACTATCTTATGCTACATTATTGTACTATATCATACTGCATTCTACCGTAGCATCAGGGTTTCCTTGGTCTTCTAAAGTTCTTTTCTGCACTAGAGGGTTTCGCGGTTCAGAAGGACCGCTCCAAGCCTATTCCAGTCTTCGGAAAAAGGGTAACTGAACACATCAGAATACCAGCACCAAGGACACACAGAAGTAGTCTAAGCCATTGAGACAAAAAATCGTACCGAAACATGACAAGCCTGCAACACCCTACCGAAAGAAACCCGATTCAAGCCCAAACCGTAAGCCCCTTGACCCTCAACCCTAAAGCCCTGAACTCTAAGAATCCTGTACCCCTCAACCCTAAACCTCTACTTGAAGGATCATGGGACTTAGTAAGTAAGGTTATAAGTACTCGAAGTCCCATGATCCTTTAAGTACACTCTAAACCCTAAAACCCCTAAAACCCCTAGACCCCTAAACCCTAGACCCTATAGATCCCTTACAGGAACCCTTATAGCACCTTTTACAGGACCCCTAAACCCTAAAACCCTACGTAGACCCTCGCAAGAAAAGCGAGGACCTCCCGACCGAGGCGCATGTTTCGATCCCGTCCTCGGCCGGTCCTTAGCCGAAACCATGGGGGCACTTCGATGATTTTTCCCCCCCCCCCCCCTTTTGAAGGGCCTTTGCAAGGCTTTTCTCGAAGGATTCTACAAGAGCTCTGTGGTTGGCTACTACTAGGATACCCAGTGACCTAAGAATAAGAAGGGCTCTCTTTTTGGTATTGTTTAACTTTATAAGGAACCTAGGACTACAAAAAGGGAATAAGGGTACTACTGGGCATCCTAGACTATGATAAGCAGAGGGTCTGTGGGGGTTCGATTAAGGACGACTAAAGGAAGTCATTGGGGCCAGAGCTCTCTGATCATCTTCCATGGACCAGCCCCGTTTTGGGCCCCTAAATCAAAGGGGAACAGGAGGGACCCTTAATAAGGACCCCTACTCTATAATGGGCTATATAATGGGTATATAATGGCTATATAATGGGTACATAATGGGCTATATAATGGGCTATATAATGGGTATATAATGGCTATATTAAGGGTATATTACCTAGGGGTCCTTATTAAGGGTCCCTCCTTTTCCCCTCTGACTAAAGGGTTCTCGCCAGGGCTTTTCGTCAGCGTGCTTACGACGTGGCAGGCTCGACAACGCAAGTCCTTCACCATCTTCAGCATGCATCTTAGAGCCCACAGATCTGCGTCTCAGACCCGAAGAATGGGACTCCAGTAACGTTGACCCTGTGATGCTGATGTGTGTGTAGTGTTTTGGGCCCCTATAATGCGAGCAGAATTGCTATGTCGACATGTGTGCAATTGCCTTGACCACACGACAACGAGGACGACAAAGAATAACACAACAATCACGGAAAAGCAGACGAAGACGGCGATGCGGCGATGACCGTCAAAAATGATGACAACAAAGTGCACGACAACTCTGCAACGAAATTAGCTGGATTTCTGAGAGTATTTGAAATTCATAGCGTAGTAACGTGGCGGAGAATCTGAGCCCGAAAGCCAGCTGCGCACATCGCTTCTAGGACTACTACGACCCTTTCCAGATTCACTTCGGAGACCTGGTTGCAAGCTTCCCAGACTCAAGACTCCGCAGATGGTGGCTTCCATGGCTGTCCCTTGGGACGCTCGGGGCTCCCCCAAAGTAGGTACCAGTCACAATCTTTGCAGACCTTAAGGCCTTAGACCCGTATACTTGCGAGGCTTCAGAGATGCAGTTGCGACTCTACAGGTTTGGCGGCTGTTTGTTGTGGCTGAGTTCTGCTACATGCGGTTGGGTTCCTATGAGCTTGGCACATGCAGTGAAGCGAGATGCTTCTACTGGGCAAGATTAGGCATTGATCAGAAAACACTTTGCGGTGCAAGCAATTTGAGATCCGACATTGAAGGATGGTCCTTACCTGATGTATAAGTAGTACTTTCAGTTACCAAAACATCCACCCCAGCAACAAGACCCCTGATTTAAGCATCGAATGATTCCAAGTGGTGGTTGAGACCTGAAACCGTTGTGTCAAACGTTACACGTAGAACTCAAACGTCTGGTTTGGTCCCAATGCCTATAATGATCAGGGCTATTGGGGTTCCTGCACAAGGATTCAGAACTAGGGTTGAATAAACACTCTATAAGTAGGGGGTTTGGGGTTGGCTTACAGGGTCACGGGAGTTAGAACCTGGCTCCAAACTTCCTAAAACGGGCTCTAAGAGGGTTTTTAAGGTTACTTAAAGGATCACGGGACTTAGTAACTAGGGTCGTAATAGGGTAACTATACTTATAACCCCAATTAAGGTACTTATAGCCTTACTTGTAAAGTCTCATGATCCTCCAAGTAGGGTTTACGACCTGAACTTGGATGAAGCAGGGTTTGTAGCTACCGGAAAATCCATCATCTCAGCTTTGTTGAGGGGCTCCTCGGATGGGCAAAGGCCCTCTGAAGATACTATAAAGTTGTCATAATACTCTAAGGCATACATATAAACACACACACACACACAATATAAAAACAAGTATAGAGATACGAAAAAGTATAACGTACGCCATCGTATCTTTTTTAGAGTATAAAAATGCCAAGTGAAGCCAAGGCACCGAAGCTGGCTTTCCCTCGGTTCTTCCAGTTTTGGGATTTAGGGTTCAGTGTTTTTTATTTTTGGGTTTAGGGTTTAGGGTTTAGGGTTCAGTGTTTTAGGTGGGTTAGATTTTCGGAGGTTGTTTATGGGAAGCCGCATGCAGCAGGAATCTGTCACAAGACCGTGGAGCTGTAAGCATGGAACCCTCAAGCTCCAGCACTTGAAACTATGTCTACGCTTTTTAGAATGTACTAAAGACGAAGGTTACTCCAGATTTGACGCTACCTAGCTTTCCGGCAAAAACGTTGACGAATGTTATAAGGCCGGCGATTCTAATCGCTCCGGTTTTGATCTGAGGCGTTTCAGTCGCCGTCTCGGGTCTTTATGTGAACATCAGTGCCATTCCCGGGCAGTGTGTCGGCGGGCTGCCTACGGCAAGTCTCACCAACATCTGCCTTCTGACTATGTGTGACAGTACCCAAGACCAGCCCATTCGACACGCCTGAAGACAGACAGCAGGTGGACTGACAAGCTACTAGGCATGCAAGTGTCCCGTGCTCGTTTGTCAAGAAGCTTTTCGAGCATGTGGTTAGGTGCCCTTGTTGTAGCCCGCTCCAACTTACCTTATGTGAGCCGTGCACTCGAGGTTTCTTATAACTTCGGCCTGCCAGGTGCCGAGGATTGTCAGGATTTTCCACTCCCCATCTTTTTGAATCCGGCTTGAAACTTGGGGATCTCCGCTCGTCAATCAATAGCCCCCCAATGTCCCCACTTTTTTTGATTGCGGGGGGGGGGGGGGGGGGGTATTGAATTAAGGCCCCCCCCCCCACATTTGCCCTTTTCAGGATAGGTCACCTCTGCAAAACCAACAATGGAAGATTATGAGTATCTCAGATTTGACCCTAGCGGGCCACCTGTAGAGCACAGGCTTCACTATTGCAGGGAGTGGCCCAAGGATTTGGCAGCTTCCTGCAATAGTGAAGCCTGTGCTCTACAGGTGCCCGCTAGGTGTCAATCGAGATACTCTTAATCTTCATGTGGTTTTGCAGAGGTGACCGCTCATGAACGCAAAATTGTGGGGGGGGGGGGGGGGGGCCTTAATTCAATACCCCCCCCCCCCCCCCCCCGCAATCAAAAAAAGTGGGGACATTGGGGGGCTATTGATTGACGAGCGGAGATCCCCAAGTTTCAAGCCGGATTCAAAAAGATGGGGAGTGGAAAATCCTGACAATCCTCGGCACCTGGCAGGCCGAAGTTATAAGAAACCTCGAGTGCACGGCTCACATAAGGTAAGTTGGAGCGGGCTACAACAAGGGCACCTAACCACATGCTCGAAAAGCTTCTTGACAAACGAGCACGGGACACTTGCATGCCTAGTAGCTTGTCAGTCCACCTGCTGTCTGTCTTCAGGCGTGTCGAATGGGCTGGTCTTGGGTACTGTCACACATAGTCAGAAGGCAGATGTTGGTGAGACTTGCCGTAGGCAGCCCGCCGACACACTGCCCGGGAATGGCACTGATGTTCACATAAAGACCCGAGACGGCGACTGAAACGCCTCAGATCAAAACCGGAGCGATTAGAATCGCCGGCCTTATAACATTCGTCAACGTTTTTGCCGGAAAGCTAGGTAGCGTCAAATCTGGAGTAACCTTCGTCTTTAGTACATTCTAAAAAGCGTAGACATAGTTTCAAGTGCTGGAGCTTGAGGGTTCCATGCTTACAGCTCCACGGTCTTGTGACAGATTCCTGCTGCATGCGGCTTCCCATAAACAACCTCCGAAAATCTAACCCACCTAAAACACTGAACCCTAAACCCTAAACCCTAAACCCAAAAATAAAAAACACTGAACCCTAAATCCCAAAACTGGAAGAACCGAGGGAAAGCCAGCTTCGGTGCCTTGGCTTCACTTGGCATTTTTATACTCTAAAAAAGATACGATGGCGTACGTTATACTTTTTCGTATCTCTATACTTGTTTTTATATTGTGTGTGTGTGTGTGTTTATATGTATGCCTTAGAGTATTATGACAACTTTATAGTATCTTCAGAGGGCCTTTGCCCATCCGAGGAGCCCCTCAACAAAGCTGAGATGATGGATTTTCCGGTAGCTACAAACCCTGCTTCATCCAAGTTCAGGTCGTAAACCCTACTTGGAGGATCATGGGACTTAGTAAGTAAGGTTATAAGTACCCTGATTGGGGTTATAAGTATAGTTACCCTACTTATAACCCTAGTTACTAAGTTCCATGATCCTTTAAGTAACCCTAAAACCCGATTGGCAAAGCCTAGGCGAAGTTGTGCGACCGCCAGGTCTCTGAACTGCGGCTCACGTGACCCTAAACTTGCAAATGCCAAGCCCCACAACCCCACGTGACTTCGTGATGTAGTGTTTGGAGTTCAGGGCAGAGTTCTGAATACTTGTGCAGAGAATTCCCCAATAGCCCTCAAATCATTATAGGCATATGGGAGCACAAACCAGAAAACCCAGTTCTACGTGCTTAGGCCCCTGTTTTTGACACAACGGTTTCAGGTCCGGCAACCGAACCACTTGGAATCCTTCGATGAATGTAAATCTGAGGGGTCTTGTTGCTGGGAGTGGAGTGTTTTGAGTATATTGTAGTATAGTACGTACTTAGTACATGCATGGTAAGGACCAGGCTTCGGATGTCGGATCTCGGAAATTGCTTGCACACGCGACAAGTCTAGTTTTTTTCTGAGGCCTATGTTCGGGGTTTTGTTGTGGTCTCCTACATCATCACACCTCAAGAGACAGGCATCAAACTTATGTGGAGGCACACTACTGGCGCAACACCGATCCCCTTATTCTACATAGGCCCGAGTCCCGAGACGAAGAGTCCGAGTGAGAGCCAGAGAGTCTGCAATTATTGTTGTTATCATCGTAATCGTGTGGCTCTTATTTCTGTCTTTTGTATTCTTTCTAGCATTATGATTGTTCTTTTTGTTGGTGCACGTCGACTCCAGGTCTGTTCGGCGAGTTCTACGTGACCCCGGAGCGGTATTCCACTATGACTCTTGGCTCGAACAGTAACCCCCTTGCCCCCCCAACTCGAAGAGTAGGCTGTGGCCTTTCATGCTGTTCACAACTCAACTTGCAATCTTGCGTCAATGCCTCATGCCGCAATGGCACATCACCTTCGCCTGCACGACTCTTCTTCACCAAGATCTTTTTGCTTGCTGCTCCTGTTGCGGATGTCGAGAATTGCACACATGTCGACATAGCAATTCTGCTCGCATTATAGGGGCCCAAAACACTACACACACATCAGCATCACAGGGTCAACGTTACTGGAGTCCCATTCTTCGGGTCTGAGACGCAGATCTGTGGGCTCTAAGATGCATGCTGAAGATGGTGAAGGACTTGCGTTGTCGAGCCTGCCACGTCGTAAGCACGCTGACGAAAAGCCCTGGCGAGAACCCTTTAGTCAGAGGGGAAAAGGAGGGACCCTTAATAAGGACCCCTAGGTAATATACCCTTAATATAGCCATTATATACCCATTATATAGCCCATTATATAGCCCATTATGTACCCATTATATAGCCATTATATACCCATTATATAGCCCATTATAGAGTAGGGGTCCTTATTAAGGGTCCCTCCTGTTCCCCTTTGATTTAGGGGCCCAAAACGGGGCTGGTCCATGGAAGATGATCAGAGAGCTCTGGCCCCAATGACTTCCTTTAGTCGTCCTTAATCGAACCCCCACAGACCCTCTGCTTATCATAGTCTAGGATGCCCAGTAGTACCCTTATTCCCTTTTTGTAGTCCTAGGTTCCTTATAAAGTTAAACAATACCAAAAAGAGAGCCCTTCTTATTCTTAGGTCACTGGGTATCCTAGTAGTAGCCAACCACAGAGCTCTTGTAGAATCCTTCGAGAAAAGCCTTGCAAAGGCCCTTCAAAAGGGGGGGGGGGGGGAAAAATCATCGAAGTGCCCCCATGGTTTCGGCTAAGGACCGGCCGAGGACGGGATCGAAACATGCGCCTCGGTCGGGAGGTCCTCGCTTTTCTTGCGAGGGTCTACGTAGGGTTTTAGGGTTTAGGGGTCCTGTAAAAGGTGCTATAAGGGTTCCTGTAAGGGATCTATAGGGTCTAGGGTTTAGGGGTCTAGGGGTTTTAGGGGTTTTAGGGTTTAGAGTGTACTTAAAGGATCATGGGACTTCGAGTACTTATAACCTTACTTACTAAGTCCCATGATCCTTCAAGTAGAGGTTTAGGGTTGAGGGGTACAGGATTCTTAGAGTTCAGGGCTTTAGGGTTGAGGGTCAAGGGGCTTACGGTTTGGGCTTGAATCGGGTTTCTTTCGGTAGGGTGTTGCAGGCTTGTCATGTTTCGGTACGATTTTTTGTCTCAATGGCTTAGACTACTTCTGTGTGTCCTTGGTGCTGGTATTCTGATGTGTTCAGTTACCCTTTTTCCGAAGACTGGAATAGGCTTGGAGCGGTCCTTCTGAACCGCGAAACCCTCTAGTGCAGAAAAGAACTTTAGAAGACCAAGGAAACCCTGATGCTACGGTAGAATGCAGTATGATATAGTACAATAATGTAGCATAAGATAGTATGATATGGTATAGTAAGTAGGTCTCGCTTGCCACAAAAAACGCCCGATCTTCGGGACGGCTCGAAGTGTCAGCGCTCGTGACGTTGGGTTGGGACTTAAAACTCCTCGTTACAGGCCTTCTTCCGGTATTTGCAGATCAGGGCCCCGAACACAAAAGGGGCCTTAATAAATACTTATGGTATTTTGGGGTTCCTCATTCTAGTATTAAAATATGTCCCCCAAGCCGTAGTGTCCGTCCTCTTGGACCAGATGGACCGGATGCTGCTGTGTGAGTACTTAAAGGATCATGGGGCTTAGTAACCAGGGTTATAATTAGGGTAACTATACTGACAACCCCAAATAAGGTACTTATAACCTTACTGACTAAGTCCCATGATCCTCCAAGTAGACTCCAAGTCGAAGCAGGAATGCGCAAGTGTGGACCGCACATAGATAGCTACGGCCCATGCCGAAAACCTTGTTGCATTTGGCCGCAGTGTGCGTGATATTGACAATCCGAAGCCCTGAGTCCAACTGTTTTTGCGAAGCCGTGACTAGTGTCCTTTTCTGGACTGCCGCAGCCTAGTAGTAGAGTAGGTAACCTTTAACTTGTTTTTGGGTAGTATAGTCCCTATATAAACCCTATATAACCGAAAAGGTTAACCTTTCGTTCCCCATGATACCCGACAAGTGGGGCAATGAAGGTATGGCACCGACCGCTTCATTGACGGGCCGGCCACCATGAAGGGCGGAATTGTGTACTCGCACCTCTTCGAAAACGAGTGGCATCTCCCCTGGTCGTCCCAGTACAGGCTTTAAGCCATTAAATTCTCAGTACTTACAAGTACAGTTACCCTAATATTAACCCCAGTTACCAAGTCCCATGATCCTTTAAGGAACCCTAAAACCCCCTCTTGTAGAGCCCTTATAGATCCCTTTTAAGGAACCCTTTAAGGAACCCTAGGGTTCCTAAGTCTTAGTAGGGTTTGGGCACCAGGGCAATCCCCTCTTACATAGACCTTTTTTAAGGACCCCTGATCCCCAGTCTTGCCATATCCCCCCCCCGCAACTTTCCAAGGCCCAACCCCGGTTTTTTTTCCAGGACCAGAGCATGTTGACGGCTCGGTGCTTGGAGGATCATGGGACTTAGTAAGTAAGGTTATAAGTACCTTAATTGGGGTTATCAGTATAGTTACCTTAATTACAACCCTAGTTACTAAGTCCCAAGACCCTTAAAGTGCTCACAAAATGGGATGTGCGGGTCAATGGGACTTCGGTTTTCCTGAAGGCCTGCAGGGTGCACATGCTTCGGGGTTTAGGGCTTAGGGGTTTAGGGTTTAGGGTTTTGGGGTTTAGGGGTTTAGGGGTTCAGGGTTTAGGAACTCCCTGAACATGCAACTCTAGACCCCCCCAAATCCAGAACGCTAAAGCGACTAAGGGTATTGGCATTCTAGGCATAATATATCATTCCTCGGGCGCCTCATTATAGTTGCAGCATTATATGCCCCAAAACCCGATTCTAATTATTAAGGCCCCCATATTACCTTGTATTCATTGTCGTGGCCGACATGCCGCCATTGAAATGATTGACTCACATGCGGAAAGCTCCGTGTCACACTGTTGGTGGCATGGTGCCGCAACTCGTATAGGCAATGGCCAGACGTATCGGAAATTAGTGTTAAATTGGTAGGCCCTAGGTAGCATGGGACAATCAGGTCTCGTGCTAGCTGTCACACTGCAGCACGCACCGGTACGGATGGCAATCTTGCTTTAGAAGCCTCACCTGCTGAAGTCTCCAACAATCGCCGAGGTATTACTGGTACATGTTCACCGCCTTCGTGTACTCGCAGCCCCAGTATGCTGACGGCTTCGCCTTGGCTTATGCCGAGGAAAGGAGCATGATCGACGTGTACGACCCAGTGCCTCAGAATGAATAACTCCCGAAATACACCGCAGTCGTCTGACAGAAGCTAACGACACAGAACCTATCAGCCTAGCTGCAGAGTTCTGTGTGCAGTGGAAGGCCAATAGCTAGAAGACAGCTGGTATTGCTCGGGAACAAGAGCAGCTGGGTTCAGATTGCTTGAATGCGAGCTATGTGGGGCTCGTGGTGGTCTTTGGAAGGCTGACTTGTTCTGACTTGCATGCACCTTGTAGAATCCCGAAGTACCCTCAGCCATACTGCTGATGGACAAAATCCTGCATGACCCTGAGGACTCCTCAACTATGGGAACTATTATGGTATATTCCTTATAACGGGTATTGCAGGATTTTGTCCATCAACAGTAGACCGGAAGCCCGAGCCCGAAGAGCCAGCAGGGAAGTGCCGCCTTTCCGTCTGCAGCACCCCTCCAAATCTTGAAGTTCTCCCAAATCCTCAAACCACAATCCCAAATCCCAAATCCCTAAACACTAATCCCAAATTCCTAAACCCTAATCCCAAATTCCTAAACCCTAATCCCAAATCTCCTAAACCCAAAACCCAAAACCCTAAAACCCTAAAGACCAGACCGAAGACCTTTGGAAACTCTGGGTCTGGCGCCTTCAGCACCCCAACGAAAGCCTACTTAAAGGATCCTGGGACTTTAGTAACTATAGGGGTCCTTAAAGGGTTCCTTAAAAGGGATCTGTAAGCGCTTTATAAGAGGGGTTTTAGGGTTACTTAAAGGATCGTGGGGGGTAGTAATTAGGGTTATAATTAGGGTAACTGTACTTATAACGCCTATTCGGGTACTTATAACCTTACTTACTAAGTTCCATGATCCTCCAACTAGAGAGTTTGGGTTCAGGGGCGCTTCCTGAACCCTGAAAGGCTTATAGTGTTCAGAGACTCGAGATTCCGCAAGCCTCAAACTCTGGACCGCACAAGGCTTGTATGTTCGTCCTTCAAAGGCCTATAGGGTTCAGGGAATTCCGCAAGCCTTCAGCCCTCAACCCTGCAAGCTTCATATGCCAGGGCCGCTGTATGCAAGACCAAGGCCAATGCCCGGCACGAGTATGCCATGTGGAACTTCTGCAACAACCACGACAACTGGCGCCTGCAGAGTATGACCAGCTACCGGATCTGCAGTGAGTAGTGCCTTTGTTTTGTTTTCTTGTTTGAACGTCCCATGAGGGAAGTCTAAGACCAACCAGAAGACCGCAATGCAAAAGATAATGTTCGTTTGGCATTATAGAAAACCAGCTAAATGATTAGTTCTTTTCATTCGTTAATATGTCTACAGAGAGACATTAGCTCACATACATCCAGTTGCCCATGCACATGTGTATATGTATATATATATATATATATATACACACACTCACGTATGCATATATATATATATATATATTCTTTCTTTCTTTCTTCGTAGCGTTCAGGGTCCAGAGGACGCACGCCTAGCAATGAATTGAGGGTTGAAGCAGTGTGCACTCGCCCGGAATAAACCCGAGCGGAGCAGAAATCTGCAGAAGAGGAAGCATGCCAAGATGGAACCAGCATGTACAAAAGCTGTCTCGGCCATGCACATCTCTTCAAAAAGTCAAAACTAGAGCCATCAAGGGACAGCCGCTGCCGGCATTGATGGGGACATGCCATACACAATTTACAATTGCCTGGCACTCGGACTGAAAGCAAAAACGCTACCTAACGCATGCAACCGGGCTCGATTGAGGTTCTACTTGTCACCGTAGAACCTTTCACAACCGGCAACCGAACAAAAACAGTACTATCTTGAGCATTCCTCCGGGGGCCGGGGGAGGCAAACTACAAGACAAAGCCTTTCAACGCCCCACAAGGTGGTTTCATTCAAACCACGTCCCACTCGAAACATGCGTGCCATGTACAACGCATTCACACTTGAACCCTGAGCTTATTCCTCCAGGGAACAGGGGAGGCCAACTACAAGGTAGGTCCCTCACAATGGAAAATTAAACATCACTGTGCCCTCTCAGACGTGCCGCTGCATACAGTGACCGCGTATATACACACCAACACGCGTGAGGTCCGAGTCTAACGAAAGCGAAGCGCCCAACAAACCCGTCGACATGCCGCGGAACTCCAGGACCTGGTCTACCGGGCTGCGGGGGCTGCGGAGCCAGATGTCAAGGCGCTCGCCTATCGTAATTATCGTAAAAGCAACGTTAGTGCCTTCAGTCTTGCACTCACAGTGCCGCATGTCACGATCGTACTTACCATCGCCAGGGGTCGATTCCTTCTGGAGGTTGTCATCCGAAAGAGTACGGCCGCCCTCAAACTGCTTGCCAGCAAATATCAGGTGCCGCTGGTCGGGCGGGATGCCTGCCTTATCTTGGGACTTAGCCTTGACGTTGTCGAACTTGTCACTGGCCTCAACGTCCAAGGTCTTGACAAAGATCTGCATGCCGCCTCGCAAGTGCGGCGCCAAGTGAGGGGTCGATTCCACCTGGAGGTTGTAATCCGAAAGAATACGCCCACCCTCAAACTGCTTGCCAGCAAAGATCAGGTGCTGCTCGTCCTCAACGTCCAAGGTGAGCATCAGGGTCTTGACAAGGACCTGGATGCCGCCAGGGGTCGATTCCTTCTGGAGGTTGTCATCCGAAAGAGTACGGCCGCCCTCAAACTGCTTGCCAGCAAAGATCAGGTGCTGCTGGTTTGGCGGGATGCCTGCCTTATCTTGGGACTTAGCCTTGACTTTGTCGAACTTGTCACTGGCCTCAACGTCCAAGGTCTTGACAAAGATCTGCATGCCGCCTCGCAAGTGCGGCGCCAGGTGAAGGCGTGCCCTCCATGGGCACTGGGGCTAACGATAGTTCCGCGCTGCTGCGGCGTTTCGAGCCCTTGAGCCAAAATGGCTTGAGCCAAAATGGCTACGGATATATATATATACATATATGTATGTATGTCGGTATGTACGCACACACGAATATGTAAAGTTCACAGTATGTACATGTGTAGTTCTGGAGTCCCAGATGCGCACTCCCAGGGTCCCCCGTTCTGTATAATATATATGTATAGACATCTACACCATTATGCGTATGTTACATTGTGTGTCTATAGTGGTACGTGATACGGAAAAATGGGTATATCTGTACATACATATACATAGATAGATAATTAACTGGATAGGTAGATAGAGATGCTGCTTTCGATCTACCGTTCACTCGGAAAGTCGTTGTTTCAAGGTATTCGGTTTTCCCACTGTTCAGTCAAGACTCCCTCGATCTCATGTTCGGTTCTCGACTCAGGCACCCGGCACCTCCATGTCTGTTTGGTGGTGATCACTTTCTGGCCGGGTATTCCGCTACACTATGCAGGGGACGAACAGAGCCTTAGCCTATCGAGGGGGTTTGTCGCGCCCCGGACTGGGCGGTCAGAGTTTAGAAGTTAAAAGTTGTCTCTGTGGATCTAGCTCCTAGGAGTTCCAGGATGTGGGGCTACCATTCTGCGATGGTCCGTGTTATGCTTGGGCTTCCCATCGCCTCAGTGCCCTAGATTTGCGATTTCTGTGTGTGCTGCGTGAGGTGGGTCCAAGCGTAGATTCTTGTTACTCTGTGGCCTGCAGTTACCGGAAGGATGATTCCTGAATCCAAAACCATGAAAACTCTTCTGCCACTGACATTCCAAAGGATTCTTTACTAGTAGTATAAAAGAATAGTCCCCAGAGCGAGCACGCTACATTAGCCATCCCTGAACCAATATAATGTAAAATCCGGAAGAATTACCAATGCTCGTCTCTTCGGCCGCTTTGTTAGCCATTATGCGACGATACTCTCGTCTAACAAGACTACCAATTTTTCCTGTTGTACGGAGTTTTATAACTGTTATGCTAATTCGCTGTTGTACTGCTATTCTATTCTACTCCTATGCTGTTATGCACCTGTTATGCTATTATGCTCTTGCACTACTGTACTAGCCTACTATAATGTTAAGGCACTTTATCATTATGATACTAGCTAACTAGTGTTCAACACTCCAATAAACGCGAAGATACTATACTAGTATTCCGTGAGAGCTCTTTCTCACTTTTTTTCCAGTCACAATTCTCTACTAGTAGCGAAGACTCCTTAAAAAACCATACTATAACCTTAGAGCTCGTTATCATTTTATAGCTTTTCAATACTCTACTACATGCTACAACTCCTTTAACACTTTACCATAGTAATATTCCTTGAAACAAAAGACTACTAAATGCGACAACTCCTTCAAAGCCGCCCGCTTCGGCGAGGAACTTCGACTCACCGGGCAGCGCGCTCGACGGCTGGGCCCGGGAGGCCAGTTTCGTGGGGAGGGGGTGGGGGGTTGGGTTCTCTGAATAGAGGGGCCTTCATAAGTTGACTAGGGCTTTGGGGTCGCATTATAGTATAAGCCTTAAGGGTCAAAGGATCTATAGTAGGGTTCTACGATATAGGAACTTGAGAATTACCTGTACTATTTTGGGGGGTTCCTTATTAATATAATGACAGTAGAATGGGCCCCAGGACCCTATTCTAATTATCAAGGCCCCTATATTAAGTTAACATACCTGTATCATGGGGATCCTTTAAGGGCTCGATAAGGGTACCAGGCTTAGGGCATGAGGCTCCTATTGACATAATGAATGGGGATCCAAGAAAGGGTGTATCTTGATGTAATGGGTAAGCATAACCTGGGCTTCGGAGTACCAAACTTTTACATTTTTGTTAGAGGAACCATGATGAAATAGAAGTTTATACTCTTTTCTCCCTGGCTACTTAAAAGCCCAGTTACAGTGTTTTTTTACGAGGGTTCCCTGAGGGCCTGAGAGTCCTATTGATGTGAAGGCGAAACATACCCATACAATGGGGTTCCTTCAAGGGTTCTACAAGGGACCATACGGGTTTAGGGTATAACGCTGCAATTTTGGCATAATGAATGGGGCTTTACCAGGGTGAAAATATTAGGGCTCTATGAAGCTGAAGATGATAGGGCTCTTTCAGGGTACCATAATAATCTTTAGGGTATAAGGCAAAAGCCGTATCAAAGCATGACAATCCTACAACACCCTATAGAAACCTGATCAAAATAAACCCGACAACATCCTAAAACCCAAACCCCGCACCCTAAACCGCCAAACCCTAAAGCCCAAACCCCTACACCCTAAACCCCTAAACCCTAAACCGCCCAAACCCTATCACCCTAAACACCTCAATCCTAAACCCTAAGACACCTTGACACCTTAATCCCAAACCCTCAACCGCCAAAGCGCTGCCGACAGGAGCTTGGAGCTTCCCTTGCCTGGCAGGCGGTGCCCACCCACCAATCAGGCCGCTTTAGGGTTTAGGACTTTAGGGTTATAGGGCTTTAGGGTCATGTACTCTCCCAGAATAGTACCCTAAGGGTCCAAGTACCTAATAATCATATACATGCGTGCAGTCTGGAATAAAGGAAACATTCCTTTTTTTGGGGAATGTCGGAAGTTTCTTTATAATAAGCATGAGCATGCTTTTTATTGTACCGTCTTTATGAGGGTGCCTCGTAGTTTTCCTATAAGTACAACGCAATATATACACAACAGACGCTACTCTACCTGTTGCCGCATCCCACCCACCAACTTGGCCCTCCCATAAAAAGATTCTGCAAAGGACCACCGGAATATCGTTTTTCAAACCTATAAGCCCTAAGGCCCCAAACCCTGAATTTCAGGGGGCCGACAGAGAGGGGGAGGCTACTCATCTAGATGGTCCAAGGTTGACTTGGAGGGTCATGGGTAGCTGTAAGTTGGGATATAAGTCCATTAAAAAGGGTTGTAAGTAGGGTTGCCCTGCTTCAAAACCGACTTATAATTACACATTAACCTCCAAGTACTTCCGCTCTTGGCGTTGGCTCCTGTAAGCCTCATGCACGCACTCTGCAGAGGTCGCAAGAGTTAGGCAGAACATCCCCTTTCATGGCTGTTATGTATTTCTTGTAAACTAAATCTACCCGGAATGGAACCAACCCTTGCACCCAGACATCTAACGAAGTCCGGATGGTAGACTTGCACCCGTCTGGGAGCTCTAGGCTTCTCCAACGTGGCGGGGAGATCTTTCCTAGAGGCCTCACTCCTGGACCCTGACCCCATCTTGAGGCTCAGAACCAGACCTTCCAAAATCCCTTAATTAAGGAATATACCTTAAATTATAATAGGATCCCAAATATGAATTAAGGTATATTTCTTAATTAAGGGATTTTGGAAGGTCTGGGCAGAAATTTGCAAGAATCCAGCGCTCCCGAGAAGACGATCAGATCGCCCCATGCAATTCACACGTTCAGCTGGGCTTTTCCCCTTGTCGCCGCAGGAAATGTGGCCAGCCGGGACAACTTTGACATGACTTCTGGCAACTATCTGCGGCGTGGCGAAGATGCTTTAAGAAGCCGGATAGCAACAGGTAACCCAGACCTGGTCTCACGTGCACAGGCAAGATCCGTTCCTATTGCTCGCGGCAGAAGGACACAGCTGGTATAGAGGTCCGAATCTTTAGCCAGAGACACCCCTTGTAGTCGCAATTTGACAAAAATTCAAGGGAGATTCTTTCAGTAGCGATATCCGCCTCGGCTTTAGAGTTTCGGAACCTTCGTAGCTTTCTACCCGTTTTGTGTTCCTCCCGTGCACAGCTTCGTCCCCAGCTGTGGTTGGTGACTTGTTTTGAGAATGTGTGGCGTATGTCCATCGGCTTTAGAGTGGGTAAGTCGGGCATCTCGGATCGAAGGTTATAACTTCCGAACATCATGCGAGGCAGTGAGGATCAGATTCCGCCCGGAACAGTTCTTAGGATTCTGCCTCAAACCCTAGCCCCTCAATCCGAGACCTTACCAGGCCGGCCTCAAGAACTCTCCGAATTCCCATTCTGTCGCAACTGCAAGTGTCTGCATTCTGAGAGGCCCTAATGGCTCTTTAAGATTGGGGTTTCCCTTCTTGAGGGTTCTAGAAGGGCTAGTGACTAGTGTAAGGCGCATATTGGAGACGGGGCCTTACTACGTTACAGCGATCTCCCAAGGATGAATCTCCTTCCAGCCGGCTCCCCAAGGTTCATTGCCCGACTCAACGCGCTGCGTCGTGCGCACTTCGGGTCCTTTGGCAGTGAGGAGCGCCGAAGCTGCAAGAACCTCGTGAAAATTGTTGGTATACTGTTCATATTAGTAGTACTATTCGTCTATTCGTATGATTAGTATATTAGTAGTATGATAAGCCTGCTTCAACGGATCATAGGCAGTTGAAGGTAGGGGGTCAATCAAGGGATGTAGAAGGCCAGGTTGCTCACAGGAAACGCATGTATTATATTCTAGGGTGGGTTGCGACGCTGCCGAGCACCCCAAGAGAAGTCTTGCAGAAAACTTCGCGGAGACTCTGGGTCAGCGGTTTGATACGAACTATGACACGAACACATCAAAGTAATTACAATTATACAACTATTTCATGGGAATAGCGAGTATCATCATCCTCTTCACACCAGACAGCAGGTTTGAGAAGAGCAGAGAGTCGCAGGCAGATGCGCCGAGAGGTTCAGCCGGGCGTTGCTAGATCAGGTATGCCATGTTCGCCCCACCGAACCGGAACCGCCCAAAACTTTGGGCAGTTAGGGGTCTTCGGGGGATCCAGAAAGCTCGGCCTGTTCCTCCGGGCCAGGGCCAACAATGCTGGCATTGATAATCATAGCCCTTTCACCAGGCCCCTTCCATGAGCTTGAAAGCAGAACCAGTTATAAAAGCCTTGGACCCTGAGCTGCAAAGCCGATTTTTGGGGAAACTGAAAGAATGAATCTCCAGCGTCTCAGGTGCGACAAGTTGATGACCCCGAACCCACCGATCCAAGATGTCCTGGCCTTCATCCGTGGTTGCTCTGAGGCTGCGTGTCTTCAGAGAACCTTGTGTGGAGCCGCTGTAAACTGTAGGATTCTTCTTCTAGAGACCTTAAGGGCTCGTAGGATGCATTGTTTAAATTCCTTTGGGGCCCCGTCCCTTGAGTTGGAACTTTGGCCTTAGGTTTAGATAAAACAGGTGCGACTCACATGGCTTTTCAAGTATTCACATTTCAGAGGCCGTTTCCGCCTTCATTTGATGAGGGCATGCAGCGGGGTGTGAGCCTTTTGAGTTGAGTCATGCTCTATGTCGTTCTCTCTCGCTCTCTCACTCTTTGTTTCTCTCTCTCTCTCTCTCTCTCGCTCTCCCTCCCTCCCTCCCTCCCTCCCTCCCTCCCTCCTCTCCTCTCTCTCTCTCTCTCTCTCTCTCTCTCTCTCTCTCTCTCTCTCTCTCTCTCTCTCTCTCTCTCTCTCTCTCTCTTGCCCACCTCTCTCGCGCTTTCTGCCTCTCTGTCCACGACTCGATGCGCATAATTTTGTTGCCTCCGTCGGTTCGCTCCACATGTTCTCAGTTTCCTTTTGGGGCGCTGCCGACTTAATCATTTCCCAGGGCAGATGCCACAGTCGCCTTTGACTTTCCAAAGCACTGTTCGCTGCCCCTGGCTGTTTTATTTCAGTCTCACGGGATCGATGCTTCAGGGTTGCTAATCAGGACGTGCTCCTACTTGTTAAAACGAGATTCAACCTTTCTCTTTTCTGCCGTTTTTTCCTTCGACTCATATAGTAACCTAACTTAGGTTCCTTAACAACCGCCAGCATTATGTGATTCAAGTACGGGACCTAGGGCAGCCCCCTTTTGGCTGTTTTCTGCAGCTGGCCGGAGCCTGCACCCTTCAGAGACAGAGCAGGTAAGAAGTCACCTAGTCTAGTTTAAAGGCGATATGCTATGTACACGAAGTATACATGTATATCAGTACCAATAGCCCAGCAACCGAGTCGATGAGTATGGCATCATCTGTAGGAACAGCGTGTGGCGGTGCTGGCCAACTTCCACAGCACGGAGACCCGCGAAGCGCTGTTGTTTCTTGGCTGCTAGCGTTTGTCTTTCTGTGTGTCGCTATGCCACTAGTCATGTCACCTCATCAGCTCGAGGGGGATATGCAAATGTCTCCGAGCGTCTTTGTGCGATGATTCGCGATTACTTGTTCTGGAGATGGAGGAGGTTCAGAGTTGAATGTGTTTAGCTGGCTTCATGTGCCATGTTCAGCAAGCAAGCAGAGATGTGATGTTATATACATATAAAGGAGTAGATGTAGATGCACATAATATATATATATATATATATATGTATACACTACTGGTTGTGTAGTTGTATGATATATGTACCAGAAAGCATGCGCAGATCTACATGTATATATATATATATATACATATATATTATTCTATTTATACACATACATACCTAAACACAAGCATATACATATAAATATGTCGACACACGTGTACTTGTGTGTGTGGCAGGGCGTATACACATTTGTTTATATGTATGTGTATGTGTGTATGTGTGTATATGTGTATTATACATATGTGTGTGTGTGTGTGGAGGCATGTGCCATCCACATCCACGTGTCTGGTTATTCACAGCATCTAGGCCCAGATATTTCAGCGAGTTCTTCAACATGTCCGTCTGAATCAGCATCCCAGAGTCTATAAACATGTCCTCTTTTCTACTCCCTAAGCTCTTAGAGCATGAAGGCTTTAGCCGCTTCTGACAACCCTGAGGCTCCTGAGAAAGCAACCTTAAAAGAATCCAAGCAAGACCCGAGGTGGTCGCCTTGGCAGGAACACACCGAGCTGCAGGACCTCGCCATGTTTTCTGGACGTAGACCACATCATCCTGAAGTAGCCCACACCTCGCATGCTATACGACCAGTATGCTATGGAGTCAGGTATCGGGAATGTTCTATATGTTACTTATCCTTCACATGGGCTAGTCAGATTTGCAGAGGGGTAGGGTACCTCCGCTCCTCCCGAGCTTAGGGACCTTGTGCAGATGCGGATGCTGTTGCTATACGTTGTGTTCTACTACAGCAGAAGTTGTTCTTATGTTCTTAATCGTCGCAGTCTTGCGGCAATAAATTTCTTGCTCGGAAAACTGATACAAGTACGATGGCTAGACCAGTGAGAGTAACCACTAGTCAAGGTTTCGGGCTTCCAGGACCTGGAAGTGCAAGTCCACATGTTGGCTTTCGATCTGGAGATAAAGATGAAGGGCATTCCTCTTGGTTGACATTCTGGGGCGCAGTTGAGCAAAACAGGCCCTGATTCACTGTTAGAATAGGGTGTGAGGCGGTTGCATGTTGGCCTTGACTTGCTCAGCTTTGCTGCGCAGGACATCATTGCGACATCCGGGCAGCTGCGCATCGTGGTGGGAGTCCTTTGGCTTCAGCAGACGATGCCACGCGCATCTTCCTTCCGAGCCAGTCAATCTGGAAATGCTTCCCCACGCCGACGGTTGGGTATGTACCAACGGCATCTCTCCGACATAGCGGCCTTGCATGGGGCATTAACAAGTCGTCACATGAGAAGAAGACTGCAAGGGCACGCATTGGGGCTGCTGCATTGCGAACTTTCACGGAATGCTTTTCGAGCGCACTCGGAAGCCGATATGTTGCTTTCCTGGGGTCTTGTTAAGGGATTTAATTTAAGTTACAACAAACCGCACATTCAGCCTTTTAAAAGAACCCTAAGCCTTAAACCCCAAACTCTTGTATGAACCGTTAAAGAAGCCTAACCATAATAAGGAAACCCATATTTTTTACTATAAACCTTACTAAGTTACCATTATACGGAAACCATATTTTTTACTCTAGCCTTATTAAGTTACCATAACAAGGAGACCCATATATTTTTTTCCTATAGATCCAGTTTCTTCCAGGCCGGGGGCCGGTTGCAGACCTCCCTGCCGCCCTTGGCGGCCGTGGCTTTGGTTCCCAGCCCTGGGAGGCCCCCGAGATTTTTTCCTTAGGGTTTAGGGGTTTAGGGTTTAGGGGTTTAGGGTTTAGGGTTTAAGGGTTTAAGGGTTTAGGGGTTTAGGGTTTAGGGTGTAGGGTTTAGGGTTTAGGGTTTAGGGTTTAAGGGTTTAAGGGTTTAGGGTTTAGGGTTTAAGAGTTTAGGGTTTAGGGTTTAGGAGTAAAGCAATCCATTTCAGACCGTAGCATGACATGGGTATGTAGATGTAGACATGTGTGTTTACGTTCTGGCTAGTGTATGTACATGCATGCATACATGCATACATACCTGCATACATATCGAGTGCATGTATATGTGTATACATATATCATCTGCCAGATGCAGAAAACCAAGTATGCGCGTACAAGTGGAGTACCACTTTATGTATATCTAGTTAGGATCTCGTGTGTGTGTGTGTGTATGTCTATTAGCAGAGGGGTGCTTGGCGAGGAGTGCAATGGACTCGTAGTCAGCCGTAACGTTAGGATATCCCCTCTTCTGAAAGCCGCCTCTCCCACTCGCAGCTCTCGGGCTTAGTGCGTCCGGCGGCCGAGAGCATTGAGCTCCGGTTTTGTTCCCTTTGTATTCATCCGCAAGATCCAGCACCCTCGCTGAACTGCTTTCAGTTTGGGGGGTCTGAAGACGCCGTTCCCCGCGAATTGACTGTATAGGGCTTGCAGGGGTGTTTCCAAGAGTTTAGGGACGGTCGCCATAGAGGTACACCTACAGCATCGGCATAACCAAGATGAAGGCAAATCTCCTGCCGCAGGTCGATTCCTCCCAGTGTGGTGGCCGTGTCGCCCTCCCACGCTGCAGTGCTCTCCGGCCCCGCAGGAAGCTTTAGAGCCCCACGATGAGACCAATCCGTCTTGATTGGGACATTTAAAAGGTGCCTGTTCACTGTTCACGTTTCGTTGCCCTTTTTATTTGATGGACGGGGGAGTTTCTGGGAGGTGTTCCGCTGGAAATCGAAGATGGGATCGTGCGTCTTGCAGCAACATATATAGAGATTTGCTTGGAATCCTTGAAACCCTCGAACCCCGCTTTCTAAGGCCTCCCTCCCTAAATCCTTAAACCAAAATATAGGGGCTCCGATAATTGCCTATACTATTTATCCGGGTTCTTTATTATCACTATAGTATAATCGGCCCCAAAACCCTCTTCTAATTATATATTAAGGCCCCGATATTTTGCGTTTTAAGATTCAGCCACGCAGTGTCCCTACTTGGAGGATCATGGGACTTTGTGCGTGAGCAAGGTTCTAAGTACTTTCAGTGGAGTGAGAACTCGTTATAAGTATAGTTAGTCTAAGTATGACCCTAGTTACTAAGTCTCACGATCCTTTAAGCGCAACACCCAGTTCCCCAACAGGAAACGCACTTTACGTGTGGTGAGAACTCGTTATAAGTATAGTCACCCTAATTATGACCCTAGTTACTAAGTCTCACGATCCTTCAAACATAGTAGTTACACTGCTTCTAACCTTATAGAACCCTAAAAGGAACCCTAAACTGCTTATACCCCATCTACAACTGCCCATGAACCTCCCTCCAAGTGCAGGAACGGTGCAGATCGTACTCTCCTTTGACCAGCCGATGCACAGCTCAGCTGCGGACGGCGCTACTCGGCTCCCGGGGGTTTACGGCCTCTGGGTTTAGGGTTTTGGGTCGAAGTAATCACCCGGATTCTTCCGGAGGTTTTCGTATTATAGGTAGTGCCGATATCGCATAGCAAATGCCGAAATCTCTACCCTGAGTAGTAAGGCCCCTATACGACAGACTTCTACGGCCGTTCCACCACGCACCCAACAAGGCCCTCACGGCCAAGTCAATTCCAGGCACGTCCCGTGGGTTAGGGCAGGATCTACGGAACTACAACGGGGAAGGTCTCAAGCCTGAAACGGAAAGGTTAGAAAAGATCGAACGGTTACCGTTTCCCGTTTCCGACACTGCACGTCAGAGTTTGAACTTTCATGGTGGCGCTGCGTGCCAGCGAAATATGAGGACAGGGTTCCAAACGATAGCCTAAAAGCCTTCAAACACTCCGCCTCAATAGTAGCAGTACTCTGTTGTAGTCCTTTTCCTGTAGTAAGATATGACCTAGGGTTTGGCTGAACATAGATCCCTCATAAGAACCCGTCTAGGACAGAGGCCTTCCACTTTTCCTTAGACCCTACACTTCGGCAGCTGTCGGCGCACACCGATTCGTGGTGAAGGGTTTGCGGTCTCCATAATTATAGAACCCTACAATCTATCCCCTATGGACCCCTTTAAAGAACCCTTTGAAGGAACCCTAATCTAATTATTAAGGCCCCTTAGAGGTCAGGGGCTTCAGGCTCTCCACCTCAACATGCATACACAAGTACATACATATATAAATACATACCTTCATGCATACATGCGTAGTTACACACATAGATACATCGAGTTCTAAACCATAAACCCTCGAACCCGTTTGCAAGATCAGGTCTCCCTAGACGGCTTCGCAGGCATGTGCCCGTGGCTGCATTTACTTCCCAGACTTGCTCTCTGAGAGTCCTAGGGTTCTGGGTGCAACATTCAGGCCACGAGTGTATGTTGGTGCTTCACGTCGGAAAGGAGGCTGAGGAATCAGTAAGACATCTCCTTGTATGATAGACCCCAAAGCCCAGTTGTGGCATGCCTTTAATGTTTGATGGCCGTTTGGTTCAGCATCTTTCCTGCGCAGGGACTATGGTTTGTATATGAAATCCTTGACGTGGGAGTTCACGTCGTAGGGGCTTTCGGGCAGGATGTCTTATGTACGGCCGTCAGAACCGTATCATGGGTGCCGGGGTCCGTGTCGTGAAAGGGGGGAAGATTGGCCAACATGGGAGCTCAATTGCTGTTTAAATCGCATTCTTGTGTATACTGCAGGGGCCCATTCAAAATTCATAAAGCCTTTTGGTCGCCTGTTAAAGTCAAAACACAGTCCCGGTAACCGGCCCTCTCACAGCAGGCTTTCAACTTGAACCCCTCTTCAACCCTGCACCCTAAACCCTAAACCCTCAAAGTCGACTCGAATCTTTTGCCCGAAGGTCCCTCAAAGTTGCACCTTTGGGACTGCACCTCGATCCAGGGCCGGCTGCGGAAATGCTGGGGATCGGATCTTGAGTTATAGGAGTCGCAAGCTATACAGGGTTCTAAAAAAGAGTTCTGTTAAGGATTCTATAACATGTTGTGCATGGAGGGCCCCAAAGCGGTCATAAATGACCCAAATCGAAAGCTCTTTACGATCGACTCTGATCAACTCTGCTGCCGAGGTTCTCCTGCATGACGGCCAACTGTACGAAGGCAGGGCGATGATTGAAAGCAGATTGTCGCTCTCTATTGCAAGGCTGTAACACTCCAGACTGCTCTGCTTGCCCTGTGCGCCTCAGTATAGAGTAGTTGCCGTGTAACACTGTAGGTGGCGGCCACCATGCTCTTCGAGACCTTCTGCGATGGCGTGCACGTCGTAGAAGCATTGGAAGGCCACAGCTGAGACTGAGCGCTTCTGGGGCACCTCGTACCTAAGGTTCAGGCCCCTAGTGATCATTTTGGATCTTGGAGATTTGGATTAATGAAAGGCTTTCCAGGAAAGATAGCTCCAGCTACCTTCAGCACACCGATAGCTTGCATTAGCGCTTGGAGTTCGCCGTCGGCGTCGAGGGGCCGGATTCGGGTTCAAAGACAGACGAAGTCTGAACAGTAGTAGCTGTGACATGCTAAGACCACCATTCCTTCTTGTGGCATATTCGATCGAGGTTCCCATTCTCCTGGCGAGTAGTGTGGGACGAGCGAGAGCTTCGGAAGCGTGCACATCATCCCGCGAGTGCGCAGTGAAGTCATGCGACGCAGCAGACTGATTTCGAAGCAACCAGGTACTGCTGTTGATGGTCACACTCCTGCACGATTTGAAAAAACCCTGAACTGTGGGAGTTGCGGGAGTTGTGCTGCGATGCTCAGTATGTACAACTTATGGATAATGCAAGACTGTTTCATCCTAAGCCCTTGGACCTAGAATCCTGTGTTCGGAACCCTCAACTCCAAGCGAAATCCTGAAACTTCAAACGCCTCAAACCCTAAGCCCCGAAATCTTAACACCCCAAACTTCAAAGCCCCCCCCAAGCTACTTAAATCCCTAAACCCGAACCCCCCAAAGGCCCCCAAAGTCCTAAAGCCCTGAAGCCCTACTTAAAGGATCATGGGACTTAGTAACTATAGGGTTATAGTTAGGGTAACTATACTTATAACCCCAATTAGGGTACTGATAACCTTACTTACTAAGTCCCATGATCCCCATGATAGAACCCCTATAGATCCCTTTAAGGAACCCTATTATAGAACCCTAGAGTACCCTTATAACCTTACTTACTAAGTCCCATGATCCCCATGATAGAACCCCTATAGATCCCTTTAAGGAACCCTATTATAGAACCCTAGAGTACCCTTATTACCCTAAACCCTTACTAAGTCCCATGATCCTCCAAGTAGACCCTAAACCCTAAACCCTATAGATCCCTTTAAGGAACCCTATAGTACTATAGATCCCTTTAAAGGAACCCTTACTAAGTCCCATGATCCTCCAAGTAAAGCTACGGAACGAGGCCTTCAAAGCTTCCTCGGCCTCGGAACTTTCTCCAGCGCAGGGCTCAGGGCAATGCTATTCCTAGAAGAAGTCCCTGTGGAAGTCCTTGTAGGGTTCAGGGTTTAGGGTTTAGGGTTTAGGGTTCTGATGAGGGCTGTTGAAGTTTGGGCTTTACATGATTTTTCTTAGGCTAAATGATGGGCTGGCGGGGTTTGTAGGGTTTGTTGATAGGGTCTTGTTACAATGGGCTGATAGGGTCTTATAGTTTATTTACACAGTGCTTCCAGGCTGGTATACTTAAACTGTTTGTAGTGGGTTTGCAGTGTTTTATCGGACTTGGTGATGCCTTCTAGTGCCTCTGGCGGCTCAACTGTTTAGGGTTTCAGGTTTAGGAGTTTAGGGTTTTAGGCGTCAACGTTTAGGGATTAGGATCTAGGGTTTAGATTGATTTGGGTGGGATCGTAGGATGCGGGCACAGGGTTCAGGCTACGCATCGTGTTCTGTTCTTTTTGTCCAGGGTTTGGACGTTTTTGTTGTGTGTTTGTGTGTGTCGATTCACTCGTCAAGTGGCAGGCTTTGGCTTTGGCCCGCATCGCTGCATCCGGTAAGGGGCTTCAGCACCGTCATACCTACCCGTAGCGGCCGTGCGTGCGTCGCGACGTGGGTCATCCATGGAATTTGGCCTTGAGCCTTCGTCTACAGACAACGGAAAGACAACTTTCGTAGCACTTGAACCACGCTCGCGAAACCCTGAAATCCAAGTCCGGAGTGAGCCTGAGCATGACACGTAGCCGCTGCAGCAACTCCACTGTCGGGCTTCCTTGGCTGCGGCTCTTGTTCTGTAGACCTCATGTCACGCACATCGACACGTTCAAGATTCAAGAGACGCTTCACATCCCCAAGAATCTCCGAAAAGGATCATCAACGCAAGATGAGGCGGAAATCTATCGAACTCTGCGCCTGTGTAAACTGGGCTTTGGTTAGTAGGAAATGATTGGTACAATTATAACTACTTTTACTACCATTTTCCATTTCATTCTAACCAAAGGTAAGTAAACCTAAAGCCTAAATCGTTTTTAACATAACGAAATAATAGCAGAATACTATTCTAATATACTAATACGATAATATACTAACATAACAATATACCAATATAACCATATACTAATATAATAATATACCAATACAATATACTAATATAGTCATATAATCCACTGTGTGGTGTGGCGATTTCTTCGCCAGGCTTTCGCTCGACGTTTACTGCCTCGCGCTGAGATCCAGGGCTCACCGTAGCAGGGGGCTTTCTTTGTACTTAACGAATCATTGGACTCAGTAACTAGGGTTATAATTGGGGTAACTATACTTATAACCCCAATTAAGGCACTTACAACCTTATTTACTAAGTCCCATGATCCTCCAAGTAGGGATCGTCTCGCTCTATGCAACAGCTGCGAGCTGATGGAGTTTTTTCGTATCAAGCTTGGTTTACCGCAGAGTCAACTTCGACGGAGATAAAGTTCTAGTTTGCCTTTAGGCCTTGGATGGGTTTCTCCAGATGGATGCTCACATAAGAGGGATTTCCGCATTCGGCGATCGGCAAGCACCTGCTACATGTTACGTGCAGCCAAATTCCAACTGTAGTTGTTGTCTATGTTCTGCGCAAACCATAGCACAAGCTAACACGCGACAGCGACGACTCGCAGCAAAGTAATAATCATAGTACTGACGAGTTGCCCTACCCCCCCCCCCTTACCCCTCACCCCCGCCCAAGCATCCTCAAGCTTAGGTCGACCGTCACAGGGGCATCATCGCCCGACCGCACATGCACGAGTTGCCTTGCTGCAATTGAGGCCGAAGAATCCTTAGGACCATGTTCTTGAGTTGAAGCCCCGGGAAGAGACAGTTGTACCAGAGAGCCGATGCCACCATCAGTGCTAGAACCAGCACCATGATCACACCATCGTTACTATCACCATCTTTTTCCTCATCAACAGCATCGTCATCAACAATCACGACATCGTCAGCACCATCACTGTCGTGATCATGATGGCACTTCGTCTCCTCATCGTGTCCATTATGATTTCAATGCTCAACCTTATCCTCGCTGTGTCTGGTGCTATCGGCATCAGTACCGGTGTCACTACCGTGATGATCATGACCGTGGTCATATCACTCCACACTGATGGTAATCACCCAGTACCACCAGCCTCATCACGATCCCTCCCAGCCGCATGAGCAATAGCATCAGCATCAACATCAGCTCACTGATCCGGTTCCTGCAATCTTCATTCGTGGCCTAGGGGACCTGAGCCGCGGCATGACACGGCTATGACTGCACCCGAAATTAGACTTCAGCGAGCCCATCCTTCGCCCAAATCCCCAAAATCCTGATCTTTAGACGAACAATCAGTAAGCGAAGAGCATCACCTCAAAGGACGCTCAGTCTCCCGAACCCCTTGGTTCCCCCCAAAAAACCCAACCCCTAAAACCCCCAAAGCCCAACCCTAAACCCTCAACCCTAGACCCTAAACTCAATCCCCCTTAAACCCCTAAACCCAGAAACCCTAAACCCTAATGACCCTTAAACGTTCTCCGTGTCGCCCAGGTGGCCAGGGCTTATCTGCAATCGTGGCAGGCCCAGAGCCCCAAGCCGATGCCAAGACATGTTGGAGGTTTAAGTTTTTAGTGGTTTGGGTTTTAGGATTGTAGGGCTTTTAGGATTTTAGGGTTTAGGGGTTTTGGATTTTGGGGTTTAGAGCTTTGGGGCTTAGGATTGTAGGGTTTGGGGTTTAGGATTTTAGGGTTTAAGGGTTTGGGGTGAGGGTTTCGTAGGGTTTTGGGGTTTGGGGTTTTGGATTTAAGGCATTTAAGGATTAGGAGTTAGGGCTTCAGGGTTTTGGGTTTTTGGATTTGCTTTCAGGGATTTGCGTTCAGGGCTTTTCCGAGTGCGCTATCGGGGCATCGAGAACTGAGAGGCTGGAGTGCTTTGTTCACGGTTCGGTGGGGTTAGGACTTAAGGCCTCTGTAATCCTGCTACATTATGACATCAGCAACTAGTCGTATCTTCTGCCGCCCTACTCGAGCTGTGCTGAAGCCCCAGGCCCCGAAGTCTTAATGGGCCATGTGGAGGTGCTGCCTCTCTGCGCACGAGGCCCAAAAAAGGTCTAAACCTGAAGGAACTTGCAAACCCGCGTCGACACGTCGACACGCTGGAATCCTTGACCTTGGAATTCAGCTCTGAACGTTTTAGTGTTAGTGCTGGTTGAAGAAAAGTATATGCTGTTTGGGACGTCTTGGGGTTTTCGATGGGAAAGATTGGCAGTGGATCCCCAAACAGAGAGCCTAGTTCTACGGCTCGTCTTTAGGGTCAAGGGTTGACGGTGGTCAGGTCTGAATCAAGCACCGCGCTATAGACACCCGTAACTGAGCCGCGCAAGCACGACCGCTAGACCATGCACCACGGTAACAGCAAAGTCCGCGGTCAAATTTCGGTCTTTGAGCTGGTGGTTGACTGGCTCCTGACCACCAAGACTCTGCCAGGGCATTGTGCCACAATGCAGCAGGGGCAGAGTGGCTGCGCATCAAGAATGTCGGGGGGTGACTTGGCCGTCAAACTCGAGCAGTACAACATTTAGGTCAGTCACCCCATGCCGTAAACCCTATACCGGAATCCGGGGCGGCGATCATAGGACCATTTAAGACGGTACATGGGCATGTTGTATGGGATCCGAGTACGACCTCAATAGCGGTCTTCATGAAGAAGTCACCTCCTGGGTTCATGTCTTCCACTTCAGGGTCTCGTCTTGGGAATCCGCCAACACAGCACGACACCATTGCTTCACGATTTGCGACGGGGGACCAGATCTAGGGAAAAGTGTATAAAGGTTTATACATCGGAGTCGCCGGTGTTCAAGACCTAAGCCTCATTCCTTAGCCCTAAAGCCAGGATATACTTCGCTCACTGCCATCATCACGAACTTGTTCTTGTTATTATGTAATCATGCTATACTAGACTCAAAAGTATGTTACATGCAGTTCCAGCGTAACAGTCTATAGTAAGTTGTATTACGGTACTGTATAATGTAATGTGAGACTTCCTGCCCCTTCCATCTCAAAGCTGCTGTCATCGGATCGTCCGGCGAGTCAGTCCTTCCGTCTTGGATAAGGTTTAGGGTTTTAGGAATGTTTATATAGGATTTTTTGGAAGAGCAAAAATGCAGCCCAGACACCGCAGCCCTACCATGCCGACTATGGGGTTTCGGAATCACTTTCACTAGTTCAGGTTCAGCCAGGCGACGTGCCTTTCGGTGATCCAAGACTGCATAAGGCCGAAGGGAACGAAAAACGCATAGGGCCGGAAGACATCCTCGCCAAAGAATGAAACTGCTGCTGTGCACAACTCTTCTGATGCCTAGGATCGCTGTATAGTAATCGAAAAGAATATGGAGACCCCTGTAATAAGTAGGTTTGCTGTAATCAGAGCCCTTTCTCAGAACTAAATCCTTGCAATAGCCCTGTCAAGAATAGCAAAAAGCCGTGCTTACACCCCCAAGTCACAAACTCCTATGAAACCCTATGCAAAACCTAGAAACCATCTGAAACCTATTTAAGCCTTAAGCAGACGCCGCTTTCTAGGAATTGGACCGCGTGGCGGCCCTATGAAGCGCAGAGCGAATGGCAGAGCTTTGGAGGACTGCCTCAGGGGGGTTAGGGGCCTCCATAGCTACCAACACTATCTTGAGGTTCCTGATTGTTACTATGATCGAATACGGGCCTCCATAATTACCATCTTGGGGTGCCTTATTGTAGCTATTGTTCGAAGTATTAAATGCCAATACTATCCTGGGGATGCTCATTAAAACTTAGCTAGCCAGTTAAGTACAACATAGGGTTGTGCTAGGGCTTCATAGGGCGTTTGTAGAGCGGGCTTGCAATAAATCTAGAGCGCTTCACCAAGATTTGATGTGGGGGAGCGGAGTAAGGGGAGGAAGGGGAGGGGGAGGGAACTTAACTTTCGAAATATAGGGGGCCTCCTGGCTCGAGCCTTCTGCACTGAGGATCCACGTAGTTAGTAGGTCGCTCTTTGTCAGGGCAGGAATAAGGGCGGGATGTTGGGACTGCCCGAATTTGGTGGCTGAGTATGGGGGTCCGACACGACAGAAAAGCGGTTTAGTCATGCCGGAAGAAGTCGGCGATACGCTTTGGGTGAGGGCGCGTAGCGTGGCGATGGCATGGAGGCGTCCTGCTTAAGTCCTCAGCCCTAAGTCGAAATCCGGGGTTTCTTGTTCTTGCTTTGCGGCACAACTCCTCTCGATCGAAGGCAATCTACCATCTGATGGTAGTACAGTAGAGCGAAGTATAGTAATTATCATTACATTGACGAACCCGGAGGAATCATTCGGCCCCAGTTCTGCTCTCGACTTTGACGTATTCGCAGCATAGCTTGGCTACTGGCATCAAAACAGTAGAGCAGTGATACAACGCCCGCATGCAAAAGCAATACTTATGACAGCAGAGACCACCAACCCAAGCGTTGAACTTCTCCACCCACAAAAAAGAGTAACGGCCATTCTGCAGACCACGGTCCTGTTGGAAGTAGCAGCGGCCCTTGCCGCAAAGATGATACCAAGCCGAACTGGGGTGGGAATGAATAGTAATGGTATCAGCATGTCGTCTCTATATAGAGTTGTAGAGGGCTGCTAAACATTCAGCCCCTGAACAAACACAGCATGATCTAGCCCAAATGCCTAATCGGTTAACTCGGGCCTCTGTATCAGAGCAGCGCAGCATAGAGCAGCGTGGTTCCGGGCTCGTAGTTGCAAGCCCTAGACTCTAAAGTCTAAACCGATGTCCAATTTCAGGGATCGAAGACTCAGAGAGGGAGGGGAACTCCCAATTGGGAGGTTCAGGGCATAGTCTACAGAAGTGGTATAACACGATCCGCCTTGAAAGAAAGTCCCAAAAGAAGGATACCGAACCGGGGCTGCAATGCTCAGCGTCGGGTCGTGTGGGGGTGGGGGGCGGAGGGGTTTTGCATAGGAATATACTCACCCAAAACCCTAAACCCTTAAGCCCTAAACCCTCAACCCTTAACCCCAAAGCCCTAAACCCGAAGGTTGAAGACCCAAACCCAACACGAGTCATCTTGACTTGTAGTTTGTCACAGAAGTCCCATTGCTGTTATGTTAGGCTTAAGTTTACGGGCTTAGAGTTTAGGAATGTAATTCCAGTTACCACAACAGCGTGGTAACCATGTTAACGAATATTTCCCAAGTGTGCTAACCTAAGTTTCATTCCTTAGTTAGTAGTTGTTTCCACCATTATGGTAAGTAGTTCCGAAATTCTCAAGAAAGCCCTTACCAGCTACCCAGTACAGCGTCAGCCCGCGAGTGTTTCATGAACACAGTCATCGATTCGAGACCTGCTTTGTCATATCCAGCGCTTAGAGTAGAATCCTGTATGTCAAGTCATGTCATACCGTATTATATCATCTTAGATGCTTGCATGACGCTTCGGGGTTCCAGATGTTTGTTAGGGTTTAGGGGCGTTTGGTGGAATCTTGTCGAGTCTCCGCATTGGTGTATCACAAGGGCGCGCCTTAAACGGAGCCTTCAAAAGCCATCCTGTCTCACAATCCCAGGAGTGGGGGTCCTGGTCCAGTACCACGCAGAGGCGAGCTCCAGCTATATAGCAGGCGCCTCCGAGGGGATTCGGGAGCTCGAAGCTCGGTTTCTGGGGCTTCTGTTGATTAAGAAACCCCTTGGGGCCTTTATATTCCCCAAATAGTAGGATTCGGATATGGAGCCCTTTTTCAAAGGCCCAAGGTGTTCTTAATCAGGTTCCTACATTATAGAGCCCCCTTATAGTACCCTTATGGATCCATTTTACTAATCCTTATAGCAACCCTTACAGGGAACTCCAGAAAGTTGGAATATGGACAAAAAGGTAGGATCCCCTATAATTTACCCTAAAGGGGTTACGATAATGATATTCCAACTTTCTGGCTTCTACTGTAAAGGAACCCTAATATCAGGTTCCTACATTAGGTGTCAGGAGCTCGGATATGGGTTCAGGGCTTTCGGGCCTTGCGGCTTCGGGCCTTCGTATGCATCTGGGAGTTTCCGAAAATAGGGGAACGGTAACGTAGTATCCTAAATAAATAGGATCCTTAGTATAAGGACCCCAAAATAAGGTACCCCTATAATCGGAAACTCCCATCTGGGCTGAAGGTGGTCTGGAGTGAGTTGTGTGGCCCACGGCCGTTTCCTCAAGTAAGAAACGTGGAGTTTCAAAAAAAATCACCTGAGTGTACGAAACTGCTTCCCGTAGCAGCATCTGCGTAGAAAGCAGTTCAACCAGAACCAGACTTAAACTAGGATGTCCAGTAGTACCATTATTCCCTTTTTGTAGTCCTAGGTTCCTTATAAAGCTACCCAATACTAAAAAGGGAGCCCTTTTTATTCCTAGGTTACTGGGCATCCTAGTAAAAGTGTCGGAGTCTGATCGCAGCCGCAGAGCCGCACCTCAACAGGCAGCCATGAAGCCTGCAAGCAAGCAAAACCTTAGCAGCTGAGTGGATCCACTTTACACTTTTTTGGGAAAAATTGCCAACTATAAAACTGAAAGTGTACACGTTGAGGGGGCTTATGAACTCAGCAACTAAGATTAACGCCTGCATGCATGGGTCTGAGACACTGAAGAGAGGTGACTGCCTCGTTCGCGGGCTCCTCCGGTGTTATAGCACCTGGCACAAGCAAATGCATCTGCAGGGACCTCAAGAAGGGCTCAGCGCTTCAACAGGGGCATGCTACAGTCTCCTGTTAGGCATTATTTTTGTTCATATAGAGCCCAAGAGAATAACTACGAAAAATGTTGTTACTATGGTTCTACGGAAGTTATAGTATGAGGGACTTGAACTTTTGGATCTGAAGGCTTGGCCGTCCATACGTCCATATACTATAAAGGCCTAAATAATTGTCAATACTGTTGTGGGGCTTCCTTATTATAAGTATGGTTTAATGTACCCGAAGACCCTATGCTAATTGTTAAGGCTCCTTTTTTGAAACCTTGTTCTATAAAGGACCCCTTTCAAGGAACCCTATTCTACTTACTAAGGCCCCTCTATTAACCGCACCTGCTTGGAGGATCATGGGACTTAGTAAGTAAGGTTTAAGTACCTTAATTGGGGTTATAAGTATAGTTACCCTGATTAAAACCCTAGTTACTAAGTCCCATGATCCTGTAAGTAACCCTAAAACCCCTCTTATAGAGCCCTTATAGATCCCCATTAAGGGACCCTTTAAGGAACCCTAGTTACTAAGTCCCATGATCCTTTAAGTGCCTCTTGCGGCTCTACGGAGTCTTCGAGGAGTCGGTTCCTTTTTGGCTTCGGGGAGGCCGTGGGCTTCAGGTGGAGCTTTATTGCCTCGTGCGGCGATGTACACGATGATACATATATATATATATATATATACGCACATGTATATATATATATATATATATATATATATATATATATATATATATATATATATATATATATATATGTATATATATATATATATATATGGGTACATAGAGGTATATACTTACATATATAAGCATATATATATATATATATTATAGATCTATACCGCATGTAGTGTATCACTACATAATGGGATCTTGTCGGTGATTTCTTGGCACGGTCGGGTTTTTTTGTGTCCAGGTAAACCCACAAAGAAGCTACGAAGTCTCAGACGCCAACTTCCGGAATCCTCTAGTCTCAAGGGCAAGAGGACCCTGCTTGAAGGATCCTGGGACTTCGTAACTGGGGTTATAATTGGGGTAACTATATTTATAACTACTTGTAACCCCAGCTATAGTACTTATAACCTTACTTCCTAAGGATCGTGGGACTTAGTGAGTAAGGTTATAAGTACCTTATTCGGGGTTAGAAGTATAGTTGCCCTAATCATAACCCGAGTTATGTACTAAGTCCCATGATCCTTGAAGTAACCCTAAAACCCCACTTATAGATCCCTATTTAGGAACCCTTTAAGGAACCGCCTAGTTCCTAAGTCCCATGATCCTTTGAGTAGAGTACTAATAAGCCCAATTAAGGTACTTATAACCCTACCTACTAAGGCCCATGATCCCTTAAGTACATCAGGTTGTTTCAGGGTTCACAGAGCTGCGCTCAAGCAGAAGCCCTGAGCTCCCCCAGGCGCGGTGAGTTCAACGACTGGGGGCAGGTCCTTGGACTGATGACAGCAAAACGGCCCATCCCGAAAGCCTCATAAGCCCTTACTTAAAGGATCATGGGACTTAGTAACTAGGGTTATAATTAGGGTCACTATACTTATAACCCCAATTAAGGTACTTATAACCTTACTTACTAAGTCCCATGATCCTCCAAGTCATAAAGCCCTTAAAGCCTGAAGCCATAAAAGAAGCTACCCAGAGAACACGGAACTTCCTCCTTGTGTAGGGTTCTATGTTGGGGTTGAGTGGGGATCTGTATGGAGCGCTTTTCGCAAGAGGGTGTAAACATGTTGTTGGTTTGTGAGGTGTTCGCTGTGTCGTATTTCTCGGGTTTTCGAGTTACGGGGTTCAGAGTCTTGGGTGATCTGGTTCAAGAAAGTCTCTGGGGCATCTGAAGCAGCCAGCAATAAAGCTTCCTCAGCCCAAGCTCCTAGACAAGCGCCTCTTGACTTAGATAACTGTAGCAAGAGCTGTCCATGATAGAAGCTCAACAAGGGATGCCCAATACCCTAACCCTGAAACCCAAAACCTAATAACCCTGCATCATAAAAGCCCTAAACCCTAGAAAAATCCCAAGCCGGCAAAGCCAACCTTGTACTTGCACCCTGAACCCTACAAATCCCAAATCTTAAGACCCTAAAGAGCCCAATATTCCCGGGGCCCCTCATTATGAATAGATCAGTAATATAACCCAGAACCCTATTCGAAGTAGTAAGGGCCCCAAAGAGCCCAATCCTCAAACCCTCCTCTCGGAGCCTCCATAATTACCTATACTATTTTGGAGGTTCATTTTTTGTTATAGTTCTAGTATAATGGGCCCCAAAACCCTCTTCTATTTATTAAGGCCCCTATAGTAACGAGCCTAGGACTCCGACTTGGACATGGTCCCGGTGGATCACTTCACCTGGGCAGCCAACCTGACGCTCAGAAAAGGTTTACCATAGGGGATCATAGGGCGCTTTAAAGGGATTTATAGGGGATCTATAGTAGGGTTCTATGATATAGGGGCCAGGGAACTCCAGAAAGTTGGAATATGGATTAATGGTAGGATCCCCTATAGTTTACCGTAAACGGACTATGATAATGATATTCCAACTTTCTGGCTTCTACTGTAGGGGGTCATAGGGCCCTTTGAAGGGGTTTATTGTAGGGGATCTATACTAGGGTTCTATAATATAGGGGCCTGTAGTATACTTAGAGGATCATGGGACTTGGTAAGGCTATAAGTACATGATTTGGGGTTATAAGTATAGTGACCCCAAGTTTAACCCTAGTTACTAAGTCCCATGATCCTTTAAGTAGGGGATCATAGGGGCCTCAATAAGGAGGAGATCGGGTTCTTTAAACGGTTCTATAAGGAAGCCACACTAGGGTTCTATGATACAGGGGCCGTAATACTTGGAATAGAGTTTGGTGGTACACTATACTATAAGGATACCAGGAACCAGGGGAGAGTATTGGCAGCAGTTTAGGCTTCTTTATTGCAATATACCTGATACTCCGAAAATGGTGTACTGAGATCAGGCTTTGGGGTGTTGAGGGGCTTGGGGTTTAGGGTTCACAGGGCTTGGGATGTAAGGGGTTTGGGATTTATGCGGTTTAGGCCGTGGGATTTATAGGTTTTGGTTTAGGGCTGGCTTACATGATCGGGGTAGAGTTTAACACGGGAGATTTAAGAGGTTTGGGGCTTAAAGTGCAGGGTTTAGGTGGGATTTATTGTATTTTTCCGAGCCTGAATAGCTACCGATACTATCCCTTGGTTCCAATTATCAGCCTAACAGACCTTCAACTCTTGTAGTATTAAGAGTTATGATAGTATTGATTTGTACGGCAATATTAGTACTAAGTTTCTAAGAATGAGATTAATGGTCATGGTATCAGTTACGTCAATACATAAGTTAAAGTTTAGCGCCAACACACCCAACCTGAAGGCCTTCAAAGCCGATGCAAAAGCCTCGAACCCTTCACAGTCCCGACGCAGTCCCTGAGCTCCAGCTGAGGAGCTTATCTATGCTGCCCTATAACAGCGACATACAGCTACTGCAGCTACTGCCATGCTTTCCTGACAGGGTCACTTAGATCAAGCTTCGCAACAAGAACCCAGTCCAGCAGCCCCATGACCCGAGGAGCGTGGACCGCTTCTTGCGAGCGCGGGGCACAGACCTCTCCGAAGCTCAGAACCGGTTCTTCAGGGTTCAATAACCACCACTGAATGATATAAAAATGATAATGATGACAATAGCAATAATGATAAAAGTGGTGTTTGGGGCTTTGTAGTTGGAAGTTCCGATCTCAGCACTCTCGAGTTGAGGAAGGAAGGATCGAATGAATCCTTAAGTCTTCAGGGGCCCCGGGTGTTCGGGGTGGAGACCTTAAGGTGTTGCTGCTATTCTTAACACCACCCTTACTTGTTCCTATTGTTTAGGGTTCAGGGTATCATTGGTTTTACTGCCATCATTGTTCTGAAAATACGGTTGATGATATAAATCCTGCATGACCTTAAGGACCCTAAACTATGGGAATAATGGTATATTCCTTATTATGGGTAATGCAGGATTTATATCATCAACCGTAATACGGAAAGAGCCTCGAGCAGATGCTGTGCCGAAGCCGCAGATCCTCAGCCCTCAACTTGTCAATCCGACGTCCTCATACCCCAGAAAGAAACACCAAAAGCCTCCAGAATCTTTCACTAAAAGTTTCCAAAAAAAACGCAACAGATCGCGCAAAAAATCCTTCAACAAAACCCGTTGAAGGGCCCCGAAAAAAGTCTCGCCTGGAGGCCAAGTTCGCTCCGGGCCGTGGCTGGGAGAAGTCCTATGGAATCCATCCCACACGGAAGTTCGGGCCCCGGCTGGGGTTTTCTACAGTCTCCGTAGGAGTTGAGAACATGAAAAATATTGTTGTCATTATGGTTCTAAGGAGGTTAAAGTTTTGGGGATTTTTATAGTCTCCTTAGGAATTGAAAAATGGCTTTTCTTTAATTATGGCTCTAAGGGGTCATAGTTTGGGGATGGAGGGTTTAGAATTCAGGTCCAGGGTTTTGGGGATTAGGGGGTTTGGGTTTGGGTTTTGGTGATTAGGATGTAGGTTGAGGGTTTAGGGTTTTGGGGTTTCGGAAATAATACAGGGGGCCCAATAGGATTTAGGTTTGGGGTTTTGGGGGCAGGTTGAGGGATTGGGGTGTAGGGCTTTGGAGATGTCGGGGTTCAGAGCTTAGGGTTGAAGCATTGGGGTTCAGGACGTAGTGTTCAGCTGGGGCTTGTGAGTTTAGGGCTTAAGGGCTTAGAGTTTAGGGTTTACCCCCCGAAGTGTTAATCCATTCTTCAAGCGGGCCAGGCCGCTAGGCGGGCCTCGCTAAAAGGCCAAGACCCCGTCCGCAAACACCAACCCCGAAATCCTTTAACCCCCCAAAACCCTAAACCCCTAAACTCCCTAAACCCCTCAACCCCCCAAAGGCTAAACCCCTAAACTCCCTAAACCGCTCCCCAAAGCCTCAGAGAGCCACCGTCAAAAAATCGCTCTCCCCTTCTTCCCGAGGCTCCTTTACGGACTCCCGCTCTTCGACCCCCGGAGCTGCTTGGGACGTATTTTGTGTTGAGGGCTGTAGTATCGGGGCCTTAATAATTGGAATAGGGTCCTTTAAAGGGGTCTAAACGGAATATGTAGTAGGGTTCTATAATATCGGGGCCTTAATAATTAGAAAGTTTCCGAAAATCAGGGGTACCTTACTATTTTAGGGTCCTTGAATAAGTGTTTAGAGTACTATATTAGGGTCCCCTGTTTTCGGAAACTCCCATTTGGGTAGTTCTGAGGGCTGTAATATCGGAGCCTTAATAATTAGAATAGGGTTTTGGGGGGGGGTATATTATATACTAGAACTATAATCAGGAACCCCCCTAAATAGTATAGGTAATTATTAGGGCTCCTACAGTACCTTGTGAGGCTTCCTTGAAGGGTTCTATAAGGGCTTCTTTTCTATAAGGGTACTATACCACTATCTGCGTCGTTCGCTAAATTTGGGTCCCTTTTGGGCTCCAAAAAGTATGGTACCCTCATAAAGGAGCCCTAATGTAGAGAATAACCCCTGTATGAACTTCTCTTGTCTTGTTGTCTTCCCTGACATGGTGTTGTTTATAATCTGGCGCTGTTGACTATGCCTTCTCTTTACGTTACATTGCATTACATAAGGTTGTATTGGCGTTTCTGGACTCCGGTCTGCCAAATCATCCTGCTTGGGGTTGATGCATGTGATAATGCCCCAGGGCACCATGTACTGGGCATCATGCATCACCGGCCTCTTCAATCGCAACATCGCAAGCATCTATGAAAACAAAAAAATCTGATCACGTACATAGTTCGACATGCCGTGACGGCAGCAGTCAAATTCCACGCAATCCAATCAACATAGCATGTGGCATTTCATGCGGCTTTTACAGACGCTTTCAGATACGCGCAAGCCTCCAAACTTTGCAGAGACCAACCAGCCCTTCAGGGGTTCTGCACACGCATGTTAGGGCCCAGCCTGGAAACCCCGATGCTAGTTGAGACTGCAGTTTTCTCCCGTACGGCCTCCTCCGGTGTAGGGAGCTATTATTGTCGGGAGTGCGAAGCTTCGTCACGCCCCTTCCCCCGAAATGGTCCATGTATTCACTTGGACGTGTGCCAGGCAAAGATTTCGAGGTTGAGCCGTACATGTCTGGTGCCGCCGCCAGCCGCAGGCATCTGCCCGAAAACGGAGTGACTCCGATGCTTAATGCAGGGCTTGAAGAATGTACACCAGTGGTCCTTCTATAGTCCTAGTTACCTCAAAATCTAGCTCCGAAACCCTATTCTGCTTAGACAAGTCTCAGAGATAAGTCTAACGCCCCAAGAATGCAGAGTCTTTACCTTCCAAACTCTATTCTACTTATATATTAGTCATCAGAGATAAGTCTAACGCCCAAAAAAATCCCGGGCTTTGACCGCTTGCAGCTTGTAGGGAGCCTTGCGGCTCTAGGCTGCTTCAGGGGTTTCAGGGTTTTATTGCCCCCACTTGGAGGATCGTGGGACTTAGTATGTAAGGTTATAAGTACTTCAATTGGGGTTATAAGTAGTTCTAAGTATAGTTACCCTAATTATCACCCTGGGTTATAAGTAGTTATAAGTATAGTCACCCTAATTATCACCCACCTGGCAGGTGGATGGTGAAGCGCGGCCGCTGGAGTGCGCACGAGAGCATCACCACAAGTGCAGACTTCGCAGCAGACTCCCGGCACCAAGCAGCATCCTGCTGACAGGGGCTTCGACGATCAGCATTATGTCCATGATTTCGTCAACCCCCTGCCCGAAGTCGTGCATGTATTTTCCGGGACCTAAATTCGAAATTGCCAATACTAGTTTGGGGGTTCCTTATAAAACAAATATGGTAGAATGGAATGACGGTCCTGATTTTATTAAGAAGCTCACCCGTCGTGAGCACAGCACGGCGCGAAGCAGCACCTTGGACGTGGCTCCTCCGCACTAAACTAGGTTGGATTTTGGGACATTTTATTTTCCTTATTTGGGTTTATAAGGGACCCTATATATAAATAATTTTCAGGGTGTTTAAAGGCCAACCCAGTAAAGTGAAGTGCCAAACCAAACCCTGCCATCCCAAAGACTCTTCGCCTCAAAACCCTGCAACCCCAAAAGGACCCTAAATTCCAAATTCCCAGCCCCAGGACAAAAAACAGTATCCCTTGAAGTCCCCGTAGTTCACCAATTCTACCTCCCAGTATACTATCTCGCACAACCCCCATTCCCTTTTTGTCCTAAGCAGCCCAAGGATATCTGGATCAGCCACCGCTGCACCCCGGAGCCACCACCCTGTGAGCCTCCGGAAGCCTCCGAGGTGTCTCCTGGGGGTTTGGGGTTTACGGTTTACGGTTCTGAAAACTCTTGAAATAGCTTTTTCCCACGATTCACGGCTCGAGTTTTCGAGGTTTTTGAGGGATGCTATGAGGACTTCTTTCAGGTTTCACAAGATGTTCTAGATTTGCGGTCTTTCTCTGCATCTTCTTTTCTGAACTCCCATTTTCGGGGCTCCCTGCTGCTGCTGGGAGAAACCCTGCATTGCATTGCGTACCTACACAGATGGGCACTTTGGTACGTTCCTTAGTGTGAAGACGGCAGGGTTTGTCCATCGCTGTCGACGATATTTAACCGTATGTTGAGCAGCACTGGGTTAGTAAGTAAGTACCTTAATTGGGGTTATAAGTATAGTTACCATAATTATGTACTAAGTCACAGATCCTTTAAGTAGGAGCTGTCTGGAAATCGCAAATGCAGGTGGGTTGGAAGTGCCACAGCTACAGATCTGCCGCTTGGGCGCATGTCGCATGCGGAGCCCTCATCAGATAGGTTTGAGAGGGGCTCGGGGCTTTCACGTGTTTCCGAAGTAGTGTTCCTTAAGGATGAGTCTTTCAGAAAACAATTGCCTTGTAAATGTGCTCCTCTACATGAGCCTTTGTTTCGAAGGCAGTCAGAGGGGCACATTACCCCGTCCTGCAGTGGTCATCTTGGGTTTGGGGGGTTCGGCTTCTGCGAGCCCGGTGCCGGGCCAAGGGCGAAGATTTTGCCTGGTGCGCTTCCGCTGGGACGCAGGGCTGCGCCACTTGGTGAGCACAAAAACCCAAGGAGCGAGTATGCCGCTCTTGCACTTTGTGAGCATTCTTCCCTACACAGCCCTAAATCCTCAAAGCCCCAAACCTCCTAAACCCAAGAACTACTAGCTTTTCCAAAAACTTGTTCCATTTATCGATACCCTATATTAGCCGCGTGCGAGCAGGCTATGTTACAAGAAACCTGAAGCACGTTCCAGGAACTTCCGGATTTTGGCTCCAGTGTTTAGGCTCTAAGGGCGGGCATAGTCCATGCGGCCATGGATGGTCAAGCACAGGATGCCGGTCAAGAAGCGCGGGACTTCTTCCAAATGAAGGGGGAGCACTACTTCCGTGTGCAAGGCATCATCTCCGTCCCCTCGGAATATAAGGCGTGGCGGAAGTCTGCGCTCGACTACATGGCACAAGTCGTAGCTACAGCTTTCACGGGGCTTCCAACGTCTGCAAGAATTCCACTAGGCACCGGACTTATGGGCTTGGTTTCTGTCTATGGACATAGTCCTGGATATTTGGGGCATCTTGCGAGGTATGCGTATCGCTCCCTCGAAGAATCCGAAGCTCAAGCTCGAGAGCGCGTGAGAGAGATCGCTTCAAGATGGCAAGGGATCGCTTCAAGATGGCACGTGCCTGGCTCATGCATCCGGCTCTTCTACTTCTTTCCCCAAGCGCTTTGCTCATGCATCGGGTTTTTGTCCTATTGGACCTTTAAGTGTGTGGACATTGTGATGACTCATGGACTGATGGACATGATCGTGCTCTTAAAGTGTGAGGATGATGATAGCCGGTGGGCCTTATCGAGAAAGCCTGAGCTGACCCTACAACGATACGACGGGGAGGGAATCTTTAAGCTTGCGCAGTCTCGCGAGCCGTGGCAACTTCCACTTCCCAGACTATCAGGAAAGGTGCTCTTTGAGTTCTTGGAACATACTGATTGGAGTGGCTGGTCCGGCTTTGTAGCAACATGGAAGAGATATGGCTATGCTGCACATCATCTATGAAGACCAGGAACTTGCCTAATTGTGTGCAAGAAGCTGGTCGACACAACCTTTTGAGTACTTGTGCAGGACAACATCCGACTGCGTAAACTGCCAGTGCCGAGCAGAGAAACATCCGGCCCACGATCGCTGTTCGTTTTTGCTTGAGTGAGCCATGCTCCGCATCACTAAGTCTTTAAGTCGCTGCTGTCTGCTGTCATTCTTTGAAGTTCCTTCCCTCACCCACTTCATCGCACCAACACACTGAAATTGCCTCGTCTAGCCGTCAGCTTCTCCAGACCGAAAAGGCGAGGATCCATCGCAAGAGCACGTGAGCCCCCTGCAGAAGAACTGCTGAAGCCTCGATCGCAAGCCGACGAAGACCCTAAGGCAATCAACATGGTAGGTTCAGGGCGCAAGCAAACTTACCTGCTGGCTCTCGCGAAAGCCGATGCTGAAGCCTATATGCTTGAAAGCCCCGAGGTGATGTTTGCTCCGCGGAATGCCTCAGAGGAGGGTTTCGGGCCTGCTCTCAATTGCGGCTGGGGGCGTGAGAGTGGAACATTTCGGGGATTATGGGCCCTAGAGGTCAGGGAGCTTCACAAGTTAATTTCAGGTTTTGTTTACGGTGTGGAACAACTCATTTTGGGGTACTCGAGACGTTTCGCAAGGTGTTGTTGTCGATCTGAAGCTAGATGAACGACATGTCGAGAAGCATCGTGACGTTGTATACTCTGGATTGAACCGGTGGCCACTGGCGGCACCGAAAGCAGAAAGCTGCATCCGGACGTCGGGGTATCCTAAACCCTCAAAGACTGAACACCGGAAGATGGAATTTGCAGGACATGGCTTCATGCGGCACCTGTGACTGCTGCCGGAAGCAGGCCGGGAAGGAGCTTCTGGCGGCTGAGTGTGAGGTTGACTTAGGGGCTAAATAGGTACCCTTTCAGCTTTTGATGCTTATATAATCCTACTGTAGTTCAGAAGGTTAACCTTTTTTGGGCTAGGCTACTCAGCCCCAAGGTTGAGTTCCTTTGCAACCCTGATGGCTCCACAGTCAGACAAATTTCCGCAAGACCAGAAGCGAGGAGATCTTACTTAAAGGATCACGGGACTCAATAGCTAGGGGTTTAATTGGGGTAACTATACTTATAGCCCCAAATAAGGTACTTATAGCCTTACTAAGTCCCATGATCCTCCAAGTAGCAGGTCTGAATGTTTCAAAAGCTTTGGGTTCTGTTTGGTGGAGACAATTAAACCTTGAAAACGCCACGAGCCAACCTTCAGGATTTCAGACTTTAGCTTCCTCCACGCTCTCTGGCTGCAGGTTGCCGTCCTTCCACAAGGAGACCGACGACAGCCGCTCGCCGGCCAGCCATGGAAGAATGTTCAATGAGGATACCAGAAGCTAATGTTCATGCCAGGGGTTGTCTTGTAGAATTTTGTGGGATGTGAGAGGTTGCTGGTGCGCATGGGCTCCGGCCAATGTTTTTCTCCGGCTGTGCTTATCATCCCTAGCTGGCTGGAAGGCATGATGGTGTTGTGCTGTCCATACAACCCATGCGCTTCTCCGTGCTTTCTATTGGTGTGTTCACCTCAAGCCAAGTGTCCTTGCTACCCACGATGGCGTGCATGACAACCGGCGAGAGCATGCTGCCGTTTCCACAACTGGGCTGGAACTTTCAGCAGCTCGGGTAGTCTAGTCGGGAGTTTCCAGAGAGCTCAGCAAGCCCGATGATACCTTTTTCTGCCCTACATTGTTGACACACACCCTTGCACAAAGCGCGAAAATCCCAACGACGCTATATCAAGCTGCATCAAGCCCCAGCCTGTTCCGAGGTGCTGCATACTCTTCAACGACCTGCTTCTGAATTATACGCCGCCCGATGCGAAACCCTGGGGCCGACACAATACCCCCATGTGGGATCTAAGGGGTTTAGGGGGTTAGGTAGAACAGCTAGGCTGGAGGTCTGAGACGAGTCTGTGAGAGTTTTTGAGCCTAGCCAGAGGCCCCAAAGTAGCTCCTTTTGGGGATTACCTCATAAGATTCTAAATATGAACCCCAAGAAGGAACTACTTTGGGGCCTTTGGTTAGGGTTCGCGGTCTACGAGGAGTCTACGAGGCCATGCAAGGAGCTCTTGCATCCTGCAGGCGACCCAGGCCGTTAGTCCAGGAGTCTGAAACTCAAACCAACTTCAAGTCCGAAAACCACCCAAAAATCCACGCACCTTGGGGAATGAAGACGTGTAGTGTAAATGGATAAGTCCCAAGTTTGTTTATTGAATTCTGCACTCAAAAAAGCTATTATTACTTTAGTACCTAGCCCGACGATCCACTTGGTAGTCGACGAGCTGGTTTAAGGCCTGCTCGGTTCAGGCTTGGGAACCTATGGGCCAGAAAGGTTGAGACCGACAGCTAGAACAGTTAGCTCGCTCGGAAGCTGCGTTAAGGGTTCAGAGCTTCCGAAGGGTTCAAAGTTCACGAGTAGTCAGCCCACTTTGACTTTGGCCCAACTTCACACTTCATCCATGAACTCAAGTCAAACTGGTTGCATCTAGGTATAACTCCAAGGAAAACCTTCTCAAACCCTGTCGTTGAGTAGCTTTGCCTTCTGCTTTTCAGCAGGCAATCCCAGACTGTTTCCCGTGAGATGCCAGGATCACTGATGATCTCAGCCGCTGTGTCGCCCGCGGCGCGTCTCCGGCGCCCTCATGGCCGCTTTTGTTGCTTTCAGGTTCTGCCAGGGGTTGGGACTCCAGGAGTTTGGGGACTTGACTCTTGCCGCCCCTCCTCGTCCAATCCTTGGAATTCACAGGTTGGTTGCGAGCCAGCCAAAGCGGAAAGACATGAGAAGTGTTTGCGATTGGGATGAGAGACTTGCCAGGTTACAGCTGTTGCTTTTGAGCGAGACCGGGCATCAGGAAAGAAAGCTGACGAGCCGGGTCGTTGTTTAGGTCTTGGATCTTCTGTTGGGAGTTTGGGTGTACTGAGTTTGCCTTAGGGTTTCGATGTTGGAGCTTCGAACCTCCCAGGAAACGGAAAGCTGCGATGCTTGCGGCTCGGGTGAGACGCCAAGCGCAAGCAGGATGGGCAAAATTCTGGGAACACCGCTGTGAGCTCGGCTCCTCTGCGCATCGGAGGAAGCCGCCCAGCCGCCTCTCGCGCTGAGTCCCGGTCCGAGGCGTCCCCCCGGAAGCCCCCGATCTTCGCCTATGCCCGGGAGTCCTCGGAAGCCGAGCCTTACAGAGGCCTTTGCTTCCGGTGCTCTCTACGCACGTGCGTGACGCCAGTTTCCTCGCAATCCACCGTGGAAAGGTGACCAGAACAGCTCGGGGGAGAGGACATGAGGGTGAGGAGTACTGAAGAGGCATCCCCTCGTTTTAGGCTCTTGGCTCCTGCCAAAAGCCAACGGAAGCCTCCTGCTCCTTCGACCCTGGCGGTCCTGAGGACGCCGGCCAGTGCTGCAGTCGACATCGGGTCACATGCCCTCTCGGCCTTTCCTCGTGCGCATAGCGTTGAGCCCCGCCGTTTTGCTTCTCGCAGGTTACTCTGTCCTTCAGTGCGGTGGCAACGTAGGCATCCAGCCCACCTTTACATGCAACATCGCAGCAAAAAATGCCCCAACTCGAGAGAGCACTCTCAAATGCGCACGCAAGGGTTGCATCTTAGAAACCACGAAGCCCCAGCGCACGACTTTCCTTGAGCCTTCTTGGAGCAACGGCTTAGGACGCTTTCCTCCGAGACCAGCTTTCAGGAGCGAACCGGTGTAGCATGAGGAATTTTAGGGTTCAGGCATGTTCACGCTTTAGAGTGTTGGGCTTGAGGGTTTTGTTTAAGGTGTTTAGGTTGCTTAGGGCCTTGGCGTTGCGCCGTATTGTCTAGCTCGGGGAGAAATAGGCAGAGGGTTTTCGCCTTTCCGCTGTTCTTGCGCAAGCATTACTTCGCCAGCGCCTGCATGTGCGACTTGCAGCACGGCTGTGTTGAAATGTCCGGCGTCAGAATATGTCAGAATGAGGTCTGCGGAAGCTATGTGTTTGGTCTTTGGGGGCCTGACAGCAGTAGCGGCCCAACCTGTCAGCCATGAACCCGCTTCCTGGGGCCACTTTCCTTCAAGAAAGGGCTTTGCGTTTGACGGCCCAACTCCAGACTACACCCAGGCCTTGTTAGCCTCACCCTGAAACGCAGCCTTGCGGCAATCCAGCTCCAACGGCAAAGCAGCTTTACTCCCAAACCTTTTCTACTGAGTAGCCCTAAATCACCTGCCTATGTCTTCTCTGAGGCCGAACCCTCCATCTTGAAAGCAGTTCCCTGCGAAGCCACAAGGTTTTTGTCGCTGTGTGGCTGGTTTAAGAGGGTCTTACTAAAGTGCCAGATGGCTTTAACGGCCAACCGAGAGTTTGAAACTTCGGGTTACTATAGAATTATATATTTGTTATAGTATTATAGTATTATGGTATTATAGTATTATACTATTATTATTAATATAGTATTAGAGTATTATAGTATTATAGTTAATAGTATTATGGCATCGAGATCTCTGTGTGGTTTCGACATGTTGCCATGTGCCTTTGTCCTCGGGGAGCGCCTGTTTTCGGCCAAGCCCCCCGACCCCTCTCATCAGGCTTTGGGCTTTAGGGTTTAGGTTTTGGGGTTTGGGGTTTAGGGTTTAGGGTTTAGGGTTTTAGGGTTTAGGGTTTAGGGTTCAGGCGTTGGAACTCCTTCGCCGTAAAGCCCAAAGCCACGGGTCCTAAATTCTTATGATTGCCTTGGCCGGGAGGATGCGCGTGGCAGCCGCTGCAGCGACGCAGGCGGACCGCGGTCTCCTTCTTCTACTTCTTCACTCAAGCGCTTACCTGTTACCTACTTACTTCCTTCGCGAGCTCTGAGATTCTGTATTAATAACTGCCCATGGCCTGTCACTGCCGCGATCGCGGCATCGCATGAGCTCAGAAAGCCCGAAGCCCGTGCCCAGATTCCAAGCTTTGGAACACCGGAGTTTCCAGCAGCATTCTAAACCCGAGCAGCCTCGACCCTGCGCCCCATTCGACCCCAAGCAAAGCTTAACCCTGGGTCCCCTGAAGAGTGCTGTGGCTGCCGCAGGAAGCCGGGAAGTCGAGAAAGCGGCTCGGTGATACAAGGATATGAAATGGGATTGTCATTATTTAACTTTATTTTACGTGTATATATGCTATGGTGGCAGCTTGATAGTTAGACTTGGGTTTACGGGGCAAGGGTTTGTAGCAGATTCCTCTCAGAGTTGTACCGGAATTAGAAGAGGGTCTTGGGGCATATCATAAAATGACATAGGGCTTTCTAGAGTTTCCTGCGGTTTACCAGGTTCGGAGCAGTAGGTATTCGGTTGCCAAGTTTCTCTGAGAGTTTTGGCCTTTCAGCGGCAACTGCACTTGCGACGGAAGACGCCTTGCAGGTGTGGTTTGGAGTTGTACGATGGGTTGTAGGTAAGTAAAGCTTAAGATGCCCGTTAAGCAGGAGTTCAGTAGCTTGACAGAGCTCTGCGGTAATTCAAGCTCCTGAGTCCTACGACCCAGGCAGTTCAAGGCTCATGAATTCGCGCAGGCATTTTCCGGCCAAAGTATATGCTGTACGACAAGGGCTCAAGCCTTGAAGTCCACAAAGTTTGAAGCCAGAAGCTGCCAGACACACGCACACACCCACGCACGCACAAAAGGCATGTGATGACCAGCTTGAGTCTCGTACCTCGTGAAGCAAGTGTCGGCTTTCTACCGGCGGAGACGGGGCGGTCGCAGCCTGCATCTTCACTGCGACTTCATCGTAGAAGCTCCCTGGTCGTGCCCAGGCCGCTTCGCAGACGATCCTACCAACGGAAGCAAGTGAGCCGCTGGGCAGTGCGATCGAGAGATCGGGGTCTAGAGTCTAGTGGTCGAAGGTCAGAGTTCAAGAAGCACATAAGGGCTCAGACATTACAAAGGAGGGTTGTTTGGGCTTCAACGGTCAGGATTCAGGCCGGAAAGTCATCAGGTTGCCTGCTCTCTGTGGTGTTTCGAGGCGTCGGCTTGGTTGTTTCATGCACATTTTTTGTTATGCATGATGCCATATTCGATCATGTTACAGTTCTATTAATATACTGAATGCTATGCTTGCTTTGAGTTTATGTTGTTTTGCATTGTGTGAACTTCTGGCCCTTCCCAGGCGCGGCGATGAGCTCCTCGCTGCCTGGGTGCCTTCGCAGTGGAAGACTGCCTTGGGACTGAGTGTCGCTTGGCAGCGGAGCTTCTGTCTGGTGCTTAGTAGGGAATGGGAGAATGGATCCCTACACTACTCCCTATATAGTCCCCAATAATAGTCCCCCAAATCCATTCCCCCAGTCCCTACTAAGAACCAGACAGCCTTCTGATGACGGTGATGTTGCCTAGAGGCTCCTACGGGGAGCGTGAGGGCAATGATATATATATATATATATATATATATTCTCATACTTATGTTTACATATATATATACACGTAACATATGTACATTCAGGTCTTCATCCTCATGCTCATCGGCCTCCCCTTCTGCCACGCCCCGGCGAGGCCGAAGGATTCAGTGCCCGAAATCGGCCTTAAACCCATAGGAGTTCACTGCGAGGGCACTGCTAAAGAGGATCATGGGACTTAGTGACTAGGGTTCCTTGAAGGGTTTCTTAAAAGGGATCTATAAGAGGGGTTTTAGGGTTGCTTAAAGGATCATGGGACTTATAGCAACTAGGGTTATATGTAGGGTAACTATCCTTATAACCCCAATTAGGGTACTTATAACCCTACTCACTAGGTCCCATGATCCTCCAAGCGCGCGGGTTAAGAGGACGATCACTTAGGGTTTCAGGGCTTCTTGCGGCTTCAAGCGGTCACAAGATTGTTGAAGGGGCTTACAGGGGTTCGGGCTTGAGAGCTCCAGGTCCAGACTTTGGCAGACGGAAATGTCCGATTTGGGCTCCTTGGAGTCGGAGAGCCTTGGGGTGAAACGGCAAGCCTTGGGGCCTTTGCAGCTTTGTCCCGCGGCTCCTGAGCCAAACCCGCCTCGCATACCCCGCACGCCCCGCAAGCCCTGCTTCCGGACTTTACGGACTTTAAGCGGCGTGTCTGGGCTACCGAGCCTCTGAGGGTCGGGCTGCAAGATTTTCGTGTCCTTGCCTCAGCTCGGCCCTAAACCATTATAGGCTCGAATTCTACCGTATGACACTAGACTAAACGAGACAACACTATACTATACTGTATACTCTACAAGATTCTCAGCTTCTTGCCAGGCTGTATCTCAGCATTGTCCGGCAGTCCCAGGCTCCGGAAGCGACTGGGTCCTGTGCTTTGCGGGCGGTTTACGCGGTTTGCAGGGTTTGGGTTTGAGGCTTGCGTGGTTGAGGCCGAAGGCTCGCATGTAAGATTCGCTTGGTGGTCTGAGTCCGTGGTGGTGTTGGGTTTTGGCCTTTGACTTCGGTGGTGGCGATGCTGCGATGCTACCTCGGTGCGTTTGGGTGTTTTGTTGACGTAGAGCTTCGCACATTTCTCTGTAGCATGTACCAAGAAGCTTTCATGCGGCGGGAGTGCACCACTCAGCTTCGCCCACAGAAGTACGCTTGCGAAAGCAGCATGCGGCTAAGAATAGGGCAGGATTGGGAGATCGGTTCCAATACTTGTCTGTTGAAAGCTTCGAGGGGGGTGTGCGGGATTTGGGTTGCCTGGGCACTCAGCGGCTCAAGCATGATCTTCGATGGTTGATGTTGTGTCCGACTGTGATTGCTTATCTGCCCTGTACATGCAGGCCACGCTGGAATCCCCTCGTCCACCCGTGGCTGACAAGGACGCCGGCGAACTGGGGTTTGGGACTTTGGAGGTCTAGGGTGTGGCGATATCCCTTGTTGGGGAACCTGTTGCACTTGATCTACAGTTCCCTCATCCACTCCGGCCTCCCTTGAAACCAATAGCTCCGAAAGGCAAGCCGAGTCCTAAGCCTGCAATAACACCACGGGGCCCAAGCTAAGGAGGCCAACGTTCTTTGAACGCTCCCGAAGAAGACTTCTGCTTGCATCGTCAAGTAGCTTCAACCAAGAACCGCCATCAATCGCAACACCTTCCATCGTGTCGTAGCGTCGCTGTGCAGTTCTCGTGATCATTGTAGTGGTTCTCGCCGGTTGTGGCGGCGGAGGTGACGCTGTCAACCTTAATTGAGGACTTAAGGCCCCGAATACCAAAACCTTGCAGCAGCCTACACCCCAAAGCCCCCCAAACTCCAGGGGGTTTTCGTCATCCTTAACCCTAAAACCCAAAACCCTAAACTGCAAAACCCTAAACCCTGAGAACCCTAAACTCCCAAACCTGAAGCCCTAAACCCCAAACAACCCAAAAAAGCCGGGAAACCCGAAAGCGAAGGCTACGGAGGGCTCCAAGCGCAGCAAGGCACGGCGCTGGTCTTTGACATACCGCGTAGAAGGAGTTTAGGGTTTAGGAGTTTAGGGTTCAGGGTTCTAGGGGTTTAGGGCTTTAGGCGTTTAGGGGTTTGGGGGTTTAGGGTGTGGGGTCTACGAAGGCGTATATACCCTCACCTCCCGTTTGTAGTCGAAGCAAAATTGTCTGGGACTTCTCGCTTTGGTGATTCTACGTTAGAGGTCCGCCATGGAAGCAGAGCGGTAGCACAGCAATATTTAAGCTAAGTTGGACACCTGAGGGTCCACGTCGGGTTGGCGCTATGGAGTTTAGGGTTTTACAGGGTGAGTTGTCAAGAGCCCTTCCTTCCAAAAAGAACTGCCCTACTCTGCAGCGCCACGTGGTCTTCGCCTCCCTGGAGCACAACGTTCCGGAGCTCAACATCCGAGGCTTCACAGGCGCTGCTTTCGTCGGTCACCGAGTTTGGCCTTTTTCGGGGTGACCGGCGTAAGGAGAGCAATGATGGCGATGGTGACTGTGCTCAGGGCTTGGTGTTAGGGAACGAGTTCCGCTTCAGGGGTGCCAGGTTGCGAGTCGGATGAAGATCGTAGACCCAGGGACTTGCAGCCTGATACATCCCGCAGGTGATGCTGGCATCTTCTTGGAGGATCTGGCGAAGGAGAAGTAGTTTACCTGAAGCCCTTAGTGCGATACGATCGAAGTCTGCATGATTCCCGATACGACAACTCATATCTAGTATTTGACAGACCCAAGCCCTATTCCCGTCATCGAGGCCCTCTAACCCCTTCCTGGCTGACTTTGCATATTTGCAGCATTCGGTCATACGCACAGGGTCAGTACACAAAGCAGTCGTTCAAGCTGCCGAGAGCACGCGTAGAAGCAACCTGAGCAGATGCTGTTGCTGGAAGCTGACCCTATAAGGAGCACACAAACACAAGGGCCTTGATTACAGAGTCTACATGTACCAATGCATAGCGAGCACCGCGCTTGCATTGCTTGCCCGACTTGGTCGTTCAATTTCGCCATACTTTCCGTTGGCACCAACAATTCACAAATTGGCAGCAAGGAGAACGTGGATGAGGGTTTATGTGGTCTAGGTTTTTAGGCCTGCAGGGGACGGCGCGTTTGTGACTCTTCATGCTTCTGGTGCTGCGAAGGATTTCCAAACTGCGATCATTTGATTTGACTCGATGTCGTTCCCAGACACGTGGTGCTTCTATGTCCGGAAACGTCAACCTGAGGCCCTTAGCGCGATACGAGCGGCTCCCGGTACGTACGACGAATTACATCTATAATACAATGGACCCAGGCCCTTTTCCGTTCCTGCGACTCCCAGGATTTCTGGATTGAAAGCGAGAGAGAGAGAGAGAGAGACAGAGAGAGGGAGGGAGGGGACGACAATACCTATGGCTGGACCCGTTTCACAGTTGGCCTTCTCCCAGGAACCCCGCAGGCCAGAAATCCAGGCTTTAAGCTGCAAGTCTGGGAAGGAGCATCCTCGTGGTACCATTAGTTTCATCCATCCAATGCTCGGTGGCTGCGACTACGGCGAGCTGGCCGCTGGAACTTAAGTTGTGTTTTGGAAGCTTTGGCAACGGCCTATGGTTGCTCTTATGCGGAGTCTCGAGGCACAGTAGAATCCTCACTTGTTTGATTACGTGCTCTTGGGTTTTTTGACACTGGGCTCAGCGAGAGCACCTCTGCAACACGGGTACAGGCTCTCGCGTTGACTCATAGCTTCGGACTTGCATCCGAAGCGGGTCTCTGAATGGAAGAAGCTAGAGAGGACGATACCGGTACCCGGTACGCCAAACCGAAAGCTGCACCTCAAGCCGCCAAGAAACGTCGGACGCAGAAGTCAACCAGCTAAGGAGTGGTTTACGGACTTGTCGATGCTCGTCGATGGGCCTCTCAGCGAAGAATTGTGGACTTGGCCATTGATGTTCATGTTATTTTGCAGTTCGGGGGTTGGGAGCGCATAGTTCCATGGCCTGAACAAGGTCCTAAAGTCAAAAATTGAAATTTCCAAGCTCTGCGTTCAACGTGCAATCCCGGCTCAGCTTCAAAACTTCAGTGTAAGTCTGATCCGGAATAAGGACTCTGAGTTGCGGACGGGTTTATTGCTATGAAAGCACGAGCTACGGTGCCAGGAAGAGCTATGTCGCCAAAGTGCTTCGCTGGGAGTCCCCCAAGCAACCGGGACTGCAGACAGAGGGTTTGTCTGGTTTTTCTTAGGGGTTCAGGGCGGGGGGAGACGGAATCCGGGTCCGGAAGCTCAAAGTATCTACGTTGTTGCTGCTCGGGCTTCCGGGTAGTAGTGGAGTCGTAGGATAGTAGGTGATAAGCTTGAGTCTGCGTGATGTCGCTTCTCATTCGCGCTTGGATGGTGCTGACTGTGATTGGTTGTGTGTTTCATTGTGAATGCTTTCTGGGTAAAGCACCCCCTTCGCAGCCGGAGCAGATACCAGAGAGATGTTTACCGGAAAGTTAGGTAACCAAGGCTGTAGCGTTTAGGATCCGTCGAAGCTGGGAACTTCAAACAGATTCCCACACTGCGTACTAGCTATGACTGGAGAGGGCCTCATGCCATTTATTTTTGATTTTCCAGCAGATACTGCTGGATGTCCACCTGACCCACAACAGTCTAACCCCAGCTTCATGTAGCCTTTGTGCAACATTCGGACCCCAGGTAAGGTTGCTCCGACATACAGCACGCAAACTGAGAGCGGCCCCAGCAGAATCAAACCGCTGCTACACCCCGACCGAGGAAGGAGAAAGGCGTCAAGAAGGCTGCCCCGCATTGGGTAGGAGATAGGGTGTAGGGAGTGGGATTCAAGCTTCGGTTCAGGATTTTTGGGGTTTAGGATTGCAGGATTCACCGTTCTTTGGGCTTGGGATTCTGGGCTTTGGGTGTATGACCTGGGGTCCTGGGTTTGTGATATTTAGGATTCTGGACACAGGCTTCAGGCTTCAGGCTTCAATGCAAGGCTTCGGGGCAGCGAATGATCGAACCCCTTAACCAGATGTCTGCTCTGGGTCACCGAGCTATGAGAAGTGCTGCGACCTCCAATCCGTCTTGATCACTCTCAGGAGTCAGGCCTAGGATCTGTTGAGGGTTCCGCGCTTGGCGAGTTCAGGGACTCAGGGCTTGGATGTTGGGCATAAAGAAAAGAAAGCCCCCTGTTGGCTTCGTGCCAATGTCGTCGAAGACTGTAAACCTTAACTCCAAACACGTGCTTGAAGCGCTGCAGAGTGTTTGTGTTGGCATCTGGAAACTCCATGTCTCCGTGGAGCCTCTGAAGCTTATGCTGTGGGTCTGTAGGTGGTTGTTATGCAGCAAGCTGTAGAGAGTCTGTGACTCCTGCAGGTCTGGTATTTCGTCCAGCACGAGCTCTTCTTGGAGAGAATGCAGGACTTCGTTTGATCTTTGGGTGGTCCAACGCTTCGTTGTTCTGTTTGTGACTTTCAGGCATCTCCCAAACCCAAACCCCCAAGCCCCCCCAGAAAAGGTCTCTTCAAGAGCCCAACATAAGCCTCCCGTCGCAAGCTTGGGCAAAGAGCTCCTCCATCCTCTTGACAGAGTTGGATGGTGAACAGAGCAACATAAGTCTGGGACAGGTCCCAATAGTATTCCTTAGGGTTTATACTACGAGACACCCCCAAAAACCCTATTCTGTTCATGAGCAGAGTCGCATTATAGATTCCTTATCGTCCCCTTAATGATTCTAGATCCATTATAGTAGCCTTATTATATATAGCTCCCTTCTAGTACCCGTTGTAATCGATCCCTTCTAGTACCCTTAGTGATTCTAGATCCCGTATAGTAGCCTTGTTCTATAGCTCCCTAATAGTAGCCCTCGCAGGAGAGCATTTATCCCGGCCCCATGTCTAAGCTCCGAGTGCTGCGATTCTTCTCGCCAGGGGCTCAGGGGACTACTTGAAGGATCATGGGACTTAGTCACTAAGGTTATAATCAAGGGAGCTGGGCTACTGTAGGGGTTACTATAAGGGTTGGCCAAGGGTTGCTATAAGGGTTCTAAAAAGGGGTTGGAGGAGGTTGGGAGCCTTGCGACAAAAGGATCATGGGACTTAGTCACTACGGTTCCAAAGGGATCTACAAGCGTTCTATAAGAGAGGTGTCTAGGGTTACTTGAAGAATCATGGGACTTAGTAACTAAGGTTTTAAGTAAGGCAACTATCCTTATAACTACTTATAACTCCAAAAAAGGTACTTATAACCTTACTTATTAAATATTAAGTTCCATGATCCTCTAAGTACCCTCGTCATGGCTCGGTCTCTGCGTTCCAAGCACGCTAAACCCTAAACCCTCAGAGCCAACCCAGGCGGATGGAAAAGAAGCCTTAAGCAAAAAGTTGATGGGGCTTCGGTCTTGTCAACCGAGACATGTACCTGTCAGAGAAGCCTTGAAGAAGCCCAAATGCCATAAACCCTGACACCCTAAGCCCTAAAGGCCCTATACCCCCAGACCCCCCTAAACCCTGAAGCCTGAAACTCCAAAACGATGCAAGTCATGGCCCAACGAACGGGGACCGAGGCTTTGGAACCAGGCAGTGGCTCTACTCTTGGATGCGCTGTGCCTTGTCGTCACTCTGATGTTTAGTAGGATTCGCTGTAGGCTGGACTTTCGTAGGCATTCAATCATTCTTTACTACAGACATTCGTTATTGTGGTGATCTTGTTCGAGTGTTGGAAGAGCTTCGGGATTTGCGGGGAGAGCCTGTAGTGGTCGTTCTGCGAATGTCTCTACCAGGCGGTTTACGGACTGTAGCGTGCCTACCCGGGATCTCACGCCGATGCCGGGGTCGATCCAAGCATATTTTTGGCCTAGTAGTTGGATCTTAGTGTGATTGGCCATAGTCGGTATGTTCATCCTGAAGCCTTCCGCAGGAGGCCTGACGTGTTCCACTGCCTCGACTGCCACCAGGTATCGAGATCTTTGTGAGGGATTCTTGCTCAAAGGTTCCAGTTGCAGATCTCGGGTGTCTCTGAATCGCATTCAAAGCAGGGGTTGAAGCTGGATTTTGCAGAGCAGCTCTGAGCTGGGAGTTTGAGGCTCGTGTGCACGACAAGTGGATGCTAGGTTGGTTCTTCAAACTCAACTGTGAAGCTGCAGGTCCGATTTTCAGGACGACGACGACGACTACTGCTACTGATGCTGCCACTCCTGCTGCTGCTGCTGCTCCTACTGCTGCAGCTGCTACTACTGCTGCTCCTGCTACTCCCACTCCTACTCCTGCCACTGCTCCTACTACTACTATTACTATTACTTCTACCTCGACTACTACTACTACTACTAGTACTACTACTACTACTACTACTACTACTACTACTACTACTACTACTACTACTACGACAACAACAACAACTACTACTACTACTACTACCACTACTACTACTACGACAACAACAACTACTCCCACTACTACTACTACTACTACTACTACTACTACTACTACTACTACTACTACTACTACTACTACTACTACTACTACTACTACTACTACTACTACTACTACTACTACTACTACTACTACTACTACTACTACTACTACTACTACTACTACTACTACTACTACTACTACTACTACTACTACTACTACTACTACTAGTACTAGTACTAGTACTAGTACTAGTACTAGTACTAGTACTAGTACTACTACTACTACTACGACGACGACGACGACAACAACAACAACTACTACTACTGCTGCTACTACTACTACTACGACAACAACAACTACTCCTACTCCTACTCCTACTACTACTACTACTACTACTGCTACTACTACTACTACTACTACGACGACGACCACTGCGCTGTCCTCAAGTGAGTGCGCACTTCTTCTGAATCCAAGATTCCTAGCTGCCCTCCGTCCGTCCACTATCTGCTGTGATCTGCTTTCGAAACCTGGCCCCAGAACTCCGGCTGGGCAAATCACTACCTTTCATATCAGTCCGATGAAGGCCATGGCTCCACTCTACCTCAGCGAGCTGAATATCCCTATGGTGCCGCAGCAGAAGACAGATGTTTTTGTTGGTTTGCGTTTTGAACCATCAGACGGCTAGTGCTGTCGTGACCTCAGACCCAGCTGCGACGACCGTCCCTAAACCCTACACCATCAACCCCCATGATACCAAGCCCCCAGAACCCTAAACCCTGCACTTACCTATAGAGGCAATATTATTCGTCAGGCTTCCTCATAACAGTTATACTATAAAGGGGCTCGAAACCCTATTCTACTCATTAAGGCCCCTACATTACGGCCCCTAGGTTCTGATGCTCCGGAAGCCTTTGGAGATGGGCTCCGTGGACTCCGAACTCATTTGCGACCGCTGCTGGCCAGCCTGCCGGGTTGTAAATGCCGGATTTCAGGTGGGTGGTTGTCAAAATTATGGTCCCTTTTTGGGTACCCTAAATATTAGGTGACATATTATAATAGGGACCCCAAAACGGGTCTTCATTTTGACAACCACCCAGGTGTAGTCTCTTCTTCCAGGTTTTGTGGGTGGAGCTTTCAGGGCTTAGGGATGTTTTTTGAGGCTTTTCCTTTGGGGGTACCCGTGGATTCGGACGGATGGCTTCACATGCGAACGTGCATGCCAGGAAGACCACCATTGCGCTTCGCCGCCTCTCTGTCGTAGCTGGGACTTTACTTGAGCCTTGGTTTCTTTTCGGTTCGAGGTTGCGGGTTTGGACTTTAAGCGTTGGTCTTCTTGCAGCAATGCCGAAACGGCCGGGAGAGGGTCGGCGTTACAGGGCCTGCCCCAGGTGTCAGCATTTGCTACAGTTGGTTGTCTTCGGGTTTTATGTTTCAGGTGTCAGGCTTGGCGGCTCACAATCCTCGTTCTCAGTATTCCGCAGCACCTTGAGGAGCCCAGCTTCTCACGAATCACGAGCTTCGTTAGCAGCAAGGGCTTGGAACAGATCCGACGTACTCTGCATGTGAAAATCGACACCGGAGCGGTCAAAGCCGACGCGTGCCCGAACTCCAACCCGGCCGGCCCGCCCAGGTTTTCAATCTCAAGCTGCCCACTCTCCGGAATTTCTGCACCTTTGAAGGCTCCGACTCTTTTAAAGCAACTGATTCAGGGCACGTGCGCTTGAAGGGCATTCCTGGCCGGATCGCATGATGCTGCAGTGGCTCATGGCTCTTGCGGCTCCTGGGGCTTGGGGCTCCGTGGCTCAGCGCTGTGTCGCAAGGCTTCAAGGCTGCACCCTGTAGTCTGGGCACTTCCCACTTGAAAGCACCACATTCGCAAGACTCAAGACTCCAGACTAATCGGAAGCCTTACACCTTGGGGGCCTAGTCATTTCAAGTGATGTCAAGAACTCCATCAACTCCATCACGCAAAGTAACTGCAGCAAGCCCACAGCAGCCACTGAGCACTCATCGGCTGCCCGGGTTCCATCAAGTTCAGCACTGGAGCTTGAAGTTTGGGGTAAGTCACCACGTTGACTGGTTTCTCTTGTTTTCGCAGCCTCATGCCGAGATCCTTGACAGAAGCTCCATTTGTGAAAGCCTGTTTTCTTGTCCGATGGGAGTCTGGCATGCTCAGGCTGGATGTTTGTACGTTTGAAGAATTGGGATCCGTAGAAGTTCAGGTGCCACCCGGAAGCCATAGCTTGAATTGAATGCAGATCCTGTCCAGGGCGCTTCAACATGATGTGGGCGGCCGTACAACGAATCAAGGACCTCGCGAATGCGTAGCATTACACTTTCCGCCCAAAGCCCGTTCAGGGCCGTGAGTGCTTACGGCGGCTAGCGTGATTTGGGTGTGGGCGCTTTTACGGGAAGCCCTGCCTATCAAAACCTTGACTCTAGACGGAGCACCTTGAGCAAGTCGTGTGAGAGCCTTGTTGGGTTTACAAAAGCCCTGAGCCCCTAAACCCTTATAGCTTAAAACTCTAAGCCCTTGAACCCTGAGGCCTTCGTCACTTCACCTTCGAACACTTCACCCAGCACACACCCCAAAATCAAATATGCCGCATATGTATAGTTTCGATATTATATGTATAGTATTCAGCATAACATAAAGCAGTATATAACATATAGTCTATTGTCAAAGAACTTCAGGACTGCCAGTCCGGACGTGGCCTTTGCGTGCTCTCGGCCGCCACAGCGGCATCGCTGCGACGGGAGCACAGCCTCTTCCAGGCGGTTTGTAGGAGTTTCACAGAGATTTGCAGTTTATGATGGTACATAATGGTGTGTATATATATATATATATATATACATATATGTATATATATATATATATCATTATACTGTACATACTGGCTAGTTTAGCATGTTCATGTCGTACACTAATGTTGGATGTGCGCAGATTGCGAGACTCGCAAAGCTCATGTAGAGTCGTCTTGATCGTGCAAACTTAAACGGAAGATGAATCATCCTATGTAGGGTTCTTCATAGGCGGTTGGTATACCAGGACCGGGCTCACCCACTCTAATGCTTCATTTCGGGTGCTGATTCCGCTGTGCATCTCAGGCGGCCTCCTGTGGTTGTGACGAGTCTTCCATGTGTTGTGCTGAAGTCAGGTACTCAAAGAGGGAACACCACCTTGGCCGTCTTGCACCTTTGTGTTCAGTGCAGTCGAATGTCACCCCTCTTTAAGTTGCATCCGAAGGGTTGTCCCGAACATGATGGTCTCACCCCTAAACCCTAGTATAACTACAACAAAAAGAAACCCTAAACCCTTTATAGTCCCCAGTCTAACTATTCCCTTACTTGGAGGATCGTCGGACTTCGTAAGTAAGGTTATAAGTACCTTAACTGGGGTTATAAGCAGTCATAAGTATAGTTGCCCTAATTATAATCCCAGTTACTAAGTCCCATGATCTTTCAAGAAACCCTAAAACCCCCTCTTATAGAGCCCTTATAGATCCCTTCTTAGGAACCCTTTAAGGAACCCTAGGGTTCCTAAGTCTTACTAAGTACGCTCCTGCTTGAGATGTACTCGGCGTCCGAAGGCCCTCCAGCGCAAGCCGAGAGCCTTGGGCCATCCTTCGCGACTGGCACCTGGGCCAAAGGTTCAGATCATGAAAGCCGGGCTTGTTTTGGGATGTTTGGGAGGTTTTGCAAAGGTTTTGAAGGGCCTTAATACTATGTATTATACGGCGGAGGCCTAAGCCATTCAAAGTTTGCGGAGTTTGCAGCTTTTGGCATTTTGAGGTTCAGAGTCTCATGGGAGCAAAGCGTGAGAGAGTCAGTAAGTCAGAGAGTGAGGGTGACAGCGAGAGTGAGAGTGTGTATGTGTGTGTGCTGAGGGTTTGGCAATATGCACTTCCGGTGTTGAGAGCGGGCGGTTTGGAACTTGGAGGAGTTCGAAATTGAGAGTGATGTAAGATGTTGCTGTTTGACAAAGGCTTTCAGCTACTGAACATGGGGGTTTACTTTCCAGCTTTGGGCACCCTTACACAATTGTTCGAAGTGCTCAAGCTATGGGCCTGAGTGGGGCGTAGCAACAACTTTAACCCATCGGTCAATCTGGTCGTGTTTGTGTTTGCTCTATAACGAATCATCTTCGGAAGCACCCGCATGGAAAAGGAACTGCGCAAGAAGATTAGGAGTACCTGCTCAGGTAAGCCTCGATGTCGACAGCAGCGTGGAGGATCTCAAGAAACAGAGGGTCCGCACCCTACCCTCAGCAAGCTTTCTGCTGAGCTTAGCAAGGCGCAAGGCTTGAAGCCGACCTTCGCATAAAGTCGGATCGGTCTGCCTCCACATTCATTAAAGATTGGGCTAGACGGCTGCCCCTTCGTGAGGTCGTTATCCATGGAAGCTGAAGGGCGTATTGGTTCGGGTAGGAAAACCGACTTGCAAGCAAGCAATCACGTAAAGTGCTTTGATGCCTGGAATCCTTACACAATGTAGAGGTCCACCAGCTTCGGGCAATGAGTGTGGAAGCACCTGAATAGCTGGCTTCTTTGTGGTGAAAGAGTGGGCAAAGCTTTTTTTGGGGTGGATGCACTTCCTTTTCCGGCCTTCCTTCTGGAAAGGGTGGGTGCGGTAAGACTTTTTGGAACAGAAGACCTTAGTCCAGACTCTGCCGAACCTGCCCATGTTGCTGGAGGATGACGGGGTAGTCAATTATCCTTCTGCCTACAACCCCAGCCACTTGTAGGCCGTTGGTTCTGGTACCCTCGTAGAGCCCGGATACATCAACCCAGAAAGTGAAGCACAGCTTGCATCCGCAAGCATTCAGCCTCGTCTATTCTCAGCCCCGACCCTAAACCCTCTGAACCGCTTAACGCCTAAGCCTCCGAACCCTGAGAGCACCCTAACCCTAAAACTCTTCATAGCCTGAAAAAGAACCCCCAAGCACCCGAAGAACCCAAGCCCGATGACAAGCAGAGAAAAGCCCAAGACGGCTTTAACAATTCCCTGCAAAGCTTTGAGAAAGCCCCAGTAAACCTCAGTACACCCTAAACCCCTAACCCCTCAAACCCTGAACCCGAAAACCCTAAGGCCCTAAACTCCCTGAACTCGCTAAAGTCCCCAAACCCCTAAATCCTAAACCCTAAACTCCCTGAGCTCCCTAAAGTCCCCAAATCCCTAAAATCCTAAACCCTCAGCCTTAAAGCGAAGAGAAGCCTCCAGAGCTCCAGGCCGCTGCGAAAGCGGCGCTGCAGCGCTGCGCCCACCTCAAGGAGGACCCAAAGGCGAGGAAAAAGAGCCCAAAAAAAGGACCTCAACCTTTTCAATTTTAGCCAAAAGGTTACAGATTACACCGAAACCCTTATTAAAGTACCCTTACTATATGTAGGGTGTGGCCCCAAAAAAGGTCAACCTTTTCAAATATAGTAGTTATAGTAGGATTAGATAAGCCCCAGAAGGTTACAGATTACACCGAAACCCTGAAAGTACCCTTACTATAGGTGTGGTTGGGAGTTTAGGGTTTAGGGCTCAGAGGGTTTATAGGGCTTTTCGGGTTTAAGGCTCACGGGTTTTGGGTTTTGGGGTGACTTCTAGGGTTCATTATAGGGCTTAGGGCTACTTCCTCGGAGTTTATGTAGGGTTAAGTTTGTGGCATAGGGCTTAAGGGTGTAATTATGCGATTTAGGGTCGGGGTTCCACAAGGATTGTTACAAGCGATACGATAGGGTTTAGGGCTGCTTCTGGGGTTAGCTATTGAGGGCCGGTTGGGGTTAATATTTCCTGGGGGCCGTAATAGTCAGAACAGGGCTTTGCTGGATATTGTAGTATTGCCGCGGCAAAGAACCTAGCTTGTAAGGTTTTATGAAACTTATTCAAAAAGTGCGGGGTTTAGGGTTCATGGAAGATTGGGTTTAGGGCTCCTTCTGGGGTTACTTTTTCGGACTGTAACGCGGGGTTAAGTAAAGCGGCGTCGGGTTGCTTGAAGGGTTTAGGGTTGAGGGTTAATATGCTAGTTCTCAGGATTGCGGGAGCTGGAGGAATCAGGGCCCCAAAGCCACTCCCCTTCTTTCCCCAACACGTTCATGCCGTCAACCCTAAACCCCCCAAGTAGAGAAGCCCTGTGCTCGGAACGCGGAGCCGGGCGAAGCACAAAAGACGAGAATTAAATTTCTGATGATGAGTACTACCGTGGTTCTTGCTTCTGTTACTGTTAGCAAGTTGCTACTGTGGTTATTACTACACACTTTCCATTGTTGCTATTGATTCACAGTAAATTTACCATTATCTTTTTGCTATGGCGTAGTCAGAGTATTCCGCAGATTTCGAGGCCACGATCCTCCTGTTTGCTGGGCCGTGGGCACAGCACACAGGCCGGCGCTGTCAAGTTTCTTGCGGATGTAGGTTCCATGTCAATGTGGGCTTCGGGTAAGCTACGTGGCTTGAAATGAAGGATAGTCTAGAAGTTTGAGATCAGGGTTTCAACTGGGAGTTGAAGATTTCGCCAAGAAAACTAGTTTACTATTGTGATTTTTCTTATAGGCTTCTTGAGTCTGTCGGCTCTGGACCTTGTCTTCGGGTCTGCCTATTGTTGACTGCTCGGATGTGTTCGTGCCGAGGCAAACAGGTCTCCTTGCATCGAAGCCCGATCTTAGGGGTACTTGGAAATAAATTTCAATTTTTTGTTATTATAACCCCTAAGAAACAGCTAAAATTTTGATTGTTGCTAGGGTTCTAAGTTCACTATAGGAAATTCTGAGAGGAAAACTGCAGATCCTTGACAGATTCAAGCCCCCTCTCCGCAGAATGACTATGAAAAGGATCTTGCTCTCATGGCCCCTGCAGAATGGTGTTTTTGAATCAGGGATCCTCATGAAGCCCTTAGAATATAGAACCCAAAGATTCGTTAGTCAAAAGCGAGACCGAGCGAGGTCCAAACAGTTCGTCAAGGAACCCCCTTATGGTCCCTAGAATTCGCCGTGTTCTTCAGTATATTACATACGACCAACATATACTATAACCTTCTCAAGCCCCAACTATTCTTCTATAAACCTCCATAGTCTCTGGTCAACTTCAAGCTTCGAACCATGAGAGTACTTGCACACCATCCAGCACCAGGTGCTGCGCAGGTCGCCGAGGTGTTGCCACTGATCCTCGTGCGCCACAGCTCAGTGCAGGCTGGAGTTCTCGGGTTTTTATCGCAGGATTTCGGATTTGTAACGGGGGTTTCGGGTTTGGGGTTTAGGGTTTGGGGTCTCGGGTTCAGGGTTTGGGGCTTCGGGTTTAGGGTTTAGGTTTTAGGGTTTCGGGTTTAATACCCGAGGGGTTTCGGGACTAGGGTGGGGTTTCACATTCCGCGACGACAGCAGAGGCAACGACGGCGACGACTGCTATTGCTCCTGTTCCTACCACTGCTGCCACTGCGACACCGAGCACGACTGCCACCATGCACTACCAGCCACTGCCACTAACCACCATCACGAGTGCCGCCCACCAGCCAACTCTATCACTAGGTGGCCACTTCCTGCAGTAGCCTGTGATTGAGCGAGACTGTGAATCTTAAACGCCGGTTGTCCACCACTAACTCACAGAATTCGGGGCACCGGTTGTGGAGTCCCTGAACTTCTGGACTTTATGTACATGCCTGACACAGCATGGTCTCAAGGTCTACGTGGAGGATCATGGGACTTAGTAAGTACGGTTGTAAGTACCCTAATTGGGGTTATAAGTATAGTTACCTTAATTATAACCGTAGTTACTAAGTCCGATGACCCTTTAAGTAGAAGAGCATCCTGCGCGAAGGTTGCCCTCTTCGGTACCTGCAGCGATTTGTCCTTCGCCCGGAAGGGTCGGCTGTTTCTGGATTCGGTGCAAGGCACTTTTCAACCCTAAATAGGGGCCTTAAACACTAGAATAGGGTTTTGGTGTATATTATACTATAATTGTAAGAAAGAGCCCCCGAAACCCTCTTCTAATTATAAGGCGTCTATATTTAGTCCACATGGCGAGACTTTCTTCTGCGTGCGCTCTTGCACCAAGTCGAACATCCTGGCTTCATCCCTTAACCGCTAAACGAACCGAAACCCTGGACCAGCCCTCACAAACCAAGGCATGGCGTGCTTGCGCAGGATGGGTTGGCACAGGCCGGGATCTTGGGATTGCTGATGCTAGGTTGTGGCTTAGTAAAGTCATCTTGCTTTGTTTTTGTTGGGGTTCTTGCTGTAGCTTGCGGCGTCCATTGTCGTACCGCCCTCCCCCCCTCGCCGGCCTGAGATGGAAAAAAAAACACCGAAAGCTTTCCAGCTTCGAGGTGGTCAGCTCTTTTCCTGGCCGTGTGGCCGTGCTCGACCGCCTGGACTTTCGAAGAGGCGCCTGGGGTCCATTCCCTTAAGGGTACCTAGCGTATTTAGGGTATAGGGATCAGGGTTTAGGGTTTACGGGTTAGGGATTTCGGGCTTATGATGGTCTAGGGCTCATTCCTTCAAGGGTACTGAGGGGGGGGGGGTAAACCATAAACCATCATTAAATCCTTAACCCATAAACCCTAATGAGGGTCCCTTTCTGGGTACCCTAAATAGTAGGTGCCGTAATATAATAAGGAACCCATAAAGGGACCCTAATTTTGACCACCACCCATGTTGGTGCTTGAAGAGTCGAGATGTTCCTCCCTCGAACTCTTCCTGGAGCCGTGAAACCCGTAACGCTTACCTTTGGTTAGTAGGGAATGGAAGAATGGTAGTATTAGTAGATAGATGGAATACTACACTAGCACCCCCTTTCTCCATTCCCTACTAACAAAACGTAGGAAGGGTAAGAAGACGATCCACTCTGACAGTGGTGCGACGCCGCCAGTCGAGAACATGCCTGCAGATGCAGAAACATGACGGGTGTGCTTGGAGGGGCAGGGGACTTAGTAAGTAGGTTTTAAGTAGAGTTATAATTGGGGTAACTCCATTTAGGGTGCTTATAACTCTACTTATAACCTACTTACTAAGTCCCCTGCCCCTCCAAGTAGGATGCGGGGTTTTGGGCCTTCGATGTTGCAAAGCTCCGGCTTGGTTTTCTACGGCACCTCTTGGAGAGACCTTCTAATCTACGCCTACGCACTTTTGTTCCAAGGCTTAGTGGTTGGAGGCATGAAAGCTTTAAAGCCTCGAGGTCCGTGATGCTGCATGTCGGTTCAAAGCATATAAGATGAGGGGAAGGAGAGATGACTCATTTTTCACAAGGCTTCATCGTTTCTGAAGATCCCAAACACGCAAAACCCCTAAACTTTAAGCCAGGCGTCTATTTCCTCACAGGTAGCCTGGGTCTCCTAAAGTGGGGCGGCCTGAAGACTCGGAGGAGGGTTTTTTGAGAGGGTAGAGTATGCTATCGTTGTAACGTGGCCTGAATCTTTGAGCAGGGTTTGGGGGCGGGTGTGTTAGACTTATATAGTGACTTCTGTAGTGTTCTGCGGACCCGTTTTAGGTTCAAAGGGCTCTTGTTCGTAATTCTTCAGATCCCTGCGTTCCGTCCCGCAGGCGTGGACTTTCTCCTGGCGCCCTTCAATGCAGAGCCCGTGGGGCAGCAGGTCGGCTCAGGGAACCCGCCTGTTGCTTCTAATTTGGGCTCTTAGTGACAAGTAGCAGTGACAAAAAAAGAAGAACAAAAACGTATATAGACAGATAAACATATCACAATGTTTTAGCATTGGTAGTATGCATCCTAACAACAGTAATAGTCATCATCGTGACAGTAATGATACAGACCCTTGGGGAACTGTGGGTCTCTCAGTCATGTCCTACTTTACAGAGCTCTTTGTTTAGCTCTAATTCGGTTTGTAGCCGCAAAGAGGAAGAGCCGGGGCTTTGGGATGAGAGTCGCGAGGGAATCTTTGGAGGACTGCGCCCTGTGGCTCGTGGTCCGTCGAGGAGTTCGCTGTTTGGGAAATCTGTTGCAAGGTTGCTGGTGGTTTGTGTGGCCAAAAGCGCATCCCCTGCGGCAATCCACACATGGTCCTTCCGTCGTTTTTGTGGTGATGCTGTCACCTATAGCTCTCGCATAACTAAAGCTCTGTGTTCGTAGATGATTCTGTTGTTGACTAAGGGCCGGTTTGTCACCAAGAGCGCAGCAGGTTTTCGGCTTACGGAAACGCGAAGCCCCCCTAAGCCTTGAACCCTAAACCCATCCGCGTGCAAAAGCGAGGCGATGCAGCAAAGCCCTAAATGCCTTCTGAAACCTTAAAAAGTCCCTAAACCCAAAGCTCCCGGAAGCCAAGAGCCCACAAGCCTAAACCCTAAAACCATACCTAACCCAAAACTCCTCAAGTCCGAAAGCCTAAACCCTACCTAAGCCTAAAGACCCAAAAACTCCTCAGGTCCTAAAGCCTAAAACCCTACAAGGGACTTCATCATTAGAATAGGGTTTTGGGGCCCATTATACTATGAATATGAATATAACAAGGACCCCAAGGGCCCCAAAAAGGACCCCAAGGGCCCCACCCAAGCCAGGATATGGAGCTCGGGCTGGTCGGAGTCCGGACCTCAGCCCCTTTTGGGGCTTAAACAATCTGGTAGTTACTTTACTGCTCTGAGGAATTATTGGCGTATTTTTATTTTAATGTAACTTTTGGGGATGAACAAGAATATAGGTTTTGTTCTGGTTCTGAGGGCGGCTTGGGTTAAGTTTCTATAGGCTTGCTTCATGATGACTACTATCACTTTACACATCGCTATTTGTTACTATGGCTACTGTCATGATTACTACTCTGCCTTTCTTCCGCGTAGCACAGTTTTCGTTGCCAAGGAGTACGTCAAGTTCCGGAGGTTGGAGTGTACGGACACGACAACTATGCAGATGGATGTATTTCGGAGACTTGAAGTTGATGGGCTTGCACCATGAGAGGAGAGGCAACTCATTGTTCGCACTACTCATCCTGTTGCTAAAATACTGGTAGCAAGACGGCGATAGCTACGTTGATCAAGACGAGTGATACAACCAAGGCAATTAATTACTAGTACTGCTAGTGAGCATTGCCTTTGCTATCTCCCCTACTTTCAACATTCGCTTTATGATTATCGGATTTATGGCCCCAGGACAAGGCCCAAGTTGTCCGGACATCTTCAGCGAATCTACGGTAGACTGATTCTGCAAGGGTTGCAAGGTTTAGGGCCTAGGGCTTTTGTTTTGGTTTAGGGTTTTAGTGCTGTCATGCCGGCTGGGTCTGGCCGTCAAGCTGTCCACACAACACATTGTGCTGCTTGAGCACCTGACTGTCAAATTAAAGTGGCCCGATCTCTTTCAAAACCAGACCGAGCACGGCAGTGAAGTGCCGAAGTGTCTGTATCAAGTACTCCAACCGCGCACAACCAATACGAGCGGTGATGGGAGTCCATTTGTGATTTTGAGCTTCCAAGTTCATGGGCGAGGTGATTGCGGCCCCAACTCCGAACACGCGAAATCCGATATCTTCCACAGCGTCCACAGTGCTGCCCAAATTGTAAAAGCGAATACCGTTCGACTCCCAGACTCTCACATCCTCAAGCCCCAAACCCCAGGCTCTAACTCCAAAGCGCATGGATCCTCCGAAGTGCAGAGGTGCCGACGTGCGGCTGCGCAGTTGGTGCTCTGGGCCACGGACTTGGGCCATACGGAACCAAGATCAATACAGATTTAGGGTTGGGTTTAACGGTCCAGGGCGGTTTAGGGATTTACCTTCCGCAAGCATAGTCCTACTTAGGACCAGTCGAGCAGAAGTGATTTATTTGTTGATGATGATGATTTCAACTGGACCTCTAAACGGGCTAGTAGGCGCAGGCGCAGCAGACAGGGCCGTTTCCTTCGGGGTTCGGCTTCGCCTCCAGGTTGAGCCCTAGATAGTGCTTATATTATAAGAGCCAACTCTCTAAGCACTAAAAACTTGGCCTCATAACGCCGCGGGTGGAGGCTTGAGGATATCCGAAGAAGCATCACCCTTATCGTCCCCTGCATGACTACGCTACAATACCCTACCTCAAGCCCTGTCTTAAATATCGTGGCCCTTGAGTGAGTAGGGGCGTAGGCAACCTTTAACCTTCTTGATTTGATTGAACCGTCATATAATTCCAATGGCTAGCTTTTAGTTCCCCTAAGGAAACCATCCGATCTCAGCCACAAGCGCCAAGAAACAGCAACATTAGGTCGAGTCCCGGGCGTCTACTTCCGGCCGCAAGGGCCCCAGAAACTGAGTTAGGGTTGAGAAAAGTAGGGTTTAGGGTTTTGGGTTTAGGGGTTTGGGGTTTAGGATTCTGGCTTCCGTTTCCGGTGCCGGGATTTCGGAGTGGATTGTTGCTGGTCGCAGGTCGGACTCTGGTGTCAGAGACTTTGGAATGGGTGGTGTATATAGTGCAATCGGAGCATACTTGGAGGATCATGGGACTTAGTAAGTAAGGTTGTAAGTACCATAGCTGGGGCTAACAGTAGTTATAAGTATAGTTACCCCAACTATAACCCTAGTTACTAAGTCCCATGATCCTTTAAGTACCCGTGTTCGGGAGCCGCGACGGCACTTTTCAGGCTTCGTGAGTTCAGTGTGTTCGTGTGGTTTGGAGGCTGCGAGGTTCCGCCTGGGAAGCAGCCGTCAAGGAGACACTCCTAGACCTTTGAATGGGGAAATCCACTCTGTTGGTGGCTTAACCTTTGGGGTGGTGTACCAGCGAGTCCCGGCTGAACCTCGGGGGAGATGGGAAGGTGAATGACTTTTCCGACTGTCCGAATCCAACAATCGCCGCTTCGAATGCAGAGCAACAGCGATGTAAAGATCTCCCAAGTACTCCATGAATGCACTCAGCACGGAATGAAATCGTAGCCCCGTCGTGATCTCAAGCGTTTCTTACCTGGGCTTCAGCATGGAAGCGCAGGATACTGTAGCCGAAGCCTCGGATCTCACGCGGTGGGAAGTCGGAGTTCCGGGTCAGGGGTTGGCGGCTTCAATCTTTGTGCGTTTAAGTTTTGGGCCTGGACCTGCTCTGGAGCCACGCCCAGCGTCACAATCATGTATACCGGTACACAAAAGTGGTATACACTTGGTCCAAGAAATTGTTCCCCTTGTCTGCGCTTCTCTTTCTAGCCGCTGCTGCACTTGTCCACTGGGCTAGGCATTCTTCGGATGGAGGCAGCGGTGGTGAACCTTGGCGCAGAAGGCAGACGTTCGGCCAGGGTCTCCTTTGGCATGTGACATCTGGGACTGTCCTGAGGAAGTTGGTCCTGGCGGGCAGCTGGGTGGTGCTTGCCGTGGTACCTGCCTGGCACGGCAAGCCCCCACTGCGCCGGGTTTTTCTTTCCATGAGATTCCCGGGAGGCACGTTCCGGTGACTGGTCTTGTCTGGAGGGATCTTCTGTCTTCTGTACCTTTTTAGCTTTGTGACGCGAGCCGCCTGGCACAGGAAGGCCTATCCAGCAGGCGCTGGCTCTTCGGCGGGTGCTGAAGAAGCCTTTGGGCAGAATTCTATGTGAGTCCGTATGCCTTGCCAAGATGTCCTCTGACACAAGGTTCCGTGTCCGCTGCCTCATCGCCGAGTTGCGCAGTGGGCAGACGATCAAGAGTGGCTTTGCTTCACGACTGTGTGTACAATGTTCTGCTTTCGCTTGCGCATCCTAGATGAAACATTCAGCTTGATCCGGAGCGCTGACCTCTTCGCTGCATTGGGCACCAACACATTCGGAGTCTACACCGGCCAGGGCATGAAGGCTTGAGCCAATAGGATTTTTTGGCGGCGCTGTGATCCCGAGCAGCGTTCCACAATCAAACTCTGCAGAGAAATTTCAGCTTTTGCTTCATTGTTCTGTGATTCTGTTGCTTGGGAAGAAGGACATGAAGCGTGCACGGCCAAAGAGGTCGAGGCGCAACATTGGGTGTGAGCGATGCGAGCTGGAGCCTTTTACGGAGGATGTAATCCCTGAGCTTAGAGCCGCAAGCCAAAGCAACTGGAAGATTGTGTTATTGTTTCGCATGCGGGCATGAAGTTTTGACACGTGATGGAGGAATGGGAACAGCTGCGCCTGCAAGAGCGCCATGTAAATTGCAGCGTCGGATTTTACAGGCTTGGATTTACGGCTCAGAGTTTGAGGTGTGGCATGCTGCATTTAGAGTTTGGTTTAGGGATTTGGGTTCCGGGTTTCGTGTGCGATGCTGAAATGTCGTGGCTGGGCCCGCGCTAAAGCCAACGCGGCCGCCGATCGCTCTGATCGATATGCGGCTTCCAGGCCAGCGCTTCGAGCGAGAAGTCGCCGGCAGACTCTTCGGCGGCCCAACTGGTCCAGCCCTCCTAGTCGGGCGCGGCCGCAAGGGCTTTATGGTCAGATCCCAGTACTGTCTACAGCACGGGCATATGGTTTGAACTCCCGGCCGAGCCGGGAGGCTAAGGAGGGCCTGTAGTTATCAGTTAGGGCTGTTGTTTTTTGTTGGGGTTTTGTCGTCCGTTGTGGAGGCTGTTGTGTTGGGGTTTCTTGCTGTTTGTTTGGTGTTCGTTTCTGGTTTGTTTCGGGGTTCGCAGCGGGCTGAGCCATGGTGCCTTCCCGATGCTTGCAACAAGCTGAAACTGCGGTATGGTGGGAAGTTTGAAAGAAACTTGCTCCCAAACGAGCCAGGTGGCAAATCCATTACGCTGAATCCCACACTCAGGGATTTTGATTTGGAGAGCTTCTGCGGTGGCCTCGAAACCCGGTTGAGTTCTTTGTCGGGTTTGCGCTCAAAGGCTTCAGGATCTTGAAGCTTGCAGTGCTTGGATTTCAAAATCCACTGTGCCGACGGAACTGCAAAAACCCTAAACTGCCCCAAACCCCTAAGCCCTTAACCCTTAAGCCATAAACCCTAAACTGCCCTACTGCCCTAAACCCCTAAACCCTTAAGCCATAAACCCTAAATTGCCCTACTGCCCTAAACCTCTAAACCCTTAAGCCATAAACCCTAAACTGCCCCAAACCCCTAAGCCCTTAACCCTTAAGCCATAAACCCTAAACTGCCCTGCTGCCCTAAACCCTTAAGCCATAAACCCTAAACTGCCCTACTGCCCTAAACCCCTAAACCCTTAAGCCATAAACCCTAAACTGCCCTACTGCCCTAAACCCCTAAACCCTTAATCCATAAACCCTAAACTGCCCTACTGCCCTAAACCCCTAAACCCTTAATCATAAACCCTAAACTGCCCTACTGCCCTAAACCCCTAAACCCTTAATCCGTAAACCCTAAACTGCCCTACTGCCCTAAACCCCTAAACCCTTAAGCCATAAACCCTAAACTGCCCTGCTGCCCTAAACCCCTAAACCCTTAAGCCATAAACCCTAAACTGCCCTACTGCCCTAAACCCCTAAACCCCTAATACATAAACCTTGAAGGGGGCCTATTGTGCTTAACATAAGTTTTTAGGATCTGGGTCGTATCAACTTCTGGGTTTTTTTCGGCGAACCGCTGTCAACGATTTGGTCCCCTCCCTTCCCCGCCCCCCGCGGGGCCCTCCAAAGGGGCCGGGGCGGGGCGGGCAGGGCGGCCGGGGCGGCGGGCGGCGGGGGGGTCGCGGCGGGGCGGGGTGGGGAGGATTCCCGCCAGCCATCAGGCGTGCACCGCACCGGAAAAGGGGCTAATAATAGGAACCCTTCAACATAAACCCTAAACTGCCCCAAACCCCTAAGCCCTTAACCCTTAAGCCATAAACCCTAAACTGCCCTGCTGCCCTAAACCCCTAAACCCTTAAGCCATAAACCCTAAACTGCCCTACTGCCCTAAACCCCTAAACCCTTAAGCCATAAACCCTAAACTGCCCTACTGCCCTGACCCCTAAACCCTTAAGCCATAAACCCTAAACTGCCCTGCTGCCCTAAACCCCTTAAACCCTAAACTGCCCTAAACCCCTAAACCCCTAAACCCTTATTCATAAACCCTAAAGCCCTACTGCCCTAAACCCCGAAAGCCTAAACCGCCCTTGAACCCTTAAAACCCCTAAACCCATAAACCCTAAACTGCCCTAGTGCAACCCTAAACTGCCCTTGAACCATAAAAACCCCTAAGCCCATAAACCCTAAACTGCCTTTGAACCCTTAAAACCCCTAAACCCATAAACCCTAAACTGCCCTTGAACCCTTAAAACCCCTAAACCCATAAACCCTAAACTGCCCTTGAACCCCTAAACCCCTAAACCCTTAACCCTAAACTGCCTTGAACCCCTAAACCCCTAAAGCACCGAGAACGCAGGCAGAACTCCTCTTCGACCCTTTCGCTCGCCAGCGCCTTGTTCTGTGCGCTCGAGTATTGCCTGCTCTTTGGCAGCAGCGGCACCTATTTTGGGATTCCTTCTTAAACGGATCCTTTAAAGGGGGTCTATTTTGGGTTCCTTCTTAAAGGGGTCCTTTAAGGGGGTCTATATATATATATATATATATATATATATGGGATCCTATTTTGGGTTTCGAATGGGGTTCCTTTTGAAAGGGGTCCTTTAAAGGGGGTCTATATATGGGATCTGTAAGAATTTAGGGTTCTGTGATATAGGGGCCTTCAAAGTGGCCCATGCCATTTTTGGGGGGAGTTCCTTGTGATGATTGTAGTATAAGTTTATTTGGGAGGTTCCGAAAATGTGGGGGTACCTCATTTAGGGATCCGCATAATATGGACCTACTATTTCGGCTACTACATTAGGGTGATATAGGGGCCTTAATAGTTACTTATACTATGTTGGTGGTTTCCTTATTATTATTACTTACAAGTAAAGTAGAATGGGCCCCGAAACCTTATCTTAATTATTTAGGCCCCTACATTATTTTACCGTCTTGTGCCCATCGTGTGCATACGACTTGCTACTATCCATGCACCCTCGGGTGCATGCTATCTCGCTACGCTGATATGAAAGCACTTGGCTGCGTTCCGAGAGACCAGGGTTACGGCTGGGATGAAGTATTTGCACTCGGCGCCAGAATTTCTTAATGCTTTGTTACCCTAAGTACAAGTAGCAGTAGCCTGCAACCTCGAAACCGAAAACCCTTTCATCCTAGTGCCCTTCAGCCACTAAAAGCTGCAAACCTTAAACTCCTCAAAGCTGTAGTTCCCTATTCACCATGGAGCCGAGGACCATGGACGAAGATGAGTACTGGCAGCTTGCGAAAGCTGCGACGCGCACAGCCCAGGCACTTGGGTCACTTGGGTTTCGGGGTTCAGGGTTTTCGAGTTTCTGAGTATCAAGATCTGGTTTTGGTCGTTTTGGTTTTGGGAATTTTGGTACTGTATCTGAAGCTGCTCCGGGCTGAAAGGGCCTTGCAGGGAGACTACTTGGAAGCTAAGCCTTGTGCCTTTGTCCGGGAGGATTACGACGTTTTGAGTGTGTGCGTTGCTGCACTTCGGGCTCTTGGGTTTCCACGGTTTTCACGTCCGCGGCACAGGACCGCATGTTGAGAATGCTACCATCTGCGTTGAGTCAGGACTTTGGACTTGAGGGAGCTGCGGGCATAGACTCGCAGTGTGTATGACACCTGCGGTTGCGAAGCTCGGGACTTGGCATGGTACGTGCTGTCAATGCGACGTTCTTTTGGTGTGGATGGCACAGACTGGCTGAACCCGAGCCGCGAATCCAGGGCCCTCGAAACTTCGGATGCAGGCCGGTGGTGTTAAGGATCATTTCAAAGATTCTTACATCCCCCAACAGCCTTCCAGCGCGAACAAATCTCCTTAAATCCCCACAAGGCCATCTCAGCTTCTCAGGCTTTGAAGAAGAGAACCTCGAGATAGCCGAGCCCCAATCCCTGAACTGCTAGGTTGAGGGTTGAATGGTTGAATAGTTGTAGGGAGTAGGATTTTGTGCTACGTTATGATAATATAGAGACCCCAAAAGGAACAGTAGTAGCACTTATTCCGAGCCTGTTCTATATTTGGCTGTCTTATATCTCGTGAAACCCGAAACTCTGCTTTTCAGGAAGGCTTTGGTGAGTCCTTCCACCACAACCTCTCCGAGGCCAGGTTTCTTAGAAGAAAGGCCGAAACGTTGGAGCCAGATAATTTAGGGTTCAGTTATTGAGAATTTAGGGTTTAGGGGTTTGGGGTTTAGGGTTCAGGGTTTAGGGATGTGTAGCCGAAACTTGGTTCTCCTTCAGGGACTGTTGATAAGGTAAACTACATGATGAAGATAGCTGAGGCTTTGGCCTCTTCTCGGAAGTTAACAGCAGTAAGCTCCCATGATGGACTTACGTAGCGCCAGCTTGTTTCCGTGGTAGAGTCAGTGCATCAGTTTTCATGGCTAGAACCCAAGAGTTGATTGTAAAAGTTGGAATCACCGCGAAGCCTTAAGCCCAATCTTCTGCACCCAACTGGATGTGACATGGCGTGTATCGGTTCTGACTTGATAGAACTGCGAAACACATTGTGCGATTTCGTTTACAATTAATGCATCTTCCGTCACATACAGTACAATACTGCATTGACATTCTGACAACCAGGACTGGCCATGTTTGTACTAAGAAAGCCAACTTTTCTTGTCATTGTCATTGTTCTCAGCATGGTATTGTTACTTGAGGGGTGCTTCGACGGTAATCCTTCGACCATGTGACACCATGCAGGTCTACAGGGAAGTGGAGACAGGCTTTCAAAAGCCGTCGAAGGCGCCGTGGCATTGGCAATTCCACGGCTGTGCAGGGCTTCAGGCTTAGGGAAAGGGTTTAGGGTTTAGGGTTTTGCCAATAAGAAATCAGCCCCGAAAAAGGTGTGTTGCCGTCGTTTGGAGCAAGATGGCAGAGCTGTTAGAAGCTCCCTTTTTCGAGCTTGTGTAAACCGAAGCCTTGTCAAGCTCTCAGCACGTGAGCACTAAATTACTGTGCTCTGTCTTAGAAGTGCAAACTAGCTTGGAAACGAAGTGTTTTAAAGCAAGTCCCCTAACAGCACTGTAAAGCATCGTAGCAAAAGTCCGGAAGGGGGGTGTCTGTAAGAGCTACCATGAAACTCGAAGTCCTGGCCGGATCTAGCAAGTCAGAAGCGCAAAGCTTTGTACTCTACACCCTAAATCCTTGAATTGCTGATCTTGTGATAGCTTCGGGGTCTCACTTTGCGGATTTCGTGACGTCTTTGAGGATAGCTCGACAGCACGTGGGAGACAAATATACGGAGCCCTTGGCCAAAGTGAGCATCCCTGAAAACCCCAAACCATCCAGTCCCGAATCCCATGAGCCGCAACCGAAATCCTGGCATCCGAAGCGACTGTAGACCTGCGCAAAACGTTCCATAATTTTCTTAGATAGGAGCCCACGGCAAAGTCTTGAAGGATCGAAGTGCTCAAATAGGAGGGTTTCAAGGTCTAAAGCCATTCAGTGGGGATTTTGTGAACCTAGACCCTACTATTTGGGTTCTTAGACCCTCTCGGACTCAAAGAAGCCATCCGCCTAAACCCTAAATCCTAAACTCAAAAAAAACCTTAAATCCTAAACTCAAAAAAACCCTAAATCCTAAACTCAAAAAAAGAAGCCATCAGCCTAAATCCTAAATTCAAAGAAAGAAGCCGAGCTGCCGAGCCTGACTTCCAGAACTGGGGCGGCGCTGGGGCCCTCCTTTGGGAGACGGACGCCTCGCAGGAGGAGTCCCTGGAAGAGCGACCGGGGTAATTTCCCGGTCATTATACTCCAACAATAATTAGGTTGGATTTTGGGAGATTTTTCATTCTCCTTATTTGGGTTTATAAGGGACCCTATATACAAGCTTTTCCAGGGTGTTTACAGGCCGACCCAGATAACCTAAGCTTGTTTCTTCAACTATAGCAACTATAACCTGAACTCTATTTCTCAATAGGTAACTCTAGTTCTCGAAGTCCTCCCTTGTATACTAAAGGGGCCTTCATAATTGGAACAGGGTTCCTTTGAGGGGTTTTAAAGGATTCTATGATATGGAGGCCTTATAAAAATTGCTTATACTACGTTGAGGGCGTTTTATTACATTTATAGTAGAATGGGCCCCAAAACGCGGTTTAATCATTAAGGCCCTGTACTAAGAAGGCCAATGCTCATTGTCGCATAGTCATCAGCATCATTTGTTATTCACACAATCATCAACAGCAGCCATCGCAGTAGCTTCATGACCATCAGGTTCACCACCGTGACCTATCTCCTTGTCCGGCTTCTCCCGCTGCTCCTGGTCACCAACATCAGGGAAGCAGACAGCAAGAGCAAACGGAGCAAGAAACGTCAGCACAGTAGCAGTCAATGATAGCACGAAGCAGCACAACAGACAGGGTCTGAAAGCCATGCATCTATTCTCGCGAGCATACTGGCAAGAAGCCAGATGCGTCTCGAGTTCAAGTCTTTAGTCGGGCCCTTAAGCTGTAAATCGCGGTAAGAACCCCTTACAAACCTGCACTTGAGCTCTTGTAGCACTTTACTCTCGTGTTTGGCCTTCCTGTGGTCCTGAAAGCCTGAAAGCTCGCAAGCCCGCCCCAAGCGGTAGGAGCTGCATCGCGCAGTGCGGGCAAGGAGGACTTTCGCGATTCCGACTCCAGGGTACTTGTATGATTCAAGCTCAGTACGATTAGTAGCTTCAGAATCTTAAACCCCAAACTTTGAACTCCAAACCCAAGCCCAGGAACAGATGGATCTTTGGCTCTGTGTTCTTGCACTTTCAGATACCCTGTTGCCGAGTTGGGTCTTCTCTCGTAAGAAGCTTTTTCCTTCTAACGGTAGAATATATGTATATATACTTACATATATATATATGTATATATATATATATACATTTATTTATTTATTGACTTATTTATTTATATTTATATTTATATATTCGGGTGAATCTTCAGGGCTTCGGGTGAATATTGGTGCCTAAAGAATTACCTTTGCTATTTTGGAAGTTCTTTCCAACCCCAAAGCCTTATTCTAACTATTAAGGCCCCTATATTACCCCTCCCTCTGGTGCAGAGGAGTACACCCCTTCGCCGTGTGTCCGCCACCGCAGATATGGCCAACGAAATGGAGGCGCGGAGGTTTTACCAGGGAGTGCTTCACATTAGTTTCCGTGCAAGTTCTCAAAAACGTTCGTACATGATTCCCGCTTGGCTTGCAACCCAAAGGAAGCACTGTGTGGGCCATGGTTGTGCATTGTTTCGCAGCCGAGCATAGACACAAGATTTGTGCTTGGGTTTGTGCGTTCAAGCTGCTTGCTGGTGTCACGAAGGGTCGCATGTTATAGCGGAGGCGGGTTTCTGACTTAAAGAAAAGATGAACGTTGCTGGGTTCTCCTCTAACGTAGGACCTAGATGACACGTAGGACCAGACTTGAGCCATGGTCATGCCTAGACTCAGGGTTTGGCACCTGCCCTACGCTGCAAGCCGACCTTGTTTTCTATGGATGCAACAAAAGTGCTTAAAAAGCAGGACGACTTCGAGCGCAAGCCCTGAAATTGAAAGCAGATACGGGCTTTGTGCAGTTTGAACCGCCCCAGCTTGTGCACCTGTGTCGTAGAGCCTGGCAGGTCATCGACATCTTTGATGATCGAGAGTTCCTGACGCAACCCGTGAGTGAGACGAAGGCTCACGATATCATGAAGGCGCCCAATACTGATTTTGTTGGCAATCCGACACATGTCCCTCAGGCACGAGCTCTAGATTCTAGATCGTAGCTGCGAGCAACTCGGACAGAACAGGTTGAAACCTGAGCGTCAGACGTGGACCTTATCTCGAGATACTTCGCCTTTTGGAAGAACACCCTTTTGTTTTCTGTTTGTGTGGGAGCCGGCATCGTATCATGCCAAGTCAAGAGCTACTTAGCTACTTCCCGAGACATCGCTTGGCATGAAAGCATGAAGCAGTTGGGGGTCGAAGGGTTTCGTAAGCCAGGTGGCCAATCATAAAGTCTTTATGCAAAAGTGTTCGCGGGATTAGCAATTGCTGTTGAGAGGATATGGAGGGCAGGCAGTTGTCAACTACTTGTGGTTCATGCGGTCTCCAGGCTGAAAGCTGCCATGCGTCACAGCTTCGTGCGCCTTATTCAGGAGTTTAAGATTTTGGCATTACAGACCTGGCACATCGGCGCACGATTCAGCATGGCACCCACCTATGTAACAAATCATCAGCATCAGACGCGATGTCCTCTCTCCAGTGCCCAAAACACTTGAAAGGGCCCAATCAGGTTTCGGCTCCTTTGGCTAAACGACTAGGAAAGGACCACACATCAACCTTAAGTGCCATTCCTGTGGCAACCTTTGCCAGAACCTGGACGTTGCGTCACATCTGCTTATCGGGGATCCCATAGACATAACACCCTGACTTTCAATCCCTGTGCTCAGCCAGGCCGTTGCAGAAGAGGTGCTTGTGTCGTCGGCGCCCACAGAGAGTGCACCTTTGCTTGAATCGGCTTGCATGGTCCTTTCCGACAGTGAGAACTCAAGAAGTGCTACACCGCGAGACAGACATCCGAAGCATCAATGCAAAAAAACTTCCCCGCGGTTCTTTTCCAATCAGACCCGGAAGAATTGAAGCTGCAGGACGTCTAGGAGTGTAGCAGAAGCTGACATTAGCACATTCGTAACCACGTCTTTTCCGAAAAACCCTGGTCGGTCGCAAGTGAGCCTGAGTCGCAAGCGGTTCCGCTCTGACTTCCCAGGCGGTCGCCCTTCAACGTGACATCTCCCAGGCCTTTGCTTGCAGCTACGTAGGATCATGGGCGGAGACCTGGTTTCGGACGAGGCTTAAAAAGGCTTTCGGCACAGGGCTATCAAGTTGACTGAGGTACGAGAGGTCCTGGTGTTCGGGTATCACGACAATGATAGTGATTGAAAGGATGGAGGTGATGGGTTTCTGGTTCAAACCGTGTCGACACAGGCACGGCAACTGCGAGAGGAGCGCGATGTGGCTCCGTGGCTGCTAAAGAGCTCCAGCATGGGAACCTGCAAGCTGCAACTACAGTTGGTCGGTTCTCCGCGCACAGTTTCAGATGCGCAGGCGCAAACTTCGAATTTTGGAAAGTTTCGTTTTCCGTAGAACGTTTTCATCAGTACAGGTGCCACACGGCTTCACACGGTTCTGCCCCCTTGTGACTCTTGACGACGAAGGAGGTATCGCATCCGACCCTTCCCTTCTCGAGCATATGGGAGTTTCCGAAAATTAGGGGCACCTTATATTGGGGGTCCTTACAATAAGGATCCTACTATTTAGGGTACTATGTTAGGATCCCCTATTTTCGGAAACTCTCATATCTCAAATCAGCCTTTCGATGGGCCCTAGCGTCAAAGTGTCTGAACTCCGCAGTTTACTCCACAACGCAGACTTATGGGTGCCCCTGAGAGTCCCTACACTCAAGGTGCACATTCACTCCCTGATGATCCGACGTTCCGCGAATCCCTTCAAAGCCTCAAAAGGCCAACGCTTCCATGTCCGAAACGCTTTCACTCCGAACCTACCGGCGTGGCCTTGCAGTGCTGTACAAACTTAATGAACTCCAAATACCACGGTAGTGAATCTTGGGTTCTTTGGAGCGTGAGTTCGCGGAGTCAACTCCGAAGAGGGTGCCGCGTGATCGAGGTTCCACTCTGAAAAGGGTGCCGTGGGATAGGGTTAAGCGCCCCGCTTGGCGCTTCGATATCATTCGTGTTTCCAGCAGAGCCCACCCTGAAGCGATTGGTTTCGTCATCCTATATCCGACCGATGCCAGCAGCAGTCCACACCACCGCTCCTAGGATCCATTAGCCCTGAACGTTGAACATTCGAAACTCAAGATTCGAGCTCGGCGAGTTTTGTCCCGAGGTGGAGAGATGTCTCATGAAGCCCTGTGCTTGGAATCTATGTCTCAGGACCATTCCGTGCAGGGGAGAGGAGAGTGGGAAAGACCGGCCGACTTTGTGTTGCAATTAGTAGATCTCTGTTTCGGTGTTGAGAGTCCTGGGCAGGGTAGCAACAGTATAGCTTCGTGGGCGTACTTAGGGCTCCGCGTTTGGGTCGTCTCCACAGGTGTCGTGCGTCAAATTCCCACAGATCCCTAAATGTTTAGATTGGTACTTCATCTACTGCAAACCCACAGCCCATAAATGGGAGACACACGTGACCAGGATCCATCTTGTGATGGCGTTGTGCTACACTACGACTGCATGTGGTGAGCTCCTGCTTCAGTCGCTGGAGGCACAGCGGGGCCTGGGCACAGGTGAGATCGGGACGTTGTTGATGAACGCTTCAATCACTGTCACTAGAATTTCGAAAAAACCGTTGATCCTTTCGAGCCGAGTCGAGTGTTCTTTGGCGGCTATGCGGCAATATGCAATGCTGACTTCCTTCTATGTCCGGCTGTCAAAGGACGACATACGGATGAAAGTGCCCAAGACTGGAGCTGTCAATTCGTCTTGAAGCGGTGTCCCATACACTGACATCACCCCGAAGAGTGTAGCAGAACATCCCCCAACCTCCCGACATAAGTGCACACCCTCTCGATCTGCGGTTTGGTGAAGCAGGTACTTGACGGTAACGGAGTTGATTGCAATGCAAATGCCGACTGCTGCCAGGTTGAAGGAGTCGCCGGACGTCTGGAAGCTTGGCTGAGAAGTTTGCGTCAGAAGCTCCCAGGGATCACCAGGTATATCCGGGAGACTTTCAGGTACTCCTGCTACCTTGTCAAACAAAGTCTACAACGCGACGGCATGTGCTCACATGATGTGGCACTGACAGCATAAACCCCAAGGGTCCCTACCGGTTACCGCCTAGCACCTGAAGCCCGAAGCAGCCATCCTCGTTTCCTCCGTCCGGCAGGTTATCTGCTCAGCAAGACTGGAGACCGCCATATCAAGCGGAAGACCTTCAACCACACATGTCCAGAAGCGCCCGTCGAAATTGATACACCACAAAACTCGGTTATAACAGTATAACACTGCAATGGCGTTTGGAAAGCTAAAAAAAAAATCCCGACAGATAGACAAAGTCCACGAGGTTCCTTCTGCGCAGCTCTGGAGTGCATACCACGCGGGCGAGGCGCTGGGGCGGTTACCGAAACCCCCGTATGTGAGAGGGTACGCGGGGGTCCTGACGAGTTTGCCAGTTGTTCAAGTGTATCCCGTTGCAAAATTATAGTCTCACATACTTGCATATGCACATCATTTATTTGCCCCCAAATACCGTTCAGAGTTTGATTCGTTACGGTTTGCTAGATGGTGGGTGATTGCCAGAAGACGGAGTGGGGTAGTGGCGACTAGGATCACCACCGTTTGGGATATTGCGCTTCGGTGCATACATACATTCGTACGTTCCTAACTATATGCCTAAGTTCATTGCCTACTTTCATTGATTCATGCACCTCCTGCACATGTGTGTATACATGTACACATGTATTTGTATGTACGACGTGCAGATGTGTCTTCTTCTTTTTGTGTGTCTTTGCAGGTTGCTGAGGTATTCGCTTGTTTGGATTGGGAACTACTTCAGCCTTGATGTTGGTGAACTCGGACAGACTCAAAGCTGTGCACTGGGGTAGAGAGCCTCAATCTATGGGATCTCAAGCTGTGAAACCTTCTCCAACCCTCAATCGTGTACTTGTGCTGTTGATTACTGTGTCTCTTTATTCAGATACACTAACCATGAATGTGGTGGGGGGGGAACTTACCCAAGATCCTCCCTGAAGAGGGACCCAACAAAACCCCCCGTCACCTCTTGCAGCTTTCGTGCCAGGCTCTAGGAGCCGTACTTTGGCTCGGGGGCTCAGCCAGTGGAGTTCTTCGGATCTTCCTTGTAGAAAACTGTAGCCAAGAAATCCTCGAAACCCAATAGATTCTAGACAAGCAGATGCACTGCTGCGAGGGGCGGAGATTTAGGGCCTTCGGGGTCGAGGTTTTCGATTCTGGGGGTTCTGCTGCTTAGGGTTTATGAGCTTCGACCTGCGTGGCAAGGATTAGTGAGGCCACATTTACATGCTTAGGGAGCGTCGCGTCGCGTGGGAGGGTCTGTGGCACTCCTGAGCGCATCAGCTCATTTTCCAAGACTTTCCTCAACACATGCCATGGCATATAGGCCCCACACGTGAACCTGAAGTCTGGTTCAGCTGTTTAGCACACAGGAGACGCCAAAGCACAGCAGCGTTACTTTTCCAATCGCCACGGCCCACGGCCATAAAACCTGTGCCCAAACCCTGAGCACAGGCGATCCTCTGAGACCCCATGTGCCCTCTTGACCTTGCCCATCCCCAGCTTACCTGTCTCAGGATTTCAATGACATGCTGTGTTTGGATGAACAGAAAACATGAAAAGCATAAGGCACAGCTATTGCCCAGCACTGCGGCACAAGCCCCGGTCCGCAGAGATATCGAGAGAAAGAGACTGAGAGACAGACGGGCACAAAGATAACCGATAACTGTGGCTTTCGGCGACCTTAACTGCTAGGCGGAAAAAAGTGTTGAAAAAAACCTCCGATAACCGATACGATACCCCTCAAAATCCCAAACTTGAAGCCCTGTCAATTCGGAGTTCCCGAGCGCTTTCTGCCCAGGCTTACCTTGCCTGGAACTCAGTCTCCACTTGGGGGCAAAAGAGCCGAAGAAGGAACACAAGGGTTTTTGCATCGGTTTGTGTAAGGGCTTTGTACGAGGTTTCAACGGTCAGGATGAGATTTCAGATGTTGAGCACAGGGCCGGAACTAAAAGGCTTGGGAGCGGCATCGGCAGTTGCAGTAGCGGAGCAAACGGCATCGGTTGTTGGTTCGTCAGACGATTTCAGTTTGAGCTCACGCCATTAGATAGAGCCTTCGGTATTGCTCCCTGGGCTACTGGGGGTTTAGGAAGTTTAGGGTATGTGGTAAGTGAAGGTGACAGGGATTCGGGTGTCTCTTAGGGTTCAGGGTTTAGGGCTTTGGGGTCTTAGGCTCGTGTAATAGTCGAACATGCGGTCGGTGGTCTGCAGGCCTGGGGCTTGGAAGTTCGCTGGCCTCGCCCTTTTCAGTTGCAATTGAGCCATTCGTTGTTTTCAGGAAGTAGTGCATATGCTACATAGGTTTTTACAAAGCCAATGAGCCATTCAGCGTTTTCGAGGAAAAAGTCTTGGAGTGTGAGGTCCTATGGCCTCCCGCCGAATCTCTTGATGGCAACCTCGCAGGCCACTCAAGTGCGAAGCGTTGCTCAGAGAGTTTCGCAGAGTTTGGGTTTGGGGTTTGTTGGAGAAAATGGTGTTTTTCACGGTTCATCAAATTAGCCGAAACAGATGATAAACAAGCGTTGAAATCTCCATTTCGCTCGGACTGCTTCTCATGTTCTATCACAATCAACGGCGCCATGGCTCTGACCCTTTACGCCGGACCCTCCTAAAGCTTGCCTGACAGAGCATCCCAGCAAACAGACCTCGAAAGCCTGTTCAGAAGACCTGTGGATTGTGGTCAAAGCACAACCCACAGACCCAGACGCGCGCCCCTGCGGAGGCCCTCGGTATGGCTTCCTTTCTGCTTCTGCCTCTGCTTCCGGAGCACCTTCTCGAAGCGAAGTGGCCCGGAACCTTGGAGCCCAGAACCTTCCGGTCCATGCATTGGGCCCTCTTTGCATTGGGGCTGTTTTAGAGATTCGACGGAGTTCTACGGCTTTCTTTGCAAGCAGAGTGGAGCTTCGGGCTTGCAGCCCTTAGTGTCAGAGGCATCGCATCGCTTTCGCTAGCTTTTCTGAAAGACCCTTGAGCCACTTCCTGCCACTTCCTAGCACCGAAAGTTCGGCCTCCCATAATTCATCTTAAAGCACGTTCTATACAGACCACTTTTCTTGGACTTCATGAGCCACCTGCTAGAGTTTCATACGAATGGAGAGACTTCACTCGTTCTATGAATCCGAGAACAAGCTGCGCCAGCCTGGCTGGATGGCATGTGAGGTCAATCCTCTCTTTCGCCGCTGTCTCGGGTGCTGCTCCCTCAGTCCGTTGCTTTTCGTAGCTGGGTGTGGGAACGCCTCTGGGTTTGACAGCGCGTGGACGTTCACCAGGTAACTTGCGTTACTCCTTTACCCTTCAAGACACAGACGCACGCAGAACAATGCCAACAACGCCTAGCAGTCCTGAGACTCGCCGAGGTCCAGGGATCCTCTCGATTGCTGTTCCTGATCTGGACCATGCTTCTCCTTGCTCGTAGGGGCTGTGGAATGTAGCTGCATGATATGTGGCTTATGGAATTCCTGGAGATGATACAACCCATCAAACTGTCCTTCTGCCCCGCCCAGTGTCAGAGTTTAAGTTGCTTGAGTCGGGGTCTTGGGGCCGCGACTTTGCTCATGAAATTCGGGCGAGTGTGAATTCAGCAATGCGGCCACTTGGGATGTTGCCTTTCGCCTTAGTTCAGATTTCAAAGATGTTTGCCATGGTAGAGTTCCACCGGAAAGCTCACCTGGGAGCCGAAGCTCGATGCAGGAATTTCAACGAGGAGTTGCAGCACGGCTTTCAGGCCTCCGACCCCGTCGAAGGGCCCTCACCTTCGAACCCCTACATCCCTGCATCTTGAATCTGAGGCGGCAGAGTTTCAGCGCAGAGATTCCGCTTGGGGGATTCGCAGTTTGCACGGGTTTCACGAATTCATTACCCATTCTACTGGTAAAGTTTGTCACGCTGGCTTCGTCCATACACTGTCTGTCTGGCTCTTCTTCACAAGGTCTTCCACCTCACACAACAGTAGAGCAGGATTTCGCCAAAAAAAACAAACTTCACAGCACAGCATGGGGCCTACAGAGTTGCGATCCCCGTGCTTCGTGAAGTGGGTGTGTTTGATCCCAGCATACAGAGATGCCCTGCATTAGGATGTCGGGTTCAGGAGGAGTCAGTAGAGACACAGGCCCAAGTAAAACTGTGGTATAGACAGCTATCCAAATTATTAAGGCCCTCACATTAGCGTCTACAAGCTCTTACATTTCTACATACAAGCATAGACCCCTTGAAACCCGAAAGAGCCCTTGCTTCAGGTGGCCATTTGGCGCTTAGGCCTCTTAGAAGGACTGCGAAGGTCTGTCGCTTGGCTGGCGCTGATGACGAGCTACGCCGCCTGGCATCAAACTAGCCCTAACATGGTCCTATCACAAGGGTTCCTTCAAGGATTATTTCAGGGCTCTAAGAGTAAGGTATAAATTATCCTGACCAATTTCAACACAATCCCCTGCTGGGACCGAGCCTTCTGCTCAGCGACATATGGGAAACTTAGGGTTTCTGGATCTCGAGAGGTTGGGAAAGCCCGAATCTCAAGCTGGCATCTAGCATAGGGGCCTTAATAATTACCTAAACTGCTTTGAGGGCTGCTTATTGAAAATGTAGTAGAATGCGCCCCAAAACCCTATTGTTAGTTTTAAGGCCCCTGTACTACTTCTTTTGCATCTCTCACTTGACTTTGTCGCTTTGACACGCTTGAGATCGCATCCGAGGCCGACAGCTTGTGGATCTACAAGCAGGTGCCGAGCCCCAGTTGCGGATTTGGGAAACGGGTGGCGGGTAGTTCTTTCCGCTACCTACAAATCCAAAAGTGCAGCTTTGAGTAAACAGGAACCCTTTAAGAACTTATCCAGTGCTGTTGCTGGATTCTAAATCGGCAACCCCTGAGTGGCCCAGAACCCAATTCCGAAACAGCTCGGAAATCACATGAAAGGCGTAAAACCCCACACTCCACATCTTCCCTTCAAGCAATCAGTGTGCCGTCGGAGTTGACTGCGAGATAGTCCCCTTCTGGAGGCTTCCGCATTTTCAGCTACTATCCAAACCCTCGAGGAATCCCAAAGCTATGCTTTTAAAAATACTGCGCCGCGAGGTCTCGACCTTCACTAATGTAATTGGTTGAGTATTCGAAGATACTGTGAAGAGTTTATGTGCCTGGCATCGTATTTCTTGAGGACTTTCATTCAGAGTGGTCACAAATACAAATCATTGTAGGGCAATCGGCAAGCAGGTACAAGAACTCGGTAGTACAAATTGCGACTGTACGTTTGTGAAACTTGTCCCCCGTTGGCCGCAGTGCCGACTGTAGAACATAAGGCTTGGCTAGCGTTGGGGTCATAGTAGACTCAGACGTGCAGGCTTGAGATAAGCCTAGGGGCGAGGTGATTTGATTTGAATATACCCCGAAACCCTCTTCCAGCGTTGAATTCCCCGACATTGCCCTGCAAAGAGCTCTCTTGCGACCTGCCGGGCTCAACAGCCTTTGTTTCACACCGGGCGACGCGCACGCCGACTGTACAAGTACTTGGCTGTAACGATGGCTCCAGTGCTCATTTGGTAAACAAGCCCAAAGATTGGAAGCTTCGGAACATCCGAGATCTCACGACCCTCATGTCGAAACGAACTATGTCAACCCTGACTTTCCAAAGAGCTCCCAGCCCTCCTAAACCGCCGACCCCTCAGCCTGAAGCTGCCTCTCCTGCGTCACGTGATGTCACCACGTTTACTGCAGCAGCGGTTTACAGCCGCGAGGTGATGCTCGGCCAAGGCTAAGGCATTTTAAGCTACTAAGGTACTGGGGCAGGGGTCTCTGAAATTGTAGGGGTTGTTCATCATGTAGGGTCCATCTTTGGGTCACAGGACAGGGGGGGGAGGGGGGGGCGGGGTCCGGAATTGTCAGAGACTTCTGAGGAAGCTTGATGCATGCGCGTCCCAGTGCAACCGGCGAGGCTCCTGAATGTGCAGCTTGCCTGGCACTACTTGTAGCTTCTGTCCCTGCATCGTTTTTGGGTGCGTAACGTGGTGCCAATACTTTCATTGGGTTGATGGATCATAGATTCTGGGAGGGATCTCCGAAAAGATGTCGTTGTGTTGTACCTTCTAGGGGGAGCGGAGGTCCAAGCAGAGCACCACCAACCGGCATCCAAAAGCCTGTGGGGATTTGCCAGAACTCTTCGTGCTTGTCTCATACGATTTGAAAGCCGACGCAAAGTAATAAGAAGTCTCAAGTCTACAGTGGGGTCTGTACTTGGGACACTTGCCCGACGATGTTGAGGAGGGAGTGCTCAAAGGGTTCATGGCCAGCGGCCGAGGGCTTCCTTGTGCTTCGGACCTGGGAACCAGGCTCACAGGTTGGGGACTGAAGAGGAGGGTCTATGGAAGGGTCCCTTATCCCTTACTTTTCCAAAACTTCCCTTTGAGTTTGGGAGCTTACTCGCTGTTGGAATTAAACTGGAGGGGTCGGACGATGACCGGTAATTTTCGGCAGCTTGAAGACGGGGAACCTTTCGGCAGAAAGATGCCGCTCAGCCAGTTGCTTCGTTGCTGTTCAGAGTTTGCCTAAGCCCTCCCGTGACAAGACTGGGAGGAAGTAAGTCAATGTGGATGGCCGGGATCTGCACCAGAAGAACCAGCCTTGGTGATCCAAGAACTTCAATCACCAAACCTTAGGGATTTCTACCCTAAACCCTAAACCAAACCTTAGGGATTTCGCAACAGAAGCCAAAAACCCCACCGACGAAGGGCCCCGCCGCCTCTTCCGCCTCGGCCACCACAGGCACGGAAGCGGCATTCAACTGGGTTCTTACCGGAACCTACTATTTGCTTAAGAACCACCCAAAAAATAAAAAAGTGATAATCCCTATATTATCCCTATAAGGAATATATCTTTTATTTTTTGGGGGTTCTTAAGCAAATAGTAGGAACTACCTTGGACTAGTGATACTAGAGTGAATTTGCCATAACTAACAGGCAGAAGCAACGCAAGGGGTGTGCTTCTCTTATCGTGCTCGCTGCCTTGGCTTTAGCTTCTTGGATAAGAAAACAGGTCGAGGTTTTACTTGGGCAGGGGTTTGAGAGTTGAGGGTCTAACTTTCAATGGTCCGAGAACACGGTCCAATGCCCCATGGCGCAGCCTAGTGCTTTATATCTATGCAAAAACCCCATGGCCATAGAGACCATGCCACGCCCCCAAGTTCAAAGCATGAGAACCGCCTCGAAGCGTTTCGCTTCGCCTTCGGGGCTTCCGAAACAAAGCGGGGACTCGGACTTTGTGAAAATCCGCCCAAGACCCCTTTGGCGGAATTGCCTGGCTCTCCGTAATTTCGCCTCCGACCGAAGCAAACCGTTCCCAACAGCCCCCGAGGGTAGTTGCGTAAGCTGCCTCCCATAGAGTCGTACGTGGGCATCAGTTTTTCTGCGTCCTTCCATCCTTGCGTAGTTCGAGCCAGCCTGGTTCTGGGGCTTCCTGTGGCTTCCAGAATGCTTATCCTTCGGCATTCGGAGGTCATCCCCAACATTCCGGGTGCCGTCGACGACGTCATCGATACCCGACCATAGCAAGACAAAGGTGTATAGCAAGCCCTAAACCCTAAACCCTAAACCGCTCCAGAGCTCTTGAAGGTCAGAATTGCACTGGAGCAGGGGTTCCCTGTTCCCAGCTTGTGCTTGTTTGGCTTCTTGGCGTGTGAGTTTCAAGCAACGGCGTCCGGCCGGCTGAGTGGGTTGTTGGCTGGGGTTCTTGGGACCGTATAGTTTTCAAGTGTATTCGGGTGGCTTTGTAGTTGATGGGGAGGCAAGGTTAAAGGTTTGAGGGCTGTTTAGCGTGTTAGTCTTCTAGTGCCCCTGAACTCAAGATCTTGGAGCACGCTGCCCTTCACCTTTGCGAACTCAAGTTTCCTCTGATGCTACGATGCTCTGAGCCTCCAACCCTAAGACCCGAGAAGCCCGTGAAATCCTGCACACTGCCCTTGTTTGTGGCACTGGAAGAGCAAGCACGGCCCTCCGTGCCAAGGAGTCCACTGACTCAAAGGTGGCTTGGCACTTCATTTGATTGGTAAGCAAGCTAAACTTGAAGAGTCAGTATTCCAGCGTTATTTGCATGAGCCGATGAGTGCACGTTGAGTGCACCATTGCCGGAGCTGATGAGGCTTCAAACCTGAGAGCCGGAGGGCCTTGGCATGTCGACGGATTCCGTTCTCTATGATTCCCGTTTACAGCCAACTCGCATTCTGCTGGATCAGGAAGTTCAGTTGAGAATCTTGTACTGTGCGCTTTGTTTAAGCCTTCAACACTCAAGGTCTTGATTGCGGCATACTATCTCCCAAAACCCCCTACAATGAAGACCATAAGATCCATTCCAGTAATCCTCATAGAAACCTTATAGAACCTCTATATATATATATATACATACATACATAAATGCACATAAGTAAATTCATACATATTTTTTGTTGCGCACCAGCTGAAGCAAGGACTGGGCCGATGCAAGTGGCAAGGTGCGATTTGCGGCTGCCTCTCGACAGACAAGCCTTCGGGTTCAGGGTGAACGAATTACGGTTTAGGGATTTAGGATTTAGGGTTGAGGGTGTGCGTGACTTCGAAGTTTGACATGGTGTCGGGTTTCAGCGGTTTTGCAAGGTCGAGAGGGGTTTCGGGATTAATGGGGTTTCTTCGGCACGGCGCCCGGCCCTGCAAGATTGAAGTCGTGTAGCTCTCACCTTGTCTGCTTGTACTTGCTCATCTATCTCATGCATGCGTTTACCTATCGGTGTCTATGCATTCATTTGTGGCATATCTGGAGGTGCCTGATCTGATAATGATAGAAGCAATGAGCTTGATGACAAAAATGGCCAGAAAAATACTGCAAGAATGGAGCGTCCCATGCCAAAGGAAGAGAACACCGATTCACCAGGAAGGAGCCCCGAGGACAATTTTCCGCACTTTCCTGAGGCTTCGGGATGTTGGGCGCCGGGTCGGGACGCGTCGGTGTTCAGAGTGTCTGGTGGCATTCACCCCACCCTAAACCCTTAAACCCTAAAGCCTTGAACCCAACAACCCCAAGAGCCTAAAGCCCTAAACCCTAAGCCCCTAACCTTCAGAGCAAGGCAGTTTACGGAGCTCGAGATGAGGTCTTGAGTCCTCACATCGAAGCCTGAGAGTGCAGCGGGGCGCAGAGAAAGTTTCGGTCTCCTAGGAACTATGAAGATGTACCACCGCGAAACCCTTAGACCTGAAACCCGAAATACTCCAGCCCACGTGAAATACTGTGGCCCAGAGAAGGGCAATAGAAACTCAGCCACCGCAAAGCTCTTAACCTCGTCGCGTGCAGGACGGAGGCTCCAAGCCCGGCATCGAGTCGGCTGCAGCTTGCACAAAAAAAGGGGGCAACAACGCAGGTTGCTGAAGGCTTTGCTAGTTCGAAGTACTGCTGCAGCCCTATATTTCTGGAGAGAGGGCTCGGTTCAACAGCCATGCAGGTGTTGCCCCTGAGCACAAAAACGACGCATCTCTGACCGCCGGTGGTAATACCTACAGGACTTTGCGTAAAGAGCTCGGCAGCATAGGAAATCAACTCTCGATGCATCTGACCCGGAGAGGAACTCTACAAAAACTCCTACATGCCCTCTGAAAAATGCATGACCATACTCGTAATAACAACGTCGAAAATCGTTACGATGATAGTCCGAGTGTATTTCGATATTCATGACGACAGTCGCATGTTCTCTTCATTCTCCTCCGA